TTGCAATCCATTAAATTTGAAACAGTATACAACATTCCATAAACCTTGAATGGACACGGTTAATGTTGTAGAGATAATTCCATATCATCCATGTAACTAAGTTTGGAGTCATGATATAACATATATCCAAGAAGATGAAAGTGGTATGGGTTTAACCAATGAAGGGAAATTGCAAAGAGATTATTTGTTGAGAAGATTGAAAGCAGAGCAATCACTATGAGATATCATTTGGATGCTTATGTAGATCAAAATACTCTGTATATGTAAGATAGAGAACTATGTGAAATCTGCTACTCTATTTAGCCCCTCTCTATATCCCAATGGTTTCATCCAATTATCGATGACCTGATGGTGTCGTCTCATCCCTTTTGTTATCTTACTCGGTTTTCTAGTAATTAGGCCCTGTAGTGCTTGTGTGTGTGTATTCAAAGCGTCCACTCTTAGTTTGCATCCGTCTTGGAAGCTGTAATATTCAGACAAATAAATTGAAGGCACAAAGTTTATACTTTTGTGCTGGACATGTTCCGGATCTCTACCTTTTAAAGCTTGCATCAGCAATAATAAAAAGGTAATGGCCTTGCGTCTCACATGTTCTTCAAGGTCGACCTAGAGGCGCAATCTACTTCAGGGGCTCGAGTACATTCTCAGACGTTTCCGTATTTTGTCTCATATACGGGAGTGAGTACAAGCGACTCAAGCGAGAGAGAGAGGAAATTACGCTGACAACAAAAAATTGCTAAGTCCCTTTGCGTTTTAAGTTCACAACTCGATTTCCAAATCTATGAACAATTATGAGCAAAAGTATTGTGGGTGAAAAGCATTGCCCAGGTCTCATTCGGCTTAAAATAGTACGCCGACTATCTCCTCGTGAGATGAATCTCAAAATCTTGATGAGATCAAACAATCGAAATTCTACGAGGTTGCAAATCCGAACAGTGATCGCTCTCTCAAACATCAGCACCAAAAGCCATGACGTCCGAAGCAAACTGGGGGATTAGATTCTCAAGCTTATTGCAATTATTCGCACGCTTTTCCACAGTTGAGACGTGTCGACCCTCTCGGTTATCTCTCTCTCCCTCTCTCTCTCTCTGAAACACAGACACACACAACATCCTCACACAGAGTATGATTGTGAGACAAAGTCCTTTGAACAGGATTTGTCCTCGCGCTTGAGTTCCTACTCTAATGGGGGGACATTCTCCAGGACGTTCGTTGCGCTAACATCCCGAGAACAATTCCCTCACATGCAAGACTTGCAAGGACGAAAATCCACCGAAGCTTTTCTAGGATGAGCGAGAGATGCGCACACTAGCGGATTAGCATGACGAGCAGCAGCAGCAGTAGCAGAAGAGAGGACGATCCGTCTTGACATTCGAGAGAGCGAGCGAGGAAGGGAGAAATTGAGGTCCCGTAGAAGCACGGTTTTCGACGGAGGACCGAGCGACAGCCTGCTGCCGACCGGCCGGCGCTGCCCGCGGTCGTTCGCGGTCGTCGTCGTCGTCGTCGGCGGCGGGGACATGGCCTCCTGCTCGCTTTCCGCGCGACGACCGCGTACATCATACATCTCTACAGTCGTTGGCTACGCTGATATCTACGACTATAAGTGGGGGCCGCCCAGACAGCGTGCTCCCATCTCCACTAACTAACGTAGTTGGACTCTCGGGCGGGACCAAGGTCGCGACCGACCTCTGTCGGGGACTGCGGATTATCGGGTGCCTCCATATTTGGCCCTCATCATCATCCGTCTCCTGGCAGTACCGCCGTGGCCGCTCTTGTGTTTTAGATTCACGGGAACGATTCCCCGGAATCCCGTCTCTTTCTCCGCCGGTGAGGTCACAGTCGCCGGCTTTCGTGCTTGTTTCGTGGCTCCACCTCAGCGGGTTCGATTCACCGGCTATGTTTGGGTCGGCCCCAAACACCGTGAAGTCTTTGCCGGTTACGGTTGATGTTCAGTCTTTGGATGCTTTTGCCACTCGGTTTTAATTCCGTGCTCCTCATATCACAAGCAACAAAGCAGGCAATCGTGGTCAATGGCATTCTTCCATGATTAACATCGAAAACCGAGTTGACGAAACCTTGACTGATTATTTTTGGGACTCTCTCTTACGATTTGTCTCCAAGCTGAGAGCAAGTTTTATCTTATTCAATAATATTCATGTTTGTCCTCATCTGTTTCATGCGACATCAAAATATTGGGAATTTATGCTTCTCCTCTTTGATGTGTTTAAGTACAGATGTGCGCCTAAATCTCAAAGTTATATATTATCAGTAATCGTGTGTAAAAATGTAAAAACTTATATGTTTCGTATATAGTAAAGCGCAGCTCAAAACATAAAAAATTATAATTTGAGGAGAAAATGTTTGACATGTACGAGCACAGTACGAATGAAAATTTTCAGTTCACCTCACTTTTAATCATCAAACGTCGTATTTGAAGCAACTTGTTTCACCTCGATATTGCTAGCTTTGTGAAGAAACATAACAATGTCAGGCTTGTGGTAACATTCTAAGACGTGCTTGTAGGTGTGCAGCGGGGCTAAACCAACAGATATTCCATGACCGTCACATACCCAAAACCTGGAATGTAGCTCACAACTTGAAGGCAAGACATATCTGCATCAGAGGAGAGGACTTTGGGGGGCTCGGTCAAAGACGCAGGAGCAGCCTTTACAAAAATAGACGCCTGCCTTTTTCGGCAGATATGCATCGCATACAACAATTCATCTGGACATTCAATCCACTGCCTCTTAATTTCTCAGTGACTGAGGCTTGAGAAGTAATATATTAAGTGATAATCATATTTGACACAATCTACTAATTATAAAGCACAAATTTTTATGCATTTTGAGATCCAATCTCCCTTCCTTTTGCGATCGAAGTTCAAATTTTTCATAGCGAATATGTTTAGACAAACATGATCATTTTACTTATATATTATCCAGCGGTTCTGACTGGATAGTCGTACGAGAAGTAATCAAATTAAGATATTAATCGAGCGTGCATTTGTTTCGTGCAATCGAAGCTATACTGCATAGTGCTGATGATGGAAAGAGGGCGAAAGTTATAGAGAGAATGTAACGAAGTCAATACGCGATATGATGACCTCTACAAGTTGACGGCAAAGGTTATCGTTGTCATATGCTCATATGCTCATATGAGCTACTTATCACACAGTTAATATCCATAGCATCCCTTCCTGCACTCAGCTATGGTCTAGTAGGAAAAGCGCGCTACATATACAAATTTCTCCGGCAGTGGTTTCCTGTTGACAAAAGCATGTGAAAATCATCGTCATCTTGACTACCATAACTGCTGGATGTACACAAACATTTGGACGTGACTTTCGTAGGATGAAAAGACAAAATACCCTAGTTGTCAAACCTTGTGACCTCAGGATATTTCATCAAAGTTTATATGTAGAGTAATACGTAGGATTAGTATGGAATGATAATGCATAAATTCACATTTTGATTTACCAGAAAGTCACAGAAGCACCACAGAGAACAACTGTCATATATTTTACGTTGTAGAGATATTTTGTGAAATCGACCAGTTCATTGTTATCAGGATCCTCCTCAGCCACAAATCTTTCGGTGCTCGTAGGCGTTTCTTACGAGGATGTCGAACGCGTCTAAAAAATAGACCAGGGCGTGTAAGCCCGGTCTAAATAATACATTTCCATAGCTGTATAAAAACTTGCACAGACAAGCCCAGAGGTCAAGGGTCAGGCTAGATTATATTAAATAGGCTCGCTGTGCAATACGTGAGTCCCGAATGGCAAAAAAGAGATATTATCCAAGCCTATATCTCGGCCAGATATTGATAAACGAGACGCTGCGACGACTAAATCTGCCACAGCCAGTTACTTCAAAACTCGTTCAAAATCGCCCATGTCCCGGGAATCATTGGAATTGTGTCATTCTTGGCATATGCAGGCAGGCCTACAGGGACCGAGCGAGGCTCTAAATTGCTGGTTGGTAGGGGCCTGTAGTGTCTATGGAAAACATGGGAATGGCGGCAATTGAAGCAAATTCATGCTCCGTACAACATCACCTTAAAGAGGGCTCCGGTTCCGAGCCTCACGTTTCCCGTCTCTTCCTGCCGAGCATGAGAATTTCAAACAGCCGGAGGGGTAACGTTACGCAGTCAGGGAGGTGGGGGGTGGGGGGGATCGGATCCACGAGGGCACTGAACATCCACGGGGAGGGGGAGAATCGGATGATATCCGAAAGCGGTCACTCGAGAAGAATCTGGTGCGGGATCGAGGCGATGATTAGGAGGCAGGGTTAGGAGTCAGGGATCATAATATGATCGCGAAAATGGCCAATAAATGCAGATAGCCGCGCAAAATGGAATTGGCGATCGGGATGGGATCGGGGGATGGGAATGCGGCCGGATCGACGACGACGACGACGGGAGACGAGCGACGGAGGGATCGGCCGAGTGGATTGAAGATTCGATGTCTCGAGCCGTGCTTGTCGCCTCGCATGCCCGCTGGCAAGGCGCGTGATTAATGTGTCGGCGGACCGGCGGATTTTCGAGCGAGCTCAGTCGCCCGCCGGTCATGTCCCGGCGAAGAGTGACCACAGAGCCACCCTGCGGCTGGCGTAGCGGCAGGAGTCGTCCTCCTGCCAAGGGACGAGGGACGAGGGACGCGAAAGCTGCCGGTTACCGTTTCTCGTTGTGTCAGTGCTGCCAGCGGCGGATATTTCACGGTGGCCAGTGGCTCCGTCGACCGGAGGAACGGGTGATCGCGGCGGGCGTTCGACGTCGTCGTCTTCCTATCGAGGGGCGTGTTCTTCCAGGGGGAGCAGAGGAGAGCAGAGGAGAGCAGAGCAGAGGCGGGAGCCGGAAAGGTGAGCGACGGGAAAGCGGGAACGAAAGCGACGGGAGCAAGGTTTCCGTTGCGGCGACCGACGTCAGGAGTTGACGCGCTCGGAGAGGCAGAGGCGATTCCCGACGTGAGAGACCACGTGGCTTTTTGACCAGTCATTAGTGCGGTGGCGTGGCGGACTCCGAGTGGGCCGAGTCGGGTAGGGCTGGAGCTCCCGAACGTGGGGCCCTGGAGGGCCGTCAATGCGGTGGCGCCACGTAGCAGGGCGCTCGGAGCTCCCTGAGAAGCTAAAAGCCGCATACGGAATGATTCACCGGAAGGCTGGAGCTCCGACGTCGTCTCATCTGGGGCCGACGATCGACACCCATCCATCTGCTCCCCCGCCATCTCCCTCCCTGCGAACGACGAAGGCCACCCACGACGCCGTCCCTCGTTGTCAGCTAAAAGTCGTCGAGTATCACATTAAATTCCAATCCGCCACGGATTGACAGCTTGATTGATATATTGACTGATTGATTGCTTGACTGAATGCCAGATTGCTTGTATTGCTGCTCGGCCCAGCGCCCACCTGAGCGTACATGTGGTTGCTGCGGCAAGCCAGCCTCCCCGTTTGAATCTCAGTCGTCAATCAATAAAAAACACAGCCTTTCTTCTCTTCCCCCATTATCTCGCTTCTTCAACCCTCTCTCTCCTCTCCTGCCTGCCCATCTGATACATATTCATCTCCGTCGCTATCTCGAGGGACAATCATCGTGGTGTAATTTATTGATCAGTCAGGGAGGGTGTGATCTCCCGCTCGTCGGATTGATTGCCTGAGACTGGGCCACTCTTTCATAGGACAGTGAAACAATTTACGCCGTCCGAATCTCCCAAGAGAGGTCGAGAACGCCAAGGCTGCCGCTGCTGCTGCAGCGCGCGCAGTGTAGCGTAGTGTAGTATAGTGAAGTATCACAGCCTTGGCGACTCGCTTCGCTGAACTTCACTTCATTGCACTTGCACTGCGATGGTGGTGGTGGTTGAGGGGCCTCGCTCGATGACGTGAAGCAAATATTTGTACCGTAGAGGCCTGATTGCAACTGCCGCCGTGCCCTGACGACACAGACACGAAAGGCAGCCCTCGACTCTCGGCCTCGCCTCACGTCTGACCGACCCATTTGGATGATCCGCCTTCTGCTGCAGCAGCAGGACCATCAAGCTTCCCTCGAAAATCCTCGGACCACTCACAGGTGCCTGAACATCGCGCCCGTCGACGTAATGGGCCACTCGTAGCCTCGTCGAGTGCCTGAACTTGCTTTGCTGCCCGCTCCCATCTCTCGTGACCCTTCCACGTCTTCCACCTCACCCGCGTCGTCACACGAATTCGTCCGTCTGAAACACCTTGCGCTGCAATGGAGGGAGCTGCGGTACCAGATTTGTGAGTTTTGACGAGGAGCGTCTGTCGCAGCGGTGCAGAAGGGTGTCTACTCGAACGCCAATCGAAATCGAGCGAGTTCTATTTTCCGGGACTGCTGCGGAGTTCTGGTCGGGAGCGGGGAAAATTTTGAGACTCTGAGCGAGCTGGAGGAGAGCTTCGCGACTCGAACCGATCGATCTATCGGTTCGGCTCTTCGTGCGCCTTCGGAAAGTCGGAGGCAGCCTGAAACCAACGTCGAGACCGCGAGGAATTGCAGCTCATTTGGATGTTGGCCACAGAAGCCTGGCACCAGGAAGGAGCACATTGTGAGGCGATCGACTTTCCCATTCTCAACTCCGTCGCTCGGAAATTTTAGCCAATTGCGGAGCCCGCCGACACCTGTCGGCTTGTGCCCCACCGAAGAAAGACTGCACAGAATTCATCAATCTCATTATCATCATCATCGACTTGCGCCTTTCAGATTTCAATTTTCGAAGGTGCTAGTCCACCGCCTCTAGCTAGATAGGAGGACGTAGATTTCGCCTACGGGACACACCTATTGCTGCTGCACCTTTTCCGCCCCGAGCGACATCGTCATCATCGATCATCTGCAGCAAATTTTGACTCGAGAGCACATTCATCATCGCCCTTCTCTAGTGTCTAGACCGAAGCATCTGCCTAGGGGCTGCCATATCCCCCGAGCTCCTTCGTCCGCTCAGATCCAACGGTCCGAGGCTAGAAAGCTGCCCGCTACCGGAGAGGGCCTCGGGGACACCAGTATCGAAGCCGATAACGGTCTCTATTCGACACGGGGGGACCGTTGCCGTCTGCCCGCGAGGGGGAGAAATTTTGGGACTCGGAGGCGAAGGCGAAGGGCGATCGAGGGGGGCGGCGCAAGGAGGCGAAGAGGTGGGGAAGGATCGATGGGGCAGGCGCTGAGGGTGAGCTGCGGGAATACTGCGGGGCAGCAGTTGTTTTCGGCAATCCGGGAAGGCGATGTGGAGTACGTGCTGCAGATGTTGCGGGACGAACCGAAACTCCTGAACGCCGGGTTCTTCTACGAGCGTCTGGCGCCTCTTCATGTCGCTGCTCAACAAGGACAGCTCCAGGTACGCTTTCTCTCGTCGTTCGACTCACTTGCTTCTGCTTCGGGTTGCTGCTACCAATGCTTCGAGCCAGCTGAGAGAGAGAGAGAGAGAGAGAGAGAGCACGCACGCATGCATCCATCAGCTGCGAATTCTTCGGAGCAGTGGCCCCCGACACGATTCGTTCGAGAGCTGCTTGCTCAGATGGATGACATGATGCATCGATCGCATGCGCGAACTGACGGACGGACGCACGACATTCTTGGCGACTCGAGAGCTGGACTGACTGAGCCCGAATGTCTCTGGATTACGTCAGTTCAGATTCAGTGTCGTGAACGGTGTGCTCCTGTTCACCGAACGAGTGGGACGTCGAGACATTCGGCCTCCGAATCGTCGAGCTTCATGCCGCTCGATTTGCACGTCCGGGGCCATCTGCTATCCGAAATCCAGTTACTTTTGGCTGTGCGCCAATCTCAGTACAGTGAGTCAGTGAGTCAGTTAGTCGGTCAGTCGGTCAGTCGTTCGGTAGTTCAGCTCGATGTCGAAGTCGAGATCTGCCCTCGGGACTGTCCACTCGTGCCACGGAGACGTGCAAGCCCTGGGGGGTGGCGCAATCATTCAGTGCGCCTCCGGACATGTACCTTGCGCATCCGGCAATTTGCCTTACGCGCACCTCGATACAGTAAGCGGTACACAAAGTCCAACGCGAATCCCGTAGACTTTAGCTGCCGTCAAGAGCAATCAGGACCTGGAGGCGTGGACCGAGACATTCTGCATGGCTTAAAATATTAGGACATTCGAGGGTGTGAGCGGGGAGGCCTTAGCGTCCGGACCACGCCTGCAGGACGGCGATGGCGATTGCGATGGCGATGGCAGCACCGGGCAATGCGATGAGAAATACGGGCGCAAGACTGTGGCGTGATTGGGATTGAGTGGTTCGGTTGAATCAATCGCTCGTACTGAAGTGCAATCGTGACTCGTCTGTCTGTCTGTCGTCATGATCGCAGATTCTCCAGGTGCTCTTGGAGCGAGGCGCGCAGGTGAACATTTTGAACAGCTCTGGACAGGTGCGTGACATTGAGCCCCAGCAGCTCCCCTGCTGCGCAATGCCTGCCTGCCTGCCTGCCTTTCTTCCCGCCTCCCCGCCCGCTACCTTGGCGAGCGGGCAGGCATGTGTGCGCTTGTCGTCCATCTTCATTCTTCATTCTCAGCGTTGCCAGTCTTAAGCGGACTGGTGCACTGCAGTTCTTTCTTCGCGGACATGGCTTGGCGTTAATGGCAGGATTCTGATTGTGCAGACTCCGTTGATGCTGGCATGCAAATCTGGACGCTGGTCTTGCATTGAACCCCTGCTGGAAGCGGGAGCTAACGTAAGTCTCAATCTCAACTCGATTCTCGTCTCTATCTCTCGCTCCCCCAAATCCTTCGTTCCCACTATTGCGATTTGGTGGTAGGCCCATGGGAGTAAGTCAGTTAGCTGGTGCAATGAATGGCGTGCTCGATGTCTGATGATGATGATGATTGTGCAATGGCTATGGATGTCACTGACTCGTTCCATGGTCGATTGGTTGGGTCGAGCAGGTTTTGGCGTTCGATTACACTCGAGCCAGGACATGCTTGCACTACGCTTCGCGAGGAGGTCACACCGAGTGCGTTCGGCGAATTCTGGCCGCTGCGGCGCAGGGCCCCGTGGCGAATTCGTGGGGCTTCGTGAGGTTCGTTAATGTGCGCGACGGCTATGGCATCACCCCTCTGCACATGGCGTCGCGGCAAGGCCATGCCGGCGTCCTGCGCCTTCTGCTCGACAGCGGAGCTCTCGTGTCCGCCACCACCACCACCACCGGCAATGGGTGAGTCCCCCTTTCTCTCTCTATCACTGTCCCTTCTCTCAATGCGCGCGAAGCCACTCCGGTCACTGATTGCGACAATTTTCTAGTCATAGACTTCGATCCGGATCAATCATGGAGTCTCGTCTGCACAAGTCGAGCGGCGATGATTGTCCTCGAGGACAGGACTCGTAGGACTTGCGAGCCTTCCATTGGTTTGCCTTCCCATCCTTCCTTCGAAGGAGATCGATGAGGCCTCGAGCAAGCGTAGCGAATCGAGCTCCGCAGCAAACTTCGAGTCGTCGATAGAATGCGTTCAAGGTGCAAAGGGTCACTTGGTTTTGCAGATGGGAATGGGCCAGAGAGAGAAGTTTGCACACTCTGTGATTGAAGTGCACGATAGAAGTCGACAGTCCAGAGGAGGACGAAGGGGAGGAAGAGGCCAAAATGCGAGTCTGTCAAATGTTGTCAGTCCAATCGGTCGATTTAGAGGGAGAGAAATGCTTGTGCCAAATCATGTGTTCTGAATGGAACAGGGCCGCAATACCATGCGCACCCCCATCTGTCTGGAGCAGGCCTGGACATGGAAGCACGCCGATACACTGCGCTGCTCGTGGAGGATCGTTGGAGTGCGTGCGGGAGCTTTTGGCGTGGGGAGCAGATCGCACGCAGCGGGATCTCACAGGGTAAGCGAGTCAATCAAATTTGCAGCTCGTGCTCTGTGTACGCTTCGGTGTAGTCCACCAGTTTATGCTTCTGCCTCGTTGCGATTTCGTCTTCCCTCAGCTGCTCTGAAGCAGAAGAGAGAGCTCGGTGCTGAACATGCGTCGGTGCGCAGGTACACTCCATACGGCATAGCCATGAAGTACAACAACACCGCATGCGCTGCAATATTGAATCCGCATGGAGCCGAGCCACTGGTTTGGCCATCACCCTGGAAGTTCATGAGCGAGCTCGAGCCCGAAGCCAAAACTTTGTTGGAGGCTGCGTTGGCTCAGGCTAACGACGAGCGCGATCGCGAGATGTCTTCACGGTCCAGTCGTGCTCAGTCCACCAAATCCAAAGGGCACACGAAGCGAAGGACTTTGGCGGCCGTCCTGTCAGCTCCCGAGGCAGACGAAGTACCTGCTCCTTTCGTTCCTCCTGCTCGGAATCAAGAGGAAGACAAGACTGAAGAAGCCGCCAAGGACACCACAGCCGATGTTCCTATTGAGGTGAGATACCATGGTGGCTTCCCGTTGCTAGTCTCAGTCAGCTCCTCCTCACTTTGCCCACTCCCTCTGTCTCGGTTCATGTCATGTCGAGGCATGATCTACAGATCCGAATCCAGGTGCTGTACAATATGTGCATCCTGTCCTGTCATCTGACAGTTACTCACCAGCAGTCAAACAACTCAAAGTGGAGATGTTTACACGCGTGGGTTCTGGACGGACTGGTCTACTGCTTCGTGGATAAGTCTTGTGCTGTGAGGATGATCGTTGCACTCTTCTCGAGCTTTTTGGAAAACAATTCGCTGCCACGTTTTCTGGAGTTTCTACTTGGCTTGATGCCATATCTGGGTGGATCTGGAACTACAGCTGATGGCTCTTTTCGTCATCTGCTGACTGAAAGTCGAGCTTCAGTGTTGCGAAGAGTTTATGTTTGCTCAGTTTTTTATCTGTCTGATTGATGGTCCGAGGGTTCAGGTGGAAATTGGGAAGTTCTGACAAAGAGTGTGCTGGATGTCGTGTGGGGTGTGCAGACTGGAGGTCTGGGAGTCCAAGAAGTTTGTTGCATCTGCTTTGAACAGTTTTGTACTATCGAGGTGAAAGAGTGTGGTCACCAGATGTGCGCAACTTGCACACTCTCGCTCTGTTGTCACAGTAAGCCCAATCCAGCAATCCCTTACTCTCCACCTCCTTCTTGTCCGTTCTGCCGTCGCAACATCGGTCATCTCATCATTGCCCGTCCGAAGACGAAACTTCAAGAGAGCAAGGAGAAATCCAGATCCAGGAGGTCGAGAAGATCAGGCGGATCGAGACACAATTCGAGAGGAGGATCTGGCGGCAAGGGTTCCTTCAGCGGACCTCTTTTCAGTAGCAGAATAATCAGCGGCAGATGCGGATCAGGTGGACGATCAGGTAGAATCGTCGACATCGACTGGCTCACCAGGTTGTAGGATAGGACCTTTTCAATCCCTTAGTTCACTTCAGTCAACAACTTCTTTCAGTTCACAGCGATGTTCAATCTTCACGAACCCCTGGAAACAAGCACCCTCTACTGCGCTTTACTGCATCAGATCTTTTCTTCAGTCGAACAAAGCGCCTCGAAGTCGTCCATTGTGGGGGATCCGGACCTCAAGAGAACCTTTTCGAAAATAGCTGTGGCAAGCGAGTCGATTTGAACTGATCGTCTGACAACACCAGCTCATGGACAACTTCATCTTGTCCATGCGCCCAGTCGTCCTGACCCTCGTCAGTTCTCATCAACGCGGTTGTAGGAATTTAGAAGTTCCCCTTCCCCTAGGTTCTCTTTTGTAACCTACTATTCTTGTTTTCCGATTATGCAGTTCATGATTCTTTGTAGCTCCAGGTTTTTCCCACCACTTGGTTGTCCGGCTGAAGTTCTAGCGGTCAGCTGGTGGTTTTCTTAATTCTGTCAGCGTGCAAAAGTATTCACTGCTTTTAGCAGCAGATGAGATTGTTGTACAAAATTTCGTAGAATGCACAATCTTGTATATCGCATTGTGTGCTTTTGTCACAGTTGTGGTACGTCAGCAACTCAATTTTTTGTCATTTGAGTCGATGAGGAGAAGCTCTACCGAGGGTTTCGCGGCCTTCAGATTTGCTGGCCAACATTGGGATGAAGATTCACTTTCCTCCCTCGGGTCCTGACAGTGCTTCTTGCACATCTTGTCACCTTGCGTTGGAACCTGCAGTACTGTTTACAGAAATTGCTTTCTTCAGTGAATGTGAGTAACCTGAATCCTCTGATCACCAACCGATTCTGTTCACACACGAAGCAATAAAATGACTGGGGTTTGGATTCTGAACATCGTGACCGCCTAGTGACCCAAGATGCCTTGACCAACTTTTCCCACTTTATCCTTTTGCTTTCGTGCGTAATCCGCCCACCAGGGTGGCGTGGAAAATCATCTCCTTCGTAACAATCTCCTTTGCACTCTACAAAAACTCGTAAGTTTCACACTTCACAATTCTCGTTAGATTTGGAAGCCCGTCAAATCCAGATGATAAATCTACCTGCTCCATTTTTGAAAGAGCAAAGCACGCCCCTCTCAGCGATTTATCCAGCAAGAATCTTTTCCCTCTACTCTGTTCGCCTGAAGTTTGTAATTCCTGCACCCAAAACCTCAGTTAAGGCGAAGATTGGCACTGTGACTGGCACCGAGAGATTGGAGAAACACGGTAGAAAATCCGCTTCTTGACGAATGCCATGCGTCACTGCACTTTCCACCACAAATCGCAGCCCTTAAGTGACTCACTCCATCAACGAGCTTCTGATCAGAAGATGAGTCAGTATTCGTTAAGATCGCTGGCTGAGGGCACCCCCGTTCCTCCTGTAAAGCAGTGAAAGTTGCAGAAATGACGGTGGAAGAATCCTACTTTCCGAACCCTGTCAAGTACCTTCAGATTGACACACAAAGCTTTCAAACTGCCGTTATCATGATGTAAATACTGCCACTCTGATCGTCGAGTCTATCCTTTGCCTAAATGTGGCCTGCAGTCGACCTGGTCCGATCTACCCCGTTCAAAGGCAATCGCCGGAAAAATCGGGTGGCCTGTGATTTCTTCTGTACCGAACTCAGTGGATGATCTGCTTGTTTATGATGCGGGGAAGAGTGGCAGACGCATAACGAAAAACTAGAAAGACCATATCAATTTTATCGCCTTAAGAAATATGCTTTACAACTAGTGTTGGAGGCACAACTCAAAAAAGGCATGACCGCGGGCGAGGGCACGGGGGCATGCCATACGGGGCATGCACGCATGTACGGAAAAATTTATACGTATATTCCAGAGTTATAGACGGTGGGATAAGTCAGAAAATAAATGGGAAATTATGCTTGTTGTTGGAACTGCATGGTTCTAAGAATGTTCTTGGAATTGAAGGATTTGCCAAGTATATGCAATGCTGTTTTGTGTCGGTACATGGGATGTAGACAGGTCCTCCGGCTTGTTGATTGTTTCTCCTTCTAAGAGTGATTTATTTCATAGAAGTATATTTTTTGATACATTAAATATACGTATTGTATTATGGGCATGCCTGGGGCATGGGGCCTGCCTTTTGACCTTGAAAGTGGGCATGGGCATGCCTCGAAAAAATTTGTTGTGCCTCCCTGTTTACAACACAGTACTCAAATAGAGCAGCATCTTTTGTTGCCTCTTCTAACCCATCCTACAAGGTTGTGAGTTATAGGTGGAAAAATTTTGATGTCCATCAACTGTGTAGCATTAGAAGGTTTTATATGACATAATGTGAACATGAATTTTGAAATAAATAGTACAACAACCTAAGCACTCGTTGAAATCAGTGTTCAAATTTCCATGTACTTATAATGTTGAGAACAAAAGATGTATTCAATAAAGCACGGATGTGGACGGTGGCCAGGACTCTTCAGGCCCCTGCTCTCGTCGGCTCCCTCTCCCCATAGCTACATGTGCAGCAAGATATGGCAGGGAGATGAAGTGGACGAGGTGTTGATGTCGGGGAATTCGGTCGATCGAGCGCGTAGAGTTTATGGTACTCGGACAGATGTAAGACAACTGAAGGTGCCCGCCATTCCTCCGCCGTGACCATGGAATGAAACGACCTCTCTCGTGTCAAATGCCCTGATTCTCCCGAAGAAGAACCGAGCAATCGAAACTCGTCCGGCGCTCTGTCTGCCAGCGAGTGATTTGCTCTTACAACTTCAGCTGATCCTGCTCGGAATTGGTCACCTGGTGGAATTATTCAGGAATTGACTTGTCGATTTATCGCAACCTCATGGATGCCACAAAAATGGGTGGATGTTAATCCTCATGGATGCATGTTATTGGAACTCTGTTAATCTGAAGTCTTCCTACCTTGCTCCTTAGGGTTATGATTTGCATCCAAACAACATGTCTACGATCGAGGCCCCGGACCTCGCTCGAGTAACCGACTGCTCTTCTCTTCCCACCCAACCACTTTCTGCTCACGCATGAAACGATGCTCCAAACAGCTTCACTGTCCTTCTGGACAGTGAAGTTTAGTTTTGCTATTTGGAAACAAAGGATCTCGAGCCGTCTGCTGGCCACACAGATGCTCTACGGGGCTTCCTTCCCAAAAATGCGAAAAATGATCGATTGTGAGGAATGCAGATGATCGAAAAATGAGGATCGATCGTCGATGCCATATCGAAATGTCCAATATTGATTGATATGTCCAATCGTCGCAGATGATCGATAAATGAGGAATGGTGATTTGCGGTTCGTGATAAGGAGTGAGAGTGGAGGTAAAGGCAGCAAGCGCTTCTTGGGGACCAATGGACGCAAGAATTCCAGGGCTATCTGAGAAGTCTGAGAATTAAGTTTTAAAATGTGCCGACATGACACCTGTTGATGGACGAGGTAGTACCTCGTTTCGATCAGAGGCGGAAGAAGCTGCCAGGTCCACGTTTGCCAACGCTGCGAGGAGACTGCCTCCGGACGATGTCGAATCCTCTCGTTTCCCCTTGCCCTGTCTTCTCCTCTGTCGCCCCCGGATGGACACTCAGAGCCACAATAAGCTTCCTGTCTTACAATCATCTTCAGTCGACTGCAGACTGAAGATGATAAGACCTCCGAGGTTTCATCGTTACTCTTCCTCGTCACAATTGCGGAAGCTTTTACTTCCTGTAAAGGCCAGGTCCGCTTAGGTTCTGTCCGAACGGAGATTGACTTTACTCCTTAAATCAGGCACTACGTCCAGATTTACCATTGCTCACAGAGCAGATTACGCGAAAGAACCATGGACAAGAGAATGATCGATTGATTGGATCATTAGGGTCTGTTGTGGAGACACGGAGTGAGGAAAGTGCCCCCGAGTACGAGTCACAGGCAGGAGGGGCACTTGGCTTATTACCCGAGCGTGTGTGTTGTTTCCAAGGAATTACGAAGAGTGAGCACAAGCTTCTCAGTTGAGAATCAGTCAACGCCTTCTGCGGATCAAGTGGATGTGGGTGTGAAGTCGAAGAGAAGAGAAGAGAAGACGAGGGTGTGGCAACCAACCAGCAACCAAAGCTGCAGAATCTGGATTTTGAAAAGGCTGCGGAAACTGGTCACATCAACTTGACGAACGAGACGGAGGGAAGGTCAGTGAAGTCAACGACATCGAGCCCCAAGAAAGTTGGACACATCGAGTCTGGCGATGTGAGTGCTGCCCGGCTGAAACTCGTACACTAATTCATAACCGAGCATTGGTAGGTTTGCCATGCGTGACTGCGTGCCTGCCTGCCTGCCATGCCAGTGAAGCTGAAACTGTGTGCCAGCCAGAAGCTCGAAGAGTCCCATTATCTCGCAGCAACCAAAAAGGGCAGCAGCTAGACTTCGTTGGAGTTAGATGTAGCCAACAGAGTGCTAATGGGCGAAGACAGACGGACAGAAAGAAAGCGAGCAAGCAAGCGAGCAAGAAAGAAAAGGCAGTGGTCAATTGACTAATCAGCAGTGCAAGGCTTTCTGGTAAACAACTGCAAGTCTGTTGTTTACAACAGACTTGCAGTTGCTATAATGAGCCTAGATTTGGAGGAAATGGGGGCCAGATCTGCTCGTCTCTCCTCCCACCCCATCCTTCCTTGGCGACTGGGAAGCATTTGGCTTGCACTGTGGACAGGAGAGACGACGTATTCGTCAGCACCATCGGGCAAGGAGAAAACGTGTTCTTTCCAGAGCGCTGCCAAAACCTCAAGCCCCAAGGAGGCGAAAAAGATCAAAAAGCACCACCATCAAAAAAGCCAACGTAGATGACAAAAATTGAGGCCAACTAATCGATGTCTTAAAGATTCAGTTTGTCCTCCTCGGTCCAAACTCACTTCCCGATGAGAAGACCTCCATTCAGAGAGAGAGAAAGAGAGAGAGACGCAGTCTTCAAGCGGAATCCATGGAAGACCAGGATGGATCACCATGCTCATGTACGACGAATCTGGTGATTCTGGTTCTAGGCTCACGCGAGTACATGGGAGATCTCTCGGACAACCGCGGGAGTAGAGCTGTTGCCAATGCTCAAGAGTGGCCCAAGAGGCCCTGCTGCAGCTGCAGCTGCAGCAGGGCCTCGTGCCATCATTAAGGGGGAAACCCTTTACAGTCTTGGGAGCCTTCGTCCGAGAGCTACCAGTATCATGAGCGCGTAAGATTTTGTCCCATGGGCAGAGAAGAATCGAGTCAAACGGACCAATCGGAGAATTTTTTCGGAAAGATGAGCATTCGATCCACCCAATCGATATCCGCAATGCGGACCCGGGTCTTCTCTCCTCATCCTCCTCCAGGAACTTCCAAATTTCGGATCATCTCATCTTTCTAGACCAGAGCTCGATACTCTCCTCTCCCCTCCCCTCCTCTCCAGTCCCAACTGGATCTACAGCAAGCTATCCTCCCTCCCTCCCTCCCTACTTACAGCTACATCTCGTGCTCTTGTCATCCTCCTCCTCCTTTCCGTCTTCTGCAGTTGCTCTTTTTGTTTTTCCTCGCCTGGTTGACTTGTGGACGTCTAGACCTTCCTCATTCATCATCACCATGCTCCTCTTTCTCTCTCTAGCTGCACATGTTTAGGCGGAAATCCGGGTTCAGACCGAACATTGCCCGCCGGGAGACACTCGGTCCGGACAGAATCTGAGATTGTTTGCGTGGCCTGGGCTGTGGAGCAACTTCGTCATCGGGTGAGTGGATGACATGAGTTGCTCTCGAGTTTCCAGGCTCATGAATGTCCGTGAAAGTGCAAGCGTTCGGAAAGTGTGTCTTCAAACCACGGACAAAGGTCTGTGACATCTTGGGATCAGCTATGACGGATCCAAGTGTGTGCAGTTCGACTGATGGTTTCCCTACTCTCGCGGATCTATGGCGCGACACTTCGATCCACCCGCGGAGTGTTATGATTTCAGGGTCGGAGGTGGTAGTCGCCTATATTTTGACAAGTATTTAGTGAAATTCGCTTCCGATCGTCGACAGAAGCAGCAGCAGAAGGATTTGGCCCTCGGAACCATTAACGCGAGCAATTCTCGACTCAAGCAGACACTTCTCTCGATACAATTTCCGACTCGAAATGCGTTTCTCGTTTCTACTTACTTCTCCCTCCGGCTCCTCGTTCTCCAGCAAACTTCCTCCTCCTCCTCCTTAGATTTTCGAAAGCTTAATCCCAAACCAGGTGACGGATCAATGTCAAAGCTTCATTGGGAAGAGTGCGTGCGTCCTGGCCGAACGAACCTCCTCGAAGTATCTACTAAACTTTGAATGGCTTCCACTTTCCCGATTAAATTAAACATGCCCATCTCATGGCCACGCTAATACAGCCGACTGGCTCCTAGCGTTCACCTCGAGGGGATTGTGTCAGTGGGTCAAAGTCGGAGGCTCGCGTTCTTTTGAAGCAGACGTCGAGTCAGACGTTGGCAATATTCCGAGTATGAGAGCTTGGGAATGAGTGAGCGAGCCAGAGTCTCTTTTGATCATGATCCATGAGTCCTCCTCCTCCTCGTCCTCCACTGCGAAGATTCTTTCGCCCCTCTCCCGTCCAAAAAGTCGTCTTTCCGCCTCTCCTCAAAAGACTCAAAAGAAGTTCTTGTAAGCATCTCGCCAGTTTCCAAATGGATCACGAGACCTCAAAATCTCGGATATTCTCTCTTTTCTGCCCAGTGCAGTTTCAACTACTTCCTTCCTTCCTAGCCCTCTGTCCAGTCCGAGGTGATAATAGATCAGAGCATATCATTGTTTTTCGATCGAGCTGCGATCCAACTCATCAAGAATTGCCGCTCTGCTCGTGGAGAAGATGATGGACCGGACTATGGAAGAAACATTCTCTTCAGTCTCATGAGGTCCATAATTCTTGAGTCAATCGCAGGGGATGGGAGACAAGAGGGCGGGCATGAATTTTACAACGTGGTGGACATAGCTACATGTCGATTGTTTGACAAGTTTTGTTATGCATTTATGCCAGTGGACGGTGTGATCTTTCCTCGGGGATGGGGTGGAGGACGAACCATTAAGAAATTCTATCTCGGCGCATATTCGCAAGCATCAAAGGACAACAAATGGATTGTACTGACTGGCACCCAGAAGGTACTGAAACTCGAGTAAAACGTTTCCACTCTCTCGGCATCTCGATGTCCCTCTGTTTATCGTTACGGAAGTCGAACCAGGAAGTATTTAATTGCATTCATTAGTATTTTGTGCACGATGCTCATAGCCGGGAATGGAGGCAGAGGGAATAGTAATCAATGGCTCAGGACGCAAATGTTCACCCAGAAGAAGACGCTTCCCTCGAGCTCCATCTTCTGCTTCCATGGATGTCACTCAAGCTCACTCCATGAACTGATGGAAAAAATCATGACTCGCCTATGGCTCAAGTGGAACAACTAACTCCTCGGGAACAATATGAGAGGGGCACAATGTACATTTTCCTTTAAGTGCAACATCCCCACACGATCTCCTTCCCATCTCCTAAGACGAGAACTCCCTCCATAACGCTTCTTGACGTGATGGTGGCTTCATCTTGTAGACCAAAGCCCCAACTCTCCAGAAGCACATGAATGAACAGGCACCTGATAAATTGAAGCCGAGAACTTATGACCTCAGTGAAGTTTATCCTTCCCGCTCCTCGTATCGACGGTACTTCTGGTGAGCGACACCGAATCTGAAGTGGTAAGCATGTGAAAGCTCCGCAAGCCATTATTAACGAGAGCCCGTTCGGTGGTGGCAAGACGTCTGAGGTATTGATATCTGGTGCCACTTGGTATGATCGAATGAATGAATGCATGCATGAATGAATGAGGAATGAATGAGGCTGTGAAGGTCGAGCTCCAACGACGAGACGGGACGAGATTGAGACGAGACGACATGAGGAGCGGCCTTGCATTCATTCGATCGAGCGTGAATTGATTGAGGTGGGTACGAGAGAGCATCATGTTGGGTTAGCCCATAACAGGTAGCGTAATAAGAGGATAAGTGGAAAGGATGTGGCGACGAGACCACAAGAGAGGTACTTGGATTCCGTGGGTGCGGATCCTGCTTCATCATTCGCAGGATGACTGGAATCCCGTCGGGTCTCCGGTCATGCGCCTACTTTTGAGCTTCATCAGTGATCATGGGCAACGGACTGTCAGACAGAAAAAGAGCCATGGCAAAGATTGTACGATGAAGTGCAAGTGCGTGAGTGTGTGCGCTCCCTCTCGTTGGAGGCTTCGAATCTGACGGAGGGGAAGGGACTCCGTCCCTCCCTCCTCACACTCACTCACTCACTCGGACAGCATAAACAAAGCAAAATATGGAAAGCGAGGGGACCCACTTCTAATGATGAGCAATACATTCATTTATGCGGCTGCTTTCTCTGGTCCTAGATTCTACCCAATAATTTAGCACGAGTATGCGCGAGTTGTCACCCTCGACCTCACCGGGAGCAAGTCGCACTCCCCGAACATCGAATGTCAAGCCGGCTCTAGGCGAAAGGGGGCCTGGAATGCCCTTGTGGTCAAGATAAGGCCCTTTGCGAGCCCCGGAATATTTGTTATTCACTTCGGTGGACAAATCAAGGGCTCTTCTCGTGCTGCTGATCGCATGTCTCCATGTTTTCGGGCGTTCCTGCCTCCCCATTCGCTTGCGCTTCGTTGGGGTCGTCGGTGAATCCCTTGCATGTTATTCCGATCGGCATCAACTGCCAAATTGCATCCAGCTCCATTCTTTCGGTGGCTGCGGATTTTTTCGCTGTATAATTTCCCCAGTACTCCTCGCTCTGCTGACTGATTTGTTTCTCATCCTCCCCCCTCCCTCCCTCCCTTCCTCTCTCTTGGAACAACATCCTGAAGGTAGCAAACCTCGTCCACCAGCCCATACGATCTGCTGTAAGATTAGAGGAAGCTCTGCTGTACTGCACTGCTCTGCACTGCACGAATCTGGATCCTGGACTGCATTTGTATTTGGCTATTCCGGTACACGTGGCCCACCTACTCTAAGCCATGAGAACCTCAAGTTGGAATGTGAAGCTCGAGGATGGAGGCCTTCCTCTCATTCGCCCACAATGACAATTCGCCCATGAATGAATGAATGGATGAGTGTTCATGTCCAGCTCCGGGAAGTCGGCCGCCTCACCTCCCAATCCAACGACTTCCACGAGGACGGAGGAAGAGTTTGGGGGGGTTATTCGTCCACCACTTCAGTAGAATGTAGCTCGATTTAGCTCGCTTCGCACTCTCGTGACTTGCACACGAGCTATTCATGTAATCGCCGACCGGCGCGCGCAAGTGACTCCAGTTTTGCTGGGGCAAGTTGGGTTTGTACCCGACAGTGACTCGACTTCTCAAGTGGTGGTGATGTCTGGGTTTAGGTTCAGAATCCGGAGTCATGGATCTCGTCCTGCCCATCGAACACATGTTGGTGTTGGGAGGGAGACTCTTGGGCGGGGAGATCCCATGCACACGAGTTGTCTACCATCCACGTACTGTCGAGCACGAGGAGTTTCAACTTTCAGCCATTTCATATACAACATCAAGCATCGAGACCCACGGGAGGTCATATGCCATACAGTCGTCTAGCTCTCCATCGTACGCTTTGGCCTCGCTAACACGCGCGTGCCAATTCTCGCAGTCAACCTGGCTGCCTTGCCTGGCTGGGTTCCGAGGATGGGGAGGGGCCTTTGATGCGATCAACATTATCTGAATATCACTCGTACCATAATTCCATTCTTTTATTCATTTTCCAATGAGATGCAGATTATGCCGTCGATGTGTTCCACCCCAAATGTTCATTGCATTCTGGTCTAGGGCCCCTCCACAAATTGTACAAGTCAATGTTCGAGCTCCAAACTGTACGTGTAGACTGACGATGCCAGGTATTTAAGAGGTGTGAATTGAAACAAGCAAATGAAATGTCGAAACACAATTAAGGACGTAGCTGAGCTCCCGAGCTTCACACTTGTTCACTCTACCAACGCAGCTCTTGAAGTATCAACGGAGGAATGGTTGTGATATATGATGTATGAGGATGAGGAATTTCCATCGGTACGAAGCTAGTACCCAAACTTGGTTCCACGCACGCACCTGTACTGGTAGACATCTACAGCAGCTCTTGAATTCTTCATTAACGCTTGCTGTTTTCGTAGATGAGAATGACCTCAAGTCTCGGCCAAATCATGTATGGGAGAGAGATGAACCAAGTCCACTGCGAAGGCCGCCAAAGGATCAAGAAAAAGTGATGACACACGCCTTCACAGTGACAAGCCTGATCTGGGATGCTATGGTGAGAGCATCCAGGACAAAGGTTAAGGAGGATGCTCGATGGACATTTCACGAGGAATGGAATGATGGACATAATTGTGAGATAAAATGCCAATCTCGTGCTGGAAACGTGAGTCGCAAGTTGGGTATCTGAAACGTGACCTACAAATGGACGCAGAGGTGAAGGACCGATGTGGCACTGGCAGCTTTTGGGTGTAGCAGTGACTCCAAGACATCCCCTGCAGCAAAAGCAACTCCCCAGTCTTCAGTCCTGACACGAAAAATGAACATCTCTGCCCTGCTCTGCTCATTTTCCCATATCTACAAATCTCCAGAAAACGGCTTGAGCAAGCCCAAATCGAGTGCCTTGGAGAAGGCCCTCGCCCTCGTCTGTGGGCCCCTCCTGCTCCTGCTCCTCTCTGGGCATTGCGGGCGCCCGTCCTGAAGCATTCTCTGGCTCTTCTCTGTCCATGTCTCTCGGTCAGCATCTCTCTGACCTCTGCCTCTGCTCTGCCTCCCTCTGCTCACAAGCGATCCTGTTGTCCGAGTTACGGGGACTTTCATCCACCATTCATGTCCTTCGTACGCATCCTCTTTCGTCCCCACATCCTTCTGCCGTCTTGGGTCTGCAACGCCCCTTCAAGAGTCACATTCCATGTTCCTAAAATCAGAAACTCGAGTCACATTTCGCCTCGTCCTTCTTCTTCCTGCTGTGAGAAGTCGACCTTCCAGCACTGCCATGAATTCGTTCCACTACGAAATCGAAGGCCATGGAACAATTCCTACTTCGCTGTGCCTTGCAGTCAGCTACGACATAATGAAGAGATTCCAAGATACAAGAAAATCTTAAAGGAGACTGTACTGTATACTGCTTTTAAGAGGTGTCGCCGAGTAAGTAGAAAATGAAGGTTAGATAAAAGTCCCCGATCAGAAACCAAACCAGAAAATCTCTATTACCCAATAGTATCACTGTGTATATCACAATGTTTTAATCGAAATATTATAGGAATAATTATCAAATGATTATAGTCTATATAGGCTATGTATACAAAATAACAATAGTGATTCAGATACCATTTTACTATTCTTCATAAAAGTAATATCTCTCAATTAATACACTTCTATATCTAGGAAATTTTAATATCGTTACAGAACCTTAGATTGGGAAATTCTCGTATTGCTATTCCATAAAGATAGAAATTATCTTTGATTAAACAATATCAGGTGTAAGATTGGTAGCCACCAAGTTTACAATAAACATATAATACATCCATACCAATTTGGGTATGTATGAACAATACATTATTAACAGTATGTTGGTTGCCTATACTTTGGCTGTATCATGGTCAACAAGTCATAAGAAATCATGATATTTATAAACTAATATATTTATAAAGCATAAAGTTGTGAATAAAATAACCAAATCAAATGATAAGGCTCTGGACATGGTCTCAGTTGTGCCATGTGACACGATCAAATGAATTTTTTGGCCATAACTTTCATACAATCGAAACACAGCATCTTGTTCAGAAATCATCTGGTTTCGAGTATATTACCGAAGCATGCCATCCAGCGTAGTCCGGGAAAATGGCCACATCTTTCTTCACCAGAGACGGTTGAATGAGATTTACATCCCCGGGCTGTCAGAGAGAGCCAGCCAGCCAGCCAGATATGGACGGGGATACAAGTCATCGACCTGACTGAAAACGCTCACGCAGCAGCAGCAGCAGAAGCAGCAGTGTTGTCTATTTCAGGACTTCCAGGATTTTCTTTTGTTGAAGGATATCTCCTCATTCGTGCCTGCAACATATTAAATCTAATCCCCATCGGATCCGACGATCGGCAGATGTCGACCAGAGCCCGAGATCCGATTCCCGCCGTTAACATGAAAGAATCTTTTTAGCACAGAGGATTTAAGATGACCCGTATCCGTTTCGAATGAGAATCTATCGCAAGATATCGCAAATAGTATAACGAAACGAAACCCCTGGGGGGAACGGTCATTAACCCCTCGCCCCTCTCGCCACCTTCCCTTACCCAGTGGTGAATGCGCCTCAATAAGTGGGCACACGTCCCCAGGACTCGATGTGTTATAGCAAGAGCATCAAGCAACAGTTGGTGCCTCTCCTCTCCTCTCCTCTCCTGCTGGTCGGGCTCTCCGCCGTATGCCAAACAGTAGTCTGTACATGCCTTCGTCCTCGCACAGAATTCACAGAGCGACAGATTTTCTGCAGAATAAAGGCAGAGCTGCAGCTGTTCATAGTCCGGATCTAACTCAACGAGAGAGAGAGAGAGAGAGAGAGAGAGAAACTGTCTCCATGCGGAAGGCAATTGCAGTGTGCACTTCCATGTGCACAGAGACCAGACCAGAGCCTCGGATGCACCTGATGTACATGGGCAGGTGACGTGGTAGGGAAAGGATAAACTAGAGCGAGTCAATGCGTCCGTATGTGCCAAGAGGTTGTGGCCGAAAGGGGTTTCAATTCAATTCGAGGAGTACTAAACGAGTAATATATAGAACCGAAAGGATGGCAAGAGCCCATCATCCATCAAGTGGTACAGGGATGAATGAATGAGACTCAAGGGGCAGAGAGAGGATGAGGGGCTAGGCCCCAAAAGCGGGTTTGCATGATTGAGATGTGCCATTGAAAACCTCATTGTGCACTAGGCACAAGTTCCTTCTGCTACACGGAAGGAAGGGAGGGTGGGCTGTGATTGCAAAAATAGTAGGAGACCACTTCGAGCAATTATAAGGCCAAATGTGCATCCAAATCCACCGTGGATCTCCTCGAAACGCTAGTTCTGCGCAATGGTATGGACTAAACCTTGTCCATATTACAAATTTTAGTAAATTAGGAGCAAGTCTAATTTAATGCCACTCTCGTATGAGCTTCTACATGATGAACGACTGACTGTACTCTTGGAGATGAGGAGGAACAGATAGAAGCACAAAGTTCAGTGTTTTGTTTTTGTTCACGTTCAAGGAGATAACAATCGCACGGAGACCCAGATACCGTTCACCTCCTCGTCGAGATGGAAGAGAAGAAGAAGCAATCTCATTTGACGAGAAAAGGTCGCCTCGTTCCCAGTAAGCAAGCAAGCGATGCATTGAAGCAGCAACTTGGAGGAAGAGACGTTTATGTCCTCGATGCCCCTTCCGATGTGGACGTAGGAAGGACTTTCCACTTTTTCTCTCATGCCCAATGAGAGAACACTCTTCCGTCCGTCCGTGTCCGTCCGTCCGTCCGTCAGTCCCATCCTACGACCACGTCTAGAACTCATGCTCCAGTTCTCAAGATGAAAAGACACTATCCATCAGATTGTCACAACAACGAGTGTTCAATTATTGAAATGGCAATTTGGCATGGCGAGATAACACTTGGGGCGTTCCTACATTCTTGGAAATTCCCTCAGAGTTCCAAACTGGGGAGAACGAAGGAACGAATGAACGAAAGAAAGAAAGCAGAAAAGCAAAGATCTCACTGCAGCTGCAGGAAGATTCTACTCGAATAAATCACCATCTCACACAAGCCAGCCAGCCAGCCCAGCCCAGCCCAGCCCGCAGCAGCAGCAGGACGAGGACGAGGAGGTACTGGACAGGACAGGACAGGACAGGACAGGATCGTCTGGAGCAGCCACCAGGAGAGTAGTAGCGGTAGAAGTAATAAGAGTAGTGCTAGTAGACCAAGAGAGCGATGGAGCCAGGAAGAACGAGCGACGAATAGTAGGCATCTACGCGAGGGTGTGTGTGTGATTCTGGTGCGTCATATATAATGACCCGGTTCATTATTCCATCGAGCATCCAGAGACTAGCCGAGCCGAGAGAAGCAAATAGCAAATAGAAGCAATAGCAGCTGCTGCTGCTGCTGCTCCTCTAGTCCTAGGCTTCTTCCCTCAGGCCCCCTCGCCTGCCCTGGCCTGGGCTTCCCTTCCCTCCCCTCCCCTGCCTCCTCCTCCTGAGATCTGACGTGTCGTTTCCTATTGCTGTCCGCCTTGTGCTCATGGATTTAAAGCAGTCTTGAGGCCCAGTCCCGCAAGAGCAGGAACGAAGGACTTTCAAGGAAGGAAGGCAGGCAGGCAGGCTTGCTTCTGAGGAGGAGGAGAGGGAGGGAAGAGAATTGGTCCCAAGAACTGTGAGCAAGCTGCTGCTGCTGCTGCTGAAGGACAAGAGAACCAACTGTGTTGGGAGAGCTGAAGTTTGGGGGGTGGGGGGGAGGCCTGATGAGAGGAGGAAGGAAGGCGGGGGAGGAGGGGGCAGTGGACGAGAGAAAGTTGGGGGGAGATGATGCTTGAAGAAAAGGTGGTGCTGCTGCTGATTGCCTCGTTCCGCTGTGTGCAACACAGATTGGCTTGATTGGATTTGATTTGATTGACTGATTGGCTTCTCCTTACTACTCCTCTTCTTCCTCTTCGTCTTCGTCTTCTTTCGTCCTTTTCTTTTCTTGGAACTCTGGAGCGAGTCACAGAGTCGAGTTCTTATTTCACCGCTCGTCTCGTTTGGTTTGGCTTCTTTCCTCGGCTTCTCTTCTCGTTCTTCTCTTCTCTTTGCTTTTCATTTCGTATCTGGAGTAAGTAGACTCGTGCTTCGTTCTTGGCTGCCTGTGTGCTCGTCGTCTTCTCCTCTGGGCGAGGCTTTTTCTTTCTTTCTCTCTCTCTCCATTCACAGCAGCCAGCGCGGATTTTTGCTTTTCTATGCAAAGCAAGAATCGAACGCATTCGCGTATCGGACGGAGGGCTGATCCGCGCATTCGTCATATCGGGATCCTCTCGCTCTTTGGGTCTGGGTTTTGGTCCGAGGTTCTGGAAGGAGGCGAGCACTACTCTAGTGGTCTTTCTCGTTCTCGTCACAGTGCTTCAAGAAAGCAAGCTGGCTGCCATGTCGTTCAATTTCTTCAAGCAATTCAAGCTAAAGTCGCCATCGGAGCTGGTCAAGGTGACCAGGGAGGCACTCTTGGCGCTTGATACTAAAACCGTGGCTGAAGTCCGACTCCTCGAGAAGGTGAGTGGTTCCGGTCGCTCTCGGTCCTTGCTGGTCTCTGCTCCATCCGTACTTCAAATTGCAAATTCTACGGACCCGCCCGACCACGAATGAAGGGAAATTGATACTACAATCCTACCGCTACCAGTGGAACATGATTTCACCTGATCGACCGTGTTTCAATCCGTAGATTGTGACGATGACGGGCGCTCCGGGGTGGATGAATGCCCTGCATTTTGGGGTGCCCGGAGAAATCGGAGATTCGCCTTCTCGAGGCAATGTGACGGCCTCGCACCTCGCGTAATTGGCCGTCCATGCAGACGCAGAGAAACAGACACGCGATAGAAATTTGCAAGCCCGGTGGACTCGGCCGTCTGTACTTGATTCTCGTTGAGACGTGGAGGGATGTTCAAACCTGCGAACTGATTACGCTGAGAGGTGACGAGATGAGCTCACGCCGGCTGCTGTTGCTGCACCGGCCGTGAGATTGGTGCTGTGGTGAACGAGCCTGGTTCAAACGCAGTGATCATACGAGTAGCCGAAAGGAGGTCGTGATGGACTAGAATTCAGAGCAGTGTTCTCCACCATTCCGCGGCCTTTTGGTGCCTGAGAAGAGATCCCCTCTATATTATAGGTGTAGAATGAATACACGGCAAACCTGGGATCCACTTTAACAAGGAGAAGCATTGGGACGAGAGCTTGTTCTGCGTTTGAGAACCATGCACGGTCGCATAATACACAGCCGTAGGCAACAATAAGGATAGAAACTCACAAATATGTTGTCCGGCGACTTCGACTTGGACCTCGAGAGACTGTGATTTTTGTCGTTCTTTGTTTGTCGGAGGATTACCCGTCGTCTTTCTAAGTCTTAATTGGATCGACTTTCAGGCTCTATGTTCTGGTTAACTTGATTGTGTCCTCAATGCTTGAATGGTCCCGGTAGATGACCTGGTGGGTTGGAGTTGCAGGCCCTGGAGGAGGTAGATAAAAATCTTGTGGCTATGAAGCATATGCTCTTGGGCGAGGGTGATGCCGAGCCGAATCCCGAGCAGGTTTCTCTGTTGACCGTCGAGGCTTGCAAGGATGACTTTCTGGAGCTCCTAGTTCAAAAGCTGCCTTCCCTGGGCTGGGATGTACGTTTTCTTTCGTCCTTTCTCGTGTTCTTTCTCTTGCCTGTAGCTCAATGCATTCCTTTTTCTTCCACACTGCCGTGGTGTGACCTGAGAGAGATTATTATTTTTTAGGCTGTACGCGCATGGCATCGTAGTGCATGTGTTTGAGTGTATGGCTTCGGATCTTACAAGGAGCAGAGAAACGTCGGAGAGTGCTAGTTGGTTTCCACAGTCACATGTTACCACTGCAGCTTACACTCCTATGTCTGGACCCATGCTGAAATGTTTCATTGACCTGACCGATACTTGAAGGCCTCGGTCTTTAGGTCTGGTGACAGAACGAGATTTACGCACTTCAGGAGGAACTCATCGTGTCTACATCGAATCCATCCTCACAGTGGTCTTTGTCATTATTTTACAAGCGCCAAGCACTGAAACCTTGGTTTCTGGGTTTTGCAGGCGAGAAAAGATTCCGTTAATATATGGTGCACGCTGCTGAGACAGAACGTGGGAGGTAGACAAAGTGGTTTGGAGTTCATAGAGAAGCATACTGAGCTGCTCGACTTCCTTGTCTCATGGTAGGTACGTTCTCTCCAGTTGACGGGCATGTTATTTCGACTTACTACAAGTGCAATACCTGATGCCCTTGTACTTGCTTGTAGTTTAGTTCTCTCGCTGATTATGAGATATGCCGCTGATATGTGTTGAATATCAAGGGGTCGCACCAAGTTTCTTCTTTCGTATTGACGGGTACGAAGTTGTCTTCCGTCACAGTTGCCATTAAGGGACGAGGCTTTATATTGCACTTAACTTGATGTGACAGCTATGAAACGAAAGAGATTGCACTCAATTGTGGAAACATGCTACGAGAATGTGCCAGATATCCGAGCCTAGCCAAGTAAGCCTTCATATGCAGATACTCCTCACAGGTGAAAGTCGCTTTTGTTCATTCTCTAAACACGACTACAAAATATCAGGATTTGATTATATCTGATTTGATTCAATTGTGTTAGAGACGTGTGCAAGATGATCACTTCCCTTTCGTTTATATTCAAAACTGCAGGCAAAGACTTGAGTTCATGATGTAGCGATGGAATTCTGCCTTCACGTTCCTTTGATTTGCGTGATGAAGTTGGGGATGGTTGGTTAATTTATTTCTTGCAAGCAGGTACATGCTTGAGTCAGCCAGCTTCGAGCTTTTCTTTAAATACGTGGAGCTTCCAAACTTCGATATCGCATCTGATGCCTTCTCCACCTTCAAGGTACAATTCCATCTGTCCCTCTCCAGTAATCTGGCTAGTACCTTTCCACACATCTTGATCGAAATTTGTCTTGTACCGCTAACGAATCTGAGCACACGCTGTTCTGCAAGTTTTGACTTCGAGCCTTTATGTGAGGAGTAGATGCAAACTCGTGACTTGTTTGTTTTAATGGTCTTGTTATGAAATGAATCTCACTTCATCGAGAATTCTGTGTGCAGGAGTTGTTGACCAGACATGAGGCGATCGTCTGTGAATACCTCACCACTCACTACGTCCAGGTGAGGGCAGTCTTTTTTCTCTACGCAAAGTAACTATAACAACACAATTTTTTCCTGCTAGTGTCCAAATGATTTGCCCAGCTGTTAATTTTTAACTTCTTCCAGGTGATATGGTTATAAAGAGAATAAAGTGTGCTGCTCTTATTGTAACATGTGTGTCGTGATTGGATGTTTCGAATGAGTTTTTGCTCCGTACAGTTTTTCAGGTTATACGACAGACTGCTTGGTTCGAACAATTACGTGACTCGAAGACAGTCTCTGAAAGTAAGTGGCAGTGCCCCGAGAGTCCTCCTTTGCTTTGTGAGGCTTGCACCTGCTTGCGATCATAATCTTTGTTTCCGTCAAGAGAGAACGTTGATTGTGTATGATGAAGCTTTTACGCCGAGAAGAGTTTCTACTTAATAGTACTCGCTTTTTTCGGTTGTATGTAGCTCCTCGGTGAGTTTCTCCTCGAGCGTGCAAACGCCCCAATTATGATGCAGTACATCTCAGAAGTGCATAATCTGCGTATCATGATGACACTCATCAAGGTATGTCACCCGCTTCTGTCCCTTCAGCAGTCTATACCAAAGAAATGAAAAGGCAATGCCGTGCAGTTGACAAGTACCTGTATAGGTGGAGTCCCGACTATTGTTGTCTATGCAGTAGAGTCCTACGAACAAATCTGGACTGCTACTTGATCGTGTGCATTGTAGCCTGGAACTGTATATCCATTCTCGCCTTGCCCTTTTGTATTCTCTTATCCAAGTTAGGGTTTAGGGTTTAGGGTTTAGGGTAATGCTTATTACATTAGTAATAAGCACTCTTCAAGCTCTATATTTTTGGTTCGAAACAAGTTTTTAGCACATTTTGAAACAGCACATTTTCGATCACGCAGTCTTTGATTAATGTCGCGTTGGATGCATTGCAGCTAATGTCTAGACCTTTCAATAATTCACAACACATTAACAGGAAAAAACACGAACCTGTAGCATCCTCTGTCCGCTGATAAAAAATGCTCTTACCTATTGCAGGACCCAAGCAAGAACATCCAGTCATCAGCCTTCCATGTTTTCAAGGTCCTCATCTGGAATGAAGTATTGCTTTTGATGCCGAAGTTTATAAGTCAACTCTAGACCCAAATCATCGTCTTGGTTTATTGAAGCCAGAACAGTTGTGTGTTTTATTCGTCCGGTTGGTGGGGTGTATCTCGAATGCTTGACTGAACTGTGCGAGCCGCAGGTCTTCGTCGCTAATCCGAACAAAACTCCGGCCATTGTAAATATATTGTACAAAAACCGAGACAAGTTGCTGAGGTTTATCGATAACTTTCATCTGGACAAAGGTAAGCTCTGTGTTTTGAGCTCGTTCTTTCCATTTAATCTTTTATGGTTCGGTTTTTTTAAATTCGAGAGTTTTTCTTTCCGTGGTTAGGTAGAGGATTGCGAGTTTTTGCCACTGGAGCGAATGAGATGATGCGGAGGAGTAGAATCAGTTGTGATTTAACTGATAGTCTTGGTTGAGGTAACCCTTCGTTGCTAGAGAAAGGAGAATGTATTGAACTGAATCCCCTTCTCACGTGAAACTTGTTTTTCTTTGAAAACCCAATATTGATTGGCTGCTTTGGTTGTCACCCAAACAGAAGACGAGCAGTTCGAAGAGGAGAAGGAGTTGCTTATCAAAGAGATCGAGTCTCTCCAACCACTCGGGCATTGAAGGACGGCAGTATGCCAATCAGCCAGCAGTCTATCAATTTTATGCGATCCTCCCCCCTCATCTAACCTAGGAGGTCATCATGGCTATCTTGCACTTCTCACTGATGCAGCGCTTCAACAGTTAGTCAGCTAAGCTTTACGTAGGGGTTTTATCCTCCTTGGGACTCACTGCACCCTTTTAAAACTTGGAAGTAACCTGTTAAAGAAATGAACATCCTCCCAGTCACGTCTTCAGTACCATACATTGTCCACCGTATCTTCGAGATCTTTGCCACTATATGGAGATAGCCGAGTACAATAGCAAGGGACAGGGTCCGTCCCATTAATTCTCTATTTTTTTGTCAGATGAAATAGGGACAAAGAGAAGCTTTTAGAGCCCCTTAGAATTTTGGGGTGTTAAACCACAACGTTTCACGTCAGGGTAGCTCTGCTGAAGGCCTTAGCATCGAAGCTTATATTTGTAATTGTTATTTGGTGGTCCATTCTCCCCGTAGGTTAGGTTTAGCAGGCTCCAGGAATTAGGGTATAAGAAGTATAGGTTGTCGAGCAGTTTTTGAGAGACGTGGACCATTCAAGTAATTTTGAGATCTGCAATGAGTAATGCAATCTGCATCATCCACCACATGTCATAGTGGAAGGAGAATGTGTACAGGCTTGAAACCTAAGACTGGCTTGCTTCTATGCTGTGAAGCTCGAGATCGTACTTGTCCACTTCGTTCCAATGTTGCGTGCAATGCAGTAACTCGTCACAATGTCGACATGCATCTGGGGCACAGGAGGATGCGTTCTCCCTCTATCTGTATCTCCCTCTGTATGACCCTGGAGGTATCCAAAGCAGCTCTGACTTGTGCTGTCGACAGCAGTATGAATCCTTGCACGGCTATGTGGGTGTTTCTTCGCAACCAAGCTGTCGTTCTGATACATTGTCTTCTCGGTCATTTGGGCAAGCTGATCGTTCATTGCTACTTTTCCTTCCGTCTCACTCACAATTGTGAGTCTTGAATGGTGGGGGCCATGACAGGTGCTGTTCTGGAGGTACGGGCTCTCTTTTTTCTTGAGGCACTGATGAGCTAGTATCGATTGGGTTGAAAACCTCACTGCCATGTACATCGTGTGTGCTGTTGATGCTCGCTCCTTCTCAAGTCCAACGTCATTTCTGCCAGATGGGGCATGACTGTCAGGCTTTGGCAGGAGAATGGACCACTCCTACTTCACTTCCTCCTCCTCCTACCACCATCACGAGCAGTGCAATGATTGAAGTGTGGCTGTCACATTTCCATGCAGCTTCGTTCATAATCTAATGTTTTTACCGAACAGATGGAACACATCATGTTACACTCATTGTGGAGGTGTCGGGTCCCCTCATAGTGAAGGTTTTGGGTCCATATTGCTTTGGAGAATTCACTACTGCTTGGTATTTACACTATGTCGTCGGGGGTGTGTTGATCACAGCCTGGCCGACTGTCAGTCGCTCACGGAAAGAGGTGGACAACAAAGTGACAGATTGGTTCCTTACGCGGAGCTTGGAAGCTCGGATCTAACACCCACCACCTTCGAGCCACCATGGCCACTCCTTCTGCACGTAGGAACCTCGCCCACGGGCGAGTCCAGGATTTCTGACAGTTCACACAAGTTGCGTATCGCGTTCCACCGAACTCCTTTCCCGTAGGCCACAATCAGCGACCGGTGGGACTGTGTCCAAACACGGACACCACTTTCGCTCAAAGTCAAGTTCGAACTTACAGTCCAAAATTGGAAACATCTCTGAAGTAAACAACCGCAAGCCGATGAATCTGCCGCACCCTAAACATACAAAATCACACAGCACAATCTGGGGCCAGTGAGCCTGACCACCCCAGTGAAACGTGCACGAAAGGGGTCTGATCGTCATCTGCAACGTCCGACATGAAAGGGAAATAATTCAAGGTCACCAAAGCTGCTTTTAATCACGCTTTTCGCATTCCTCGACTAGTGACGGATGGATCAACTAATCCTGGATACTCGATTCCCTCCAGAGGTAACAAGCCAAAATGCAAGCAGAGGTTCAATTACAGTTCACTGGAATTTCAATCCGAAGTGCATCGTATCTCCTATGTAACTTCAGATCTTAACATTGCAGTCAAGCATTCTTCCAGAAAATATTTTACCCACATGAAAGACTCGATCTCCACTGCTGTCGGTTGACACGAGGAGCAATTATTTGATCAGCTCGTGTACAAGTGCAGGGACGAGGACAAGAGACCAGTCAGACAGACAGACCGTGAGACAGAACAACGAACGAAGAGTTACTTCTTGGCGACGCTGTGCCCACTCCCACTATTGCCCAATGTCGTGGTAACTCTCGACGCATCCGAATGATGCCGCCCGCCGTGTACGAATGCACAGGGATGCGGATCTCGGTTTGGCATAATTCCTCGGCTCTGGGCACCGGTGGCGCATCCATTACGTCGACACCACCAGCGCCAGCGCCACTTTGAGAGGCGTCATGAACCTCCCTCTCGCTCAATCGCTCGCTCGCTGCAGCTGCTGCAATCGCTTACATGACCGTCCGTCCACTTACTGATGAAGACATGGCCCATCATCTTCCTCGAAACGAAGTCCTCGCATGGAGATCCTCTCGTCATTATGCGCATCTATCGATGCGCTATGCTCTGCTCTGCTATCCCGGAACAGAATTGCAGAAGTGTAAACTACGCGCAAGTTATCCTCGGTCGACATTATGTTGTCATGATTTCGCACTTCACTCGTTCCAGATTCTCGAGGTGCAAGGAAATCGAGACACGAGTAGCGCCATACGATCTCGACCCTTCATGTGCTCGACGCGAAACACCGAATGTACCAAGAGCATCGCCATTCACGTCATCGACACGTCACCGTGTGGAAACCTCGAATCCAAACAGAAGTAGCCGAGTAATTGCTGGATTCCGGTCAATGTATTTTCATTATATTTTAAAAAAATATTGTTACTCGACACTAATTTCCCGTATTGCAATTTGAGCAGGCAAGGCTTTCTTCGTCGTCGTGACCAAGAGGAACGTGCAAATTAATGTACTTCTGTTTATAATTTATTTGGGCCTTCCCTTGGTACTTTTCTCTCGTTGCTTCCAAGCAGTTTTCCCCCGTTTATCACCTCCTCTTTCTACCTTTTCATTTTTTATTGTGGGAATTAATATTCCAGATTTATCAATCTAGGATAGGAAAACGGTTTTTGTGTTTCTTAACAATTTGGATCATCGTTCATGTATTCTTACAAGGACTCTTTCTCGTCGTTAATCTAGCTGACAACTGATCAAATCCATATTTTCGGCTGTTGCTACCATGAAGTCGCTTGACCTGGCATACGCTTCTGTTCTTTAGAGCTCAAGTATGTTCTCTTCACAGTCACATCATGAAACGTGTTCACGACCGATTTGCAAATTTCAGCTGTTTATGAATCTGCAAAACCTCAATTTTTACTTTCCTCCGATGTACGTTTGCTACCAGGGGAGGTTCATTTGTTCACTAAAGGACCTTGGTTTTTTATAGACACAACCGAATATGTCAATTTTGATCTCAATGCATGAGGTTATGTCACTATAAGCTCAAGAGGTGGAACCCTTAACCCAGTCTCAACGTAAAATGTGGAAATCCAGATAATGTTCAACATGCGGAAGAAATTGACCATGTGTGAATAATCGAAATCGACTTCACCAGTGTAACATGTTGGAATTGTACTCCCTTATTGCATCCATGGAGGTTTTTCATTGTGTGGCATCTGAATAAGTGCAATGCACCTAACATTGAATGCACAAAGGATCATTCAGAGCTATTCATGCCGACAGCTTACTAACAACACTCATACTTGGACTTTCCTTGTAAACGTTGTGACTGTCACCTCTAGAATAAAGGTGGGTTCCAAGTAGTTGTAATCTATGGTTAAAGCCCAAGCTTTACATTCTGCACTTTCAAAAGTTGCAGTTAAACCTATTATTAATGTGATTAAATTAAACTAAACTTCTTATACTTACAGCATGAAAGCCCTTCAATAACTGCAGAACTATCATGTGCTAAGTTATACTATGTGGCTGAAACGAATATGACAATTTAATTGTCTGAGAGCATCACATACAATATATTTAACCTTTTTAGAGACAAAGTAATGGTCATTCCGGAATGAAAAAAATATTGCATGTGATAATGAGATTACGTTGGTGCTATGGAAAGGTGCAAATCAGTATCAATCACACGCATAGATGGCATATGATCGAAATTCCGAACCGAGAATTGCGGAAAGAAATATAGGAATTCGCACAAAGATCACTAAAACAAAAACTGTGGGGCATTTCTTAACTTGAATTCCACTCCTGCGAATGAATACCTCATCTCATCTCATCTCATCTCAAAGTGTCTTCTTCCGCTACCACCGTTAGTTACAACGAACAGTAGAAACATCGAGTCGGTATAACGGCGGCCTTTGAGAGAGAACGTTGGCAGACGAGAGGCAACGTTTTGAAACAAGATTCGCTGGATCGAGAAAATGGCACGTTGGTGGAAGGCTGGAAGGCTGTACGGTACGTAACGAGCCGGAATCACTTTCGGGGCAGAAGAGCCAATTTCATGACAAACGACGAGCAGCAGAAAAGAGCTAATTTCAGATCGAGAGCCTGACGGACGGAAGCAAGCGATTGGTTCATGCTCCAAGGCCTCATGCACGGGAGCACGCGAGCACGAGCTCTCTGAGTTTCGTTCATCCCCTCCATCGTCGTACTCGGTGGTCGGTCGGTTGGTCGACCGGTTGCGTGTCCGCTCCCTCCTGTCACAGGTCACTTCGACTTCTCGTCGTCACCATGACGTCACTCGTGCATGGCATGGCTTTCTTCTGCCCAATGCTCCTCACTCGAAATGTCGCCTACATGCAGAGGAGATGCACGGCTACAGAAACGACGATACCGATTGTTTTGTGTGTGGGGATGCTTTCATTTCCGTTTCTCACTCTCTAGAGTGATATTCGTAGCTGCAGCTTCGTCGTCCGTTTGTTTGGCTTGGGTGATTAAGGCTGCAGCGAATTCGTGAGACCTTCATCGTTTTTCTTTGGGAAGGAGTAAAACTGCACTTCCCAGCGCGAGCGAAAACAAAACCAGGAGAATCATGTATGACCAGTTACTTCTGCATTCTAGCATCCGGGAAAAATGAAGAGTTAGTTATTGCACAAAGAATGATCAATAAAGAGATCCTTCAAGGTGGTGAAGAAATATTACTCCGCATACTGTAGTGATACAACTTTAACATAATCATTAGTATCCCCGAAAAAAGGAAATTTTCTCGTATCATGACAAGCACGTTTCACATGTACAACTGAATTCAGAATCCATGAGGATGAACAAGCTGGTTCGAATCGAAAGAATGTGCATTGCATTTCATAATTAAAAATATTTTACAGGATTATTATGTGTTTTTAACTCTCATGAACATAACCAGAGTAAGGCGAGAGTTCAGATAGCAGAGAGGAGTGAAACAGCCTATCGCATCGTACAGGGATCTTTACTTCTAAATTCTAGCGTCTGGGAATCATGAAGAGTGTAATATTTTGTAGGGTGGTGAGTTTCCATCTCATGAAAATATGTTTGGCCCACACCAAACTCTTCATGTAGTGAACTTGGACAGAAGTACACGTCCACGCTCTTTACAACTGTATCGAAGAGAAATATCACGAGTGTGAGTGTACCTCTTATGCTTGAAGAGACTGCATTCTCTTCAAACACTGCCTCTAACGCTCAACTTTTACGACCCTTTGCTCACTTCATGCATGAAAACAAAAAGTAATAGTGTTGCGAATGATAATATTATGTCTTGTTTGGCACTTCAGAGCCTTAACGGATCCAACGCCGACATCTTTCATAAACAGGAAACTTTGGTACAACACAAGTCCATAAAGTTCCCTCCGATGTGTAAACTTATAAGAGGTCGCTTGCTTTTTCGTGATTATTTATTGCCTGAAAACTGACATGGTTTGAATCAATTGCATGATCTTGGCTTAATTTAGGCTGATCCAACCACCGGTACACATTCTACTAATCTGTTGAACCTCCCAGTACGTAAAATCAGTGATTTTGACTTTAGCCATGACTGATTACGACATGATGGAAAACCATGCGATAATCTGAACTATCATGACGTAAGGTTACTCAAATAGTGGTAGTAGGCAATATCATCCTACGCAGATAACCGTCAATGATGTAAATCTATTACTGTGGGTCTTGGATCAATGTGGATTACATGAGGTCTGGTGAAAGTTGTTGATTAATAGGGTTTTATAATGACAGCCTACAATAATCTGATAGAGTCCAAGTATTTTAACTTAGCAAATAGAGGGGTTCAGAATGGACAAAGCGCAGAATTTTTTTCTTTTGGATACTACTATGTCTCATCACGATTAAACTCCAATGGCACCAGGTCACCAATTCTATTTTAGATTGCGCAGTTTGGCTCTTGTTAGTGCATATCACGTAGAAGCTCTTTGCTACTGTAGTTAGCCTCTTCGCACTTCTTGCGATATTATCAAAACCCGTGCCCTCTGTCAAAATCAAATTAGTGTAAAATCAAAAAGACTTTTAGTTATGTGTGGGCCACAAGACTTACGATTTTATTTACATATACTCTACTTACAATACTTTATACTTACTCTAATACTCTATAAGCTAAAAGTACTCTACCGACAACTCTAGTCTTCCTGTCTTTTCGTTATCTTGCATCACTTAGAATTGCCTCCTGTTTAAATACGCAAATATTTCCTTCAAAATTTATCAATTGAACATGCCATGAATCAAAATCTAGTGAAAATTGTGCGTTTGGTTTGAGTAATAACCTGCGTATCTCACTCTGAAATTAATCTAATGATTCAAACGATCTGTATCGCTTTTTCAGGGCTTCTCATTAGATTATTCCGTCAACAGGGCACATATTTCCTAAATCGCCTCCGGTTCTCCCAAATCTTTCTGATGGCGCTTTCACGAACCTCTTACTTGGAGCAGTCGCTTTGGCTAGCGTTGAGACTCATTGAGATTATTTCGGTTTGGTCTTCTTTGGCATTGAAGCAAACTCAAGCCGTTTCGGAGAGTGCAATTTTAAGTACGCAACTACCAGTTAAATACACACAAACTGTTGCGTACTTAAGCGGGAGGCTAATGTAATTTTCTCTTTGTAATCCAAATCTAGTTCTCGATGCTTGTCAAAAACAACCTTAATGTGTGAGATTGTATCTTTTCTTTATGGACTGATCATAGCATCATCTTTCTCACCACGAATTAATACAAAGAGGTGGGAATCGGAACCTTAGAGATATTATACCCCTTCCAGTCATCTGCATCTTTTCAACTGGAATGTGGGTGAAATGGATCGTCTCTTCGCTCCTGTCAATTATTCGGTCGATCATTCTTATTCCGAGCGATTATTCTTATCTACTCTATTTTACTCGAATGAATTATTCTAAAAAATAAGTTCTTGGTTGTAGATACGCGCGATCAAAAAATGGCAGCCACCATCATATTGGAACGGAATTAGACCACACATTCGACTTTTCAATTAATGGATGTAGAGCGGATCTGAGGGCCTCAGCAACAATGTACTTGGTAGATTTTGTATCTCTCAAGAGCGACAAAGGGGGGAAAAAACACGAAAGCAGTACCCAAAAATAGAAAGAAAGATGAATTACTCCAAAAAAAATACGAATCAACAGCCGAAGAGGAGAAATGGGCAGACGTAATCAATGGTACCCAGACAGCGTGAAACAAAGGTTCAAGAGACAAGCCGGAGGAGGGAAGAACTGTTGACCTATTTAATATTCATGTGCTGCTTGGAAGATCCAATGAGAGACCCCTCCAAAGCATTACAGTCCAATTTCTTTTTAGGGAATCTAGAAAGTCCTAGAAAGCCCAAGCATGAAGCAAAGTTTCTCGTTCCGGCCCAAGAGAACAGTTTGGCGACAAATGTTGCAATATTTAACAATGATGACATCTTCATTTCGTCTTTTTTGAGCAGTTTGCAGTTCTTGAAGAGTCATAGTATTCAAAATAAGAATTGCATTCCATTTATGATGGAACTTATTTTCAGCTCCTCTTACGCATACCCATCTATCGGTCTATGGCCACTGTGATACATGAGAGTATGAACGGAGGATGGCATGCTCCACTCCACTTCTCACATTACTAATATTTACTGACTATTTACTCCTTCTTTAACCCATTATACATGTTGATCAAGCATGAGTAAATCGAGTTTCAGCCTAGAAAATATAATTTTGTTTTGAAATTAGTCCTATTGCACATATTCAAAAAGGAAATTTCATGTAGTTAGCTCAATTATTTATATATATATAGTCCAATTTTTTAATTATAATCTTCATAAGTAAAGTAAGTGTATGTTTAGCTTTATGGTAAACATTACTATGTATTACATCTTTACAAGTTTACTACATAGTTCATCTTATATGCTAGCTTCAATCACTTTATAATAAATAAACATACGATTATTCACAAAATATATGGTGGAATCATACAATAAATCAATAGGTATGTACAAATTTCTTTATGATCATGCTATTTGAATTCAAAAGAAGAAATTGTTGCGTTCATTTTTTAATGATGTGCCATAGTACAAATAAAATATAAAGTATTCTTGATAATTAGGATGATATAAATTCAATGTTGTAGATACAGGTAGCGATTTCGAAATAGTGTACATAACTATGAAGAAAAAATCATCTCAAATAAATTTCTATTCTTAATGCATTTGATAAACTTGGAATCATCTCAAGACATATTCTGATTAACAATGTATACAAGCTGATGTTGGTGAGGGAGCTGGATGATTATGATCGTATCCGTCCTCTTGGAATTTCGCTCGACTCGTTTGCTGAAAGCGCTCAGGGTCCACACCCTAAACTTTTCCTAATAAAGCTGCTGGTCTGTCCGAGTACGGCGTGATTCGCTTTGTAAGGTCTTTGACCACAACCATTCTCTTACGATGATGCATTTTACCGATCTTTCAATTTGAGGATGGAAAGTTTTATGTCCTTATGGGAAACCTACGACAAGATTAAGTCGTTCTCCAAGACAACAGTATATAACTTAGAGTTTCAAATCGGGAAAAGACAGATAAAAAAATTCGAAAGAAAGGACAGCAATTGCTTATAATAAACGGAACTCCTTGACACAGAAAACAAGAGACCGAGGAAGGACAGCAGAAATAACTTAGAAGTTAACTTGAAAATTTGAGGAAGGAATTTCGGATACTCCCTGCTCCGAAATTAAGCTACTTCCAACCGTAACTGAGATATCTAGTAGATATCTCAGTTACAATTTATATCATATAAATACATTGTGAAATTTAAATAGAGCCATGACCGTCAGATTGGCTAACAGATGAACTAGTTTGTGAGGAATTACAGTGCACATACATTCTGATTTCATTTGCATGTGAATCCATTCAGTAAAAAATTAGATGTGAAAAGACATTTTTGAATCTTCATCGATAACATCTACTCAAACTTGTCATTGAAGGGATAAATTATGTGCCTCATATATCGATATCCGGATATAATCAACAGGTGAAATATTGGAATAGTCCCCTTCACAATTATTTTCACGAAGGAAGGAAAAGAGTTAGGGCCGGCAGGAAAAACTAGTTGTTGTATTGGTTTGAACAATTCGTTTTGGAAAGGAGAAACGGATAGATTAAGACTTAGTTGTTTTTTTCTCCAAAATGATCTTACTGTAAGAAGTAATTTGCAGAATCTACTGTTCCATACAAACCATGCTTCACAAGTGTATGTAATCAGTCAGTATATGACAAATCAACATTCTCGATGTGAAAATTTTAGGTTTTTGAATATGGCAAAGTTCATATGTAATAATGACATGGACAGATGTATAAGATGGCATGTTGGTTTCAACTGAAGGTATGTGACTATTCTGTAGACAGAAGTGTACCTAAATATTTCTCCTCTGAATTTTCCAACATAAAAAAGATATAGAATATACTTTCACATCAAGCTTGGTCATTGTTCGAAGGAGCATCATTAGTGCTTGATAAATGTGATTCCAACGGTTGAAGGTATGAAGCTTTTGTACATTTATGTCTTCGGTTGATTTCTTCCCAAAGATCTTTGTTTGCCAAGCGGGCAAGAAGCAAGATCAAAAGAAATCTAAGAACCTCTAGATTTTGGTGTATTGTTTGTCAGCATAAAGTTAACGACTAATTCGAACTCCAAGGGTGGCAAAAACTGCATAAATCGGCAGCTACTCGAAGAATGACTCTCTCCATATTACTCCAGAAAAGTGCGTCGGACAAAACTCACAAACCTCAAACAAGCCCAACGAGAGAGAGAGAGTCAGATGTCACTGACCATCAAATACTCGAATACGAAAGAAGATAACTGCAGGGATTCAAAACTTCCAAAAATAAAACTTATTTAAATGGAAGGGGAGTTAAGAAAGAACACTATGTATGAAAGAAGATAAGTGCAGGGATTCAAAACATCAAGAACTAAAACTTAATAAAATGGGAGGGGAGGAAAGAAAGAAGACGATGTATGGTGCGATATTTTGGAGTTGGTACGACAAGTAAGCTTTACCTCCTCTCCTCTCCTCTCCTCTCTCTTCTGGACTGTTGCATTCCTCGATGGTGTCCATCTTAACAACAACAACTTCTTCAGCAAATCAGAGAAGAATGCCACCGCAAGTGGTCGGTCAACGATGATTTCTTGCTCTGTTTGGGATAAGACCAGAAAAGAGTGCGACGCGTCCCATTATAGAATAAAAGCGCATGATCCATCTCCAATGACGGATGGAGGAGGAGGAGGAGGAGGGCCGCGCTAGAGAATCGTAGCAGCCCCGAATCAAACAAATGCGTCCAATAAAGCTGAAAAAGGTGATGAATCCACTACAACGACGTCGAGGGCGAGCGGGCGAATGAGGGAAATCGAGCATGCCAACCTCGAACCATGTGATAGGGTGTCGTCGAGGTTGTAGAAGTGAGACGTTCATCGCACAAAAAGGGCAGATGATCAAACCCTAAATATGCCGAATAGCTTTCGAATCAAGATTTGAATTGAATGACGACTTTGGCCATCGATTGTGGAAGCCGGAGGCAAAGGCAACTAAATGGAAGGGAGCAGCACAATATGCCGAAAATCATCACATCGCCTGATACGATCCTACCGTAGCGGATGCTCCCTGACGGTAGAAAATGATTAAATGTCTCGGCCTGGAATGTTGAAGTTACATGCGTGTGTTATGTGATGACGATGTGATGAAGTTACATGCATGGGCGAAGGATTCAATTTCCCAGAGATTGAATTAGTAAAGTGGCAAGCGAATGAGAAAATTCGATGTCCGGGGAAGGGTGGAAGACGACAAGCGTGGCCATGGAGGATGGATACGCACGCAGGCATGCAGGCAGAAGAAGCAACGAGATGGAATCTTGGGATTGAAGGATGGTAAGATAAGGCGAGGAAAGAAAAAGAAAAACAAAGTGAGGCAAGCGAGAAGCTGTATGCCCACGTTTGTTGGGTGCTGGAGAGAAGGAGAGGGAGGAGATGAAAGGACAACGGGATGAGTGCGACTAGAAAAGTTCGACACGACGGCTCGGATGAAGGCAAAAGGGCTCGGATGACCTTTTCCACTCACCTTGGACACAACCGCTGGCTGCTCCCGGCCTGGAAATAACAGTGGTTGCCCAAAGGGAGGGAGGGAAGAAGAATTGCTGCGTGAGGTGTGATGACGAGGAGGATGAGGGGGAGGTGGAGGAAGAAAATGAAAATGAAGGGGAATCAGTAAGTAAATTCTCCAAAATCTCACAACATCACCGAAGAAGAAGAAGAAAGTGAAGAGGAAGCAGTGAGTAAAAATTCCAAAATCTCAAAACAGCAGCGAAGCATAGTAGAAGAAGAAAATGGAGAGCAAACAGTAAGAAAAAATTCCAAAATCTCCCAACAGCAGCGAAGAAGAAGAAGTAGAAAATGGAGTGCAAGCAGTAAGAAAAAATTGTGAGAAAATTGCAAAATCTCACAACAGCGATGGAGTTTCACCGGCTGATGATGGGCAGATAGATAAGGAGGAGCGAGGCTGCCGTGCCGTGGAGCCGGGCCCATGCCCAGCCGAGGAGAGCCGAGCGGGGCCAGGCCAAGTTCACGGGAGGAGAAGGTGGCGGACTTTCTTGGCGCAGCGGAATGGCGGTAGCAGATGGAGAGGAGAGGAAATAAACCCCAGGCGTCGGGGAGAAGAGGCCCGCACGACGAGGTCCGTTGTTGACATGCTAAAGAAGGCGGCGGCGGTGCAGTTGCTTGTTGCGAGCTACGTCGTCGGCTGCAGGAAGAGCAAGAGGTGCTCGCTTCTGTGTTGACGGATGGGCGAGCGAGCGAGCGAGCGAGAGAGAGGTAGATAGTTCGGTCGTTCCTTCTGTCCATGGCGTATAAGATTGGAAGAAGGGTGCAGAGGGAGAGAGAGGGACGGATGGAGGGAAGGTAGCTTGTGGGGATAGTGGCGGTGGTGAAGTGCAGGGAAGGGAGGGAGAGGAGGGGGATGGGGGTTGAAGTGTGGATTGCTGTTGTGAGTTGGGTGTCGTGAAGCAGTGGTTTGCAGGAGCGAATACTGCGGGGCCAGCAGCGAGGGAGGGAGGGAGGGGAGGGGAGGGGGTGATGGTATGGCACAGGAGGGATACCGGCAGAGAGAAGAGGAGGAGGGAGGAGAGATGAGGAGGGTGGTGGTGGTGGGGATGGTGGTCCTGTAGTGTAGGAGCACACGGCAGCGTGTTCTGTTCTGTTCTGTCTCTTTTTCCCTCTGTCTGTGTGTATGTCCGGGCGTGAGTCTCTCTTGGGTCGGGGCTTGAGTGCAGAAAGCTTGCGTAATTACGTCACAGAGCTGTTTCCTCACCATCTCCCTCGTCTTTTACACGCCCACACTCAATTCCAAGTCCTGTATCTGTGTCTCGTCTCTCCTGTACTCTAATTAACTTTTCTTCTTCGATTCGCTCTCGTCTTCCCTTCTGTTTGTGTCACGTTTGCTCGATTGATGAGAAGCATGACTGGAATTGCTTCTTGATTGAGGAAGGAAGGAAGGAAGGAAGGCTGTGTGGGGGCTTGGCTAGATGTGTGATTGGAGTGGACTGGGGCTGGTGGTGCTGCTCTGACGAGAGGAGAAGAAGAAATGGCTGCGGAGGCTCGTCACCTTTGCCTTCATCAATTAAACGGCCCTATTTATATACATTTGAGGTTCGAGCAACGTACTTGTTGCCTGCCGAGTCTAATTTTTCGCTCCAGTTGAAGCACACCGCTCTGAATCTCGTGCCAAATTTCGTGAAGCAATCAATTGTTGCCGGGTCCTTCTTTGGGGGTGTTTGCTCGGGCACTGAAATACACGCTCTCCAAAGCATGCTTTCGTTTCTAATTTATTCCGCTCTCTACATTTAATCACCCGCACCGTACCTTTTGGCCGGCCTGGGAAGGCCTGTCTTCGGGCATGCCTATTGTTGCCTTATTATCTTCATCCTGTCTCCTGGTTTCCGGAAGTTCTTCCGGAATTGCATCTCCAAATTGGAGGGTTGTTTAGAATGTAGCGGTGCTTTGGCAGAAAGACAAGCCATATTCACTGGTGGCGAAACTCAACCGTGAACTAGTCATATTTTCCCTCGCGACGGGCGCATGAATGATTGCTCTCTCATATTTTGGAACGAGGAAGAAGAACGGAAGATTGAGGAGGAGGAGGAGGGGCAGAAGAAGAAGAGGTTAGCATAGTTGTGTAGATTTTGCCTGATCATGTGAAGGCAAGGAAATCGTTGTTGTTGGCACCACGAGCAGGCGAAAGGACGAGATTGAGTGCCCAAGATTGCAGGCTGACAGACACAGCCGAATTTCCTGGGCTAGTCCACCCGGAACCAACGGAAGGGGGATTGCACTAGAGATGAGGAACGTGTTAGCGTAAGAAGACACTCCGGACATTATATTCGACGAAGAGAGGGGGCAGCTATAGGTTAAGTGTGCAGGAGGGTGCAGGCAGGCAGGCATAGCTGTGCAGCACGGACGTTGGATGCCACACCGGTGGACCGCCACATGGGTCTGCTCCAGACCCTAGCAGGAGTTGGCGTCGGAGTTGCGGAGATGGGCTGTTCTATGGTGCTCTTGATAAGACACCTTCGAAGTCCTGGTGAACGATTTAATGTTTGGCTGGAAGAGGCCTGAGGGAAATTGGAACGAGGAAGTGGAAGAAGGTCCAGAAGCACCAGACGAGACGATAGGGTGGTATATTTCATCGTTGTTGTTGTTTTTGTGGAGGAGAAGAGCAGAAGAAGCAGAAGAAGCAGAAGATGGCTGCTCTCATGGAGTGAACCATGAAATTGTGTTCAAGAGAGAGTAAGAATGAGAGCGAGTTGCCAAGGCAGGGGCCACAACCCGCACGGGCAGTTTTCAGGAATGTTACAGGAATGGCCGTGGGGACGCTATTTTGATGGTTTCTGGGAAGCTCAGATCTGCCTATTTTCTGCCCATCGCACCACTCAAGCTTCAAGGCTGCATTCTCCCTTTTGCCAGCTCGGTTTAGAACGACAGGGAACTCGTCACCATCACCCATTAGTGGCCTGCAACTCAACTCAGGGGCCCAGGTCTGTCAACGAGCCTGTCTACGGAAGCAGCTGGCAGGAGGTGCTGCTGTTGTGAGTGAGTTCGTCATGCAATTTCAAGGCAAAGGCGGGACAAAGGTGGACTTTTGAAAGTGGAGGGTCGACTTCACAGGTTATTCAGTGCTCTTTCTTCCTCCCGAGGTTATACAGACGCAAAATCAGTGAGATTGAACTGCTCAGGAGAGATTGATTTTCTTTTGTAAAAAGAGGGTTGAATTGTGCTTGGGTACTTTACAGTGTTGAGAAGCTGCGGAGGTAGCAGTTATGGCCGCTCAAAACTCGAGTCAGACGGAGAGGGCCACCATTGAACAGATTATAGTAGAGTGCTATGCAAAAGCTCTGCATATCATCGTCGACTCCCGGATTCCCTATTTGTCCTCGCAAAATTATGCCGATGAATCCCATCATTCGGCAGCATCCATTTCACCGAGGTCCAGGACACCCAATAAATGGTTCAACTTAGAAATGGACACTTGTCCGGCAGTAGCGGAATGTGTGGAACCATGGAGACGGGGATCCTCGGAACCCATGACGGTAGATGTGTTGCTACAGCAACCCATGGGAGGAGGAGGAGATGTCCCTTCCCCTCGTGAAAGGAGGACACGGTATTACAAGGGGAGCTCACCAGGTAGAGAAAACTCCAGTGGAGATTCCTGGAGCGGAGAAGGAGAAGGTTGTGCTTCGCCTGGAGGGTTGTGCCGGACAATTTTGGAGAGATGGGTCGTGCAACATGTCAAGAGGAAGCCTCTGAGTGCTGCAAGTGTGTCTGCTGGTGGCAAAGCTGGATCAGGTGCTGGTGGTTTTGTAGAACCATTTGGAGGAAGCGGAGGTGGAGGGGTAGGGGGTCCAAGGGGAACGGGAGGAGGAACACCTCTGCCATATCCTTCAAGTCATGTGGTGGAAAGTCCCGTGGTGTACAAACGAACGGTTATTATGCTAAGGTCTCTTTACTCTCACATGAGGACACTGCCTGCTCACCGCCTGTTTCGTCTGGTGAATTCGTCCTCCCATAGCCGAAGCTTCAGTCTCTCCTACAGAGTGTCTGCTTCTCCACCACAGCTCTCTGAAAGTGATCAGGCAGCTATGACGATATACAATTTCACACCTATCGAGACTCCGTGGGGAAAAATGTGCATAGCCGTCCACTATAGGCATACAACTGCCTTTACAGCACTGGAGATCACACCTCCACTGAAGCCACGAATTATACCAGACTATGTAGGTAGTCCAACAACTGATCCTCTGAGGAGGTTCTCCAATGTGGGGTCAGTGCCAAGTGGAGGAATATCGGGAAGAAGAGGGGTACATGTTGTTTCTCTTCCGTCTTCGGTGCCAAGCTCCCCGTCTGGTCCCTCCTTTGGTCGTCGTCACAGCTGGAGTGGCGGACATGGAAAGATGCAGTTACCCCCAGCAGCGTCACCTTCATTTCGAGCTAGTCGGTCGCCTTCACCCTCTGTGCCTGCCTCTGATTTTATCCCCTCCTCTCCATTGGCGCAGTCCCCTCATTCTGCCTCTCCTTCACATAATCTGCACCTGCATAATCAGTCCCCTCGGACTTCCCCTTCCCGTCCCTCGTTTCCTCGGCAGCTGCCATCTCAGCCTTCGTCCTTTCATCACGGCGGAAGTCCTTCCCAACCTATACCAAACTATGAACTTGGTAAATCACCTCCATATTCTGCTTCGCCTTCCCCTTCTCCCCCTACTCATTACAGTGCACAGCGTAGTGCTCCCGTGAGTATACCCAGGCCCTCCTCAGCCAGGCCATATGTGGGTACCAGTCCACGCCGTCTAGAGGGCCCGCCCCACCCGTTATCCAAGAGTCCATATCCACCACCGTCTCCCAGCAGAAATGTAGAGACGTTGCCTCGGGCCTTGTCTTGCAACTCCAAACAGTGGCCAGTGCCGGTGCCAAACTTGTTCGTGCCAACTTTAGAAGGGCGAGTTGCTCCACGCCACCTGTCTATTTCAGATTGGGCTGTCAACTCATCAGTGCTGGTGTCCCCTACACACCCATTCCATGCTCATCAGGTATTGGTATCACCTTGGTCTTATTTTCATCCTTGGATTCTACGTATGTTGTTCATGAAGTCCCCATTACGTGGTGTCCTTGTACTGCCATTACAGTATTTCTCGTGCCGAGCACTGTCACAAAGTTGAAAGTGCTAAAAATTGTAGCTCCATCTATCGAGGCTGACTCCTTGATAGACTTCAGGAGCTGTTGCCATAAGCTTTCACCGAAGTGTCGTCTGAATTACAATTGACGACGTAGAGTTATTCCCCGTACATACATTTGCGTTACCTCAGTTGATCATTTTCTGAAATTGGTTTTCATGCTCCTGGAGTAGGAAATTCACCTCAAGCGCTATGATTCTATACATGATTCCTTTTCTTTTATTTAAAGGGTTCTGAAAGTTTCCACCTTAAATGAATCTATTTCACCTCCACATCATCTACCGTGGGATGTCTTGTGGACTAATGGTCTTATTCTGCAGGTTCAGGGAGATGATAAAGGAGATGAGTGTTCATCCTCTGGTGTGAAGAGGTCCATGTATGCGCCGCCCCGTCTTCTGACTTTGGGTTCAAGGGGATTAGCGAAAGTAGACAGTATTGACGATGGAGACGACGAGGAGTTTTCTTGTCCTTTTGCAGTCGATGATGACGAAGCAGATGATTACAGAAGCAGGTGCTTATCTTATCCTCATTTTTCCTGCTGATTTTAGTTAAGTGTTGAGTAGATATTTCATGATTGTAATAGAAACATATCGTCTTTGCGTTTTATAAGCGTGGAATAAATTTTTTATTAATGTAATAGAATCGTGGTGTCCTAACTTTGGATAACTGTGGAGAGTTAATTTTTCACTCCTGTAAAAGAAACCAGGTAATAAGGCTTGTGTAGCGTATTCAATAGAAGCTTATATTTCGCAAGTGTACGTACCCTCTCTGTATCTAGAACATCTCTTCTATGATGAAGAACGGCTGTATAACACAAACTGCTCTTTTATGTGACAATCTGCGAAGATTGATAGTAATTGTCAGTGCTTACACCTTACATTAATTTCGCTGCTGATTTGTAGGATGGACAGCCCGAAAGTCCGGCAAAGTTCAGATTTATTTGAGGCAGTTGGACAAGGCCATCAACGGTCTCAAGATGCTGCAGTGGGCGCTCTTATAAGAATTCTGAAAGGAGCCCCGCCCTTGAGGCCTTGGAACTTGCCTTCTCCTGTTGTCTCGGGTTCACCCAACATGCGACCATCTCCACCTGGCCTGCTTGGTCCTTCAGAAATGTTAGGAGGGGGAAAACTCAGGAGTAGCCCTCCTCGTCCTCCGATGATGAGGTCCCGTTCTGGTTCTACATCACATGTGGGATCACCTGTTTCAATGAAGGTACAACCAAAAACATCAGGATTAGCTTTGGAAGAGCTGAGGATTTACATCGAGATGAGAGATCATCTTTCCAGACAGAGTGGTGTCTAGTTGGCATCTTCGCGAGCCAAGCACATGTGGAGGTGTAGACGAGTGTTTTTCTCAAGGAGACGTATTGGAACAGAGAACAAGAGAAGAAAGGAGAAAATGGCAACCCCCTCATTAGGATTTTTAAAAGAGTTAAGTATTTCGATAACATAAATGACCAGAGTCCGCGCAGGGTCTACATAAAGACTCAAAGGGAAATATAAGAAGGGTTCATAGGAGTGAGGTAATTGCATATGATAGTTTACAATGTTGTGTTGGTTCATATGTAAACTGGATACAGATTAGCATTGTAGGAGCTCTGTCCTGTTCATTCGGAAGCTCTGCCAGTTAGGTCTACAGCTCACTGAAGTAGAACGATTGACGGGGATGCTAGTAGTAGGTTTGAAACTAACGTAGACACTGAACTGAATCAGCATTGGGTAAACCCTTCCTCTTCGTTCGGAAAATGTTGAGGTAACGAGGTTAGCTTATAGCTGCTGGTTTTTCTAGACCTAACAACATTCATTTGGAAGGAGTGAAGAGTCTCCTGGATTCGTTTAGTTGTGTTCCACAGTACTTGTTTGGAAATTAAAAACAGTTGTCTGTGGAAGTTTGCTCTCTGCTCTTGCAAGTATTATCCACCTGGTAGAATATCTGGTTAGATCGTTATCGGGAAGATGCTCTGAGGTGAGATATTCGTTCTGCCAGCTAGTTCTTCTGGGTGGTACATTACTGCTGCTTGCATGTCGTGCGTGTGGCACACTTCATGTACAGTTCATATGCCAACTGGTTGTAAAATCTTTGGCGGATTGGTGTACCCATATAGGTCTCAAAGTAGTACAGAGCTGGAAGAACTGGAAGAAGTCTGATCCATGCGTAGATGAGAGCTGAAAAGCGTGGCCAAGGTCCGGGCTTACTCGAAGAGTGAAGCTCTCACACTGGCGAATTCTTCGTAACGACAACCTACAGGACTTCAGAGAAGTGCACGTTAGCTTATCCTCTTGGTCTTCATGTCATGAAGTGACACACCTGCTCTTGAATGTGATCTTAATCCTACTAAACTGGGTTGAGCTAGAGTGGTCATGAATGTACAGGAAGGTTATTCTTTCTAGGGCCATCACGTCTGAATGCTGTCGGCTTTGATTTCCTTGGTTTAGTTGTCGTCAGGCACAAAACCTTTAGAACAAGCCTCGTAACAGTCGATTCCAGAAGGGTGATGGATTGAGTTAGAGATTTTTTAAGACTCAATATTTTACTGCCAAGGTAGGCTACTGAATTACATCTGAAGACTGAAGAAATGTACATAGATGGATGTGCCCCATCCATTCCTGTTAAAAAGGTATAAAAAAGAGGGTGTGTATATATTGGGTCCCAACGACACGCAGCATTGTACTCTGAGAGATTTCCGTATCTAGTTTTCATCACACAGCAGATGTGGATCATAAGGTATGAGCAATGTTATTGTACGAACGTATTGTGATGAGCAGTACTGTAGGTACTTTATTTTACTGAAAATGTCAGTCTCTTCCGTTATAGATTTAACGTCTCTATTACTGTCATTCTGTACTCAGCTGAATGTAGGTTGTGATTGTACGGGCTCTTGTTATGTACGAGTTTGATTGTCTGCAGGATTGGAAGTGTATGTGCAAGGGATGATATGTCTGCCTGCCTATCAACATATGCTCCTTTGATAGTCTATATTTGTCCAAGCCATGTATCAGGAGGCTTTATGTGTTTCCGTATACGGTTTATCACATTCTGACATATATGATGTACCTTTACTGCATATGTCGGTTGATTCAGATGTCTGAAGTCCTTGTGTGAATACTTCCGCCCGCTTTTGTCTTAGTTGTTCTGCATTTTGTCAGGTATTCTTTTATAGATACAACTTTGTTGATAATGATATGTGCCTCTGGTACTCTTTCACGAGAGGCAAGTTAGAGTATGAGTTGTGCCTTGTCTTTATTCTTACGTTTTACTGGACAGAGTGAGTGTGGATGTCCTTCTGCATGCAGTCCAGCTCGATAGTATGCCAGATAAATTGTCGTGTCAGTGGGCCACTGCTAGTAGTATTGCGTGTCCTTCCTTGTCGGAAACAACGAACTCCGTTAGGATCAAAATATGCCTACCCCATTTACACAAGACGTCTGAAATTCGTGAAAAGAGCCTGATTGAAAAGAAGCCTGTGTGCCTTGGACTTTCCACACTGATGTTTGATCTCTGGAAAGACCTGTGAATCAGTATATTCAAAATCCAGCAGTGGAGAAGGAGCATATTACACTGGGAAGAAGTAGATGCCTGGCTCCTCCACTTATGTACATGTGAAGTAATTGGCAAGGACGTTAAAATTCTGGGGTCCATTTGCTGTATGGAAGGCCGTGCAGTATCTTCTTCGTAATAAATTCGCCGCCAGATGTGAAGAAAGTTAAGACCCGGTCAGTGCTAGGGCCCCACTGCCTGAACTACTGGAGACGTAGAGCAGGTATATCGTCGATATCATTGCGGGTATTGAGACATATCCGCTTGCAGACGACAAGCCGAGGACAAAGAAGTAGCATGTAGATCTGATTGTGATCACTTTTCTTATATACGTTGACACTAGAACTGAATCATGTGTAGGCACGATCATGTCCTTCGCTACTCTACGCGGATAATCCACGGTCAAGTGTAAATTCTTATCAAACACTCTAAGGTCGTTATGTGCATGCGGTATGCACGAGAAATATTACAACCAGCATTGTGCCTGCCGTGGAAATATCACATAGGAAACCAGTAGTCAAATGATTGTGTGTTGTATGTGTTACTATTTACACAGATGGCTCTCTGAGGTTTACTTCCCGTCGATAGTGTATACCATAGGATTTGAATGCCAACTAGAAGAACTTAGATTTAGATTAAGTAATGGTTGGATGAGCCCGATGGTACTGTGATTGATACATTTGACTTGTTCAGCCTGGCGAAAGTCTGTAATTTGAAAGACGATGAATGACATGATTGGAAAGTATATTTATGCGCAAGTTTATTTTTCTCGATTCGATGGTGAAGTAATAAAAATATATAGCCCAAAGGATATTTGAGTACCCAACCCGGCGTACAAAGGACCGAAAGTTAAAGGCTGCTCGATCGTGGATTCCCCTTTTTTGTTCCGTTCGGTATTTCGGGTTTACTGAGGAGCCTGCTGACTGGATTCTGAAGGCTGACGAGGATGCCACGCACGATAGACATTTTCACACGGGGCACGATAGAACAAAACGAAGAGCGTTGCCAACTGCCTTCCGCTGCATCTTCATCTTCGCGTTCGAATTTCAATTTCAATTTCCTTTCTGATCGTCAGCACGATCGATTCATGGCGATCGTCGGGCAGTCCGAGAAATCTTGGTGAAGAAATTCTCGCGGAAAAAGATCGTCGTCTATCTCTTTCTTCGTCCTGCCGTGCACCGGTTTTGCTCTTCTTCTGCTTCTTCTTCGTCGTCGCTGCTGCTCCTCCGAGTCAGTGAAACGAGGCAGTGTTGATCGATCGAAAGCTCCATCTTTGTGCAGGAGGTTTGATCGGAAGCCCAAAGTTGAAAAGGCTCTTCGACGATGCTTCTTTCTTTGGCTCGGTGTGCGGATAGCTGTCTCCGAGGTTCTCTTAATCTTGCTTCACCATTGACGAACTGGAACACCGTGAAGGTTATTTTCCTGTCTGTCTAAACGTGGAAATCCTTTCGGACCGGAGTTTTCTTGGAATTCGCTGGGTGGAATATGTGGCGAAGCGTCGAACCGAGGTCGTCGGATTTGCGAATTGAGAGGACTCTGACCAGCTGAAGCCGAGGTTCGATTTGTGAAGAGCATTTGGAGAAGGCCACTGACGGAAGCGGATGCCATTTGGATAGGGTTGATGTTCTTTTGGTGAGCGGGCATTCTTGAAATGCTGTCCAGACCTTAGTGTGACACTCAGCTATGCAAGCGTTCGCTTCACCTGACCAATGCGACGACGAACTTTTCCTTTCTGATGATTCACCTGTAGAGTCTGATGAGGAAGGAGAGGAACATGTCTGGACTTTGCAACCAGAATCGCCTGACACAACCCAATCTCGAGGAGAAGCCAAATGTTCGACGTTCGAGCCTTGCCGCCGTGTGGCCATGTAAGAAACTTGATACACTGCTTGACGCTACTCGCTGACAATGAACCTACAAATCAAGCATCTGTCACCCTTCTCCTTTGTGCTTTCGATTCATTCTTACATAGAGAAATTCGAATTATCTTGCTTTTGGTTCAAACCTGACATAGACAAGGTGGTGGCTTGCTCCAGGGATAAAGTCACAGAAGCGACATGTTCTGGATTTTCAGTGGACGGAAGCTGGCTAGCTGTCGGCACGAGACGTGGACCCGTCCAGGTATGCAGAATTTCCCCCCTTACCGGATCAATTCTACCCAGACTTGGTAGCAATCGGGTTTTGTGTACCGCTCACGAGGTTTGGGTATGCATGTCTTCGGAGAAAATTATAAGCGCAATGCAGAAAAGGAGCCGTCAATGAGGACAAAAACGGATCTTTGTGCTGACGATGCATGTGATCACCAAGATTCACAGATACACAGCGTCGGCGACGGAAGACTTGCTTTCTCATTGGATGTTTTGAGGGGTGGACTGAAGAGATGGCCCTGCACGGCCCTGTGCATTCGACCTTCTACACCGGGAGATCCTTCTTACAATGTTCTGCTTAGCTGTGGTATGATCATAACCCCTGAGTCACACGTTTTCATTAGCAGGTATGCATTTGTTTTGACATCAAGGACGAATTGGACTTCGTGTGATCTTAGACTGTCCTTGTTGGTGCTAGATTTGAGTGGGCAAATACATTATTGGCACATGACTTCTGGAATGCATCTGGGGACATCGAAAGAGCACGATAACAGCATTTATACCATCGATTACCATCCAGCAGGTGTGAAGTACGCCACATCGGGAAGTGATTGTAAGGTAGACACGTTATTTGGCAGGTTTTTCTTTTTTTTCTTTTCTTCCCTTGAATCTTCGGTCCTGACCAATTGCTGAAATTCTTGAGCGGATGTAAATTTACAGGTTAGAGTTTATGATTCTTCCACGACGGTACTTCTGCAAACCTTGAGTGGAGGGTATGCCCTTCACATCTTCTCGGCACTTTTCCGCCGATGTCTTTGCATCCCATTACTTGAAGTAATCGTTCTTAACGCTACTCTTATAGAATTTGTGATCATTATGATATATTTAGCAAAGCCTACTTCAATTTTTCGATTCAGGAATGGGGCGACCACAGCTGGCCACAGCAATCGAGTGTTTGCTGTAAAATGGCATCCAGTGGATGCCAACATTGCTTTGAGCGGTGGGTGGGACAACACTATCCAGGCAAGCTCTGCTTCTGACCTGGATTCTCAGTCTCATGTTTGCAAATTTGTTTGGTCTCGCATAACTGTAGTTGATACAATCAAGTACAGGTATCCGAGACCAAAGAAATTTGCAAACATCAATTTCAATCTAAGCGGCCGATCACAATTGGCAAAATGGAATGTCAAAGTATTTCTGTTGATATAGTCGGTTCGGTGTCATGCCGTGGGCTTTAAATTTAACTTGATTCATGCAACCGTGTTTGCTCTCTGCTGATAGTGGCTTCTTTTGACAGATTTGGGATTTAAGGGATGGCCACTCCGTGCGAAGCATTTATGGTCCAAAAGTTTGCGGAGACGCGATAGATATCAGGGATGCCGGGAACGTGATTCTAAGCGGTTCGTGGAGGGGCTCTAAACAACTTCAGGTTAGTGATGGATGGTAGATCTCTCTTGGATGTGGGTTCCACTATTCACCGTGAAGGCTTTTATCGAAGACATGATTGCTTCTCTCAACCCAGGTGTTATACTTGACCAAGCTGTCACATGCACAGAAGTCCTTTGAGTGCTGAATGAACTAACCGCACCAGCTGATGAGCATAGCTGGTTGCTGACCACTTACACCTTTGATGTCTATACCTGAAGGAATGGGACTTTGGGAGCGGTCAACTACTGAGAGATATCTCGTGGCCAACTGGGAAAGAGCAGGTTTGTCACTCTTTATCCATAAATGCGGAAATGAACATAACAGCAACTGGATACAGAATGTCAATATCTGTATTGAGCATGCAAGGTCAATCATCAGATGTCCGTGAAGTGGAATGCTTTCTTCCTCAGAACCAAATTCGGGACGATTCTAATCTGTGTTCTATTTGGTGTGCAGACTTGCCGGGTTTACGCTGCCAAGTACGGAAGAGGAGTATCGCAAGGGTTGTTCGTAGCCGGAGGAAGTGGGTCGAATGAAACGTGTCTATTCTCCGTGAATACCGGACAGGTCTGGCATGTCCTCTAATGATCCTTCCGATCCGTCAGCGTTGATTAATGTACAACTGAATCGTTGACCCCAGTGACTAATCGTCCTCTTTTTGCCCCGAATGTACCCGCGTTCGCTGTATTGATTTCTCGAAACCCTGTCTGCAGATGGTTGCAAGACTGCCAGACGACGATAAAGGTAGGTGTCGAAAGACTGAGCCACGCCATTTCACAAATCCGTCCTCAAGTAAGCAAACCTACCATATAACATTGCAGCAGCGCACCAGCATCGCTAGATGAAGTCAAGACTTTCTGCTCTTTGTGCTCGGAGGCGAGTGAAGAGTTCACGCTTAGATTTCTCGTGGGCACAGCTACATATTCCATTTCCCTCTCGACGGATGGGAGTCACATGGCCGCCACAGCTGGAGACACTGTAAAGATTGTGGATCTGAAAGCAGAATTATCGGCTCCTCGGGAACAGGAATCTCGATCCGACGAACAATCCAGCCCCTCCAAAACCAGACAAGTCTCAAGAACGAACGGAGATCTAAGAGGAGAAAGAAAGACAAAATTGCAGCCCTTGGGATCCCGAGCGTTCAGGCACGTAGGCACTGTGGCTGCCTCTATGAAGACAAGGTAACAAGTTTCATACCTCCATCTTGCGTACGAAACCCACCCCCCAAAAGAGAAGAATCTGAAGTATTATCTCACGAGGTGCGCACAATCCAAGCCAAGAGTTTTCTAGATAATCGTCCCGGCACGTATGCACTGTTTGACTGAAAGAAAGGAAGATACGAAGAAAATTTGGGACTCGACATGCAGATGGTGACACCTGAATCTGGTCGTTACATTCGAGCATCGGTGTGCAGGGCGATGCTTTGGTGAAATTTTTATTCCTTCGGATCAGGACTTCCGAGGAAGCTTTGCTTGCTTGCTCGATCTGAATTCCCCAGAACCTTCAACCTGACCAGGCTTCGATAATCAAGATGTAGAGCCCCTCGTGCTTGCCTTCGGGTGCTGTTCCTGTTTCTCTGGCCTCCTCTAGGCCAGAGAAACAGGAATTCTTGTGCGCGGATAGAAGAAGAGCCACGTTGTCCTCCACCACGTGTGCTAGCCAAGCTGGCGAGGACTAGCCTCTCTTCAGTCCGCTCTGTGCCTTCGGGATTCCCCGCACGCACGGCTTGCCGGATGACTCAGCCACCTCAGCGGACGTGTGCATGGATCGATGGAATATACTCCGAACCTCTCACACGCTCTAAAAGGGCCCGAGGGCCAGTCGAAAAAGTAGTGTCAACAGTGGGATTCGAACCCACGCCCTTTCGGACCAGTACCTGAAACTGGCGCCTTAGACCAACTCGGCCATATTGACTTGATGTCCACGTCTTAACTATCTAAAATTATATCACTTACAAAGAGGTTTGGGAGGTTCGAATGTCGGCGTGCACGGTAAGCTCCCACTTTTGAACGAGCTCACAGGTTGGATTGAAAGGTGACCGGTTAAGCCAGGAAATCGAAGCTAGAAAGTCCGTACGGCTTGAAATACGAACATTCTCATAACATTACTTCAAGGTTATACCGACCACAAATTGAGATAGAAATTTGATTATTGGTGAATTGTGATGATCATACTGCGGCATGCAGTATGATTATCACGAAATTTGGGAAATTTGAGAAATTTTCATTACGAAACTTTTCTAACCGAGAATAAAATTTTGGGAGCATTCAATGTTTTCTTAGTGATAACTCAGCACTAGGTAGGGTTTAGGGTTTAAGGACCTTTGGGAGATCCATCATATACCTTCCAAAGGTAGATGTACGGTAATTTGTTGTTTTAAGAACGTTGCTCTCACATTTCGCCTGACGAGTTGACTGTGCAACTTGTGCTATTGATTTGAGTGGATCAAATAATGTTGGCATATTTGCTGGTGTAGGTTTCCTGGCAGGAGCAGCTCCAAGGTGGATCATCAACCAGTGCCTTCTTCAAGAGCATTTGCAGCTGCTCTTCCAAAGTTCAACGTCAAACCAATTATCTAGAGAAGTTGACCTTTCGCCTCCACTCAAGACACTGGTTGCCTGTGCCCTCTATCAGATCCAAGTATCACTTTCTTGCAGTTGCATTCCAACAGTCTCTGCGGAATCTAGTCCTCAGAGATAGGTCCAACCAAGAGTGAAAACATTGCATATATGGTTGAGCTTTATCATAGCAGCCATGGAGCTGTAGCCAATCATGTAGATCTTTGCACAAGATTGTTGTCATCCATTGGGTGCCTTTGGGGGCATGATATATGACGGCCCGTTGGGCTGGCATTCTTTTCACGTCTAGATCAAGCTCTTGGAGTATAATTCTCTGTGCTCGCGACATAACATCAGCAGACAGCTTATATATTCGAAAAATGAGTATGAGACGTTCATCAGGCAAAATGCTTGTGTACACTAAATTTCTTTCGGTCTTAAAGGATATTAAAATGATGATGCGATATTGCTTGCGATCTGAATCGATTGTTTTTTGTATCTCTATGCTTATGTATCTCTATCCAGAAGTATCCAAAGAATGAATTTTTCATTATAATTGAGAGCAGTAATAAAGTCCCATCAAACACAAGGAATTCTCATTGAAGAAAATGCCCCGGTACATTTTGCACTTATCTAGCTCATTCAATAATTGATAAATAAATTTGGAAGTATTAATAATTAAATCCCTTTTCTTTAGAATATGAAAGTGGATGAATCCAACTAAACCTATTAACATTTGATTACGATACAAACACACAATATATGAACATAAAGAAATAATGAACTATCTTAGAATAACCAGCCTTTCATTTTTTAATAATGAATGTGATACAAATTCTATACATCAGGACTTCATTAAACTTGATCATTATTTAGGAGAAACTTGCATTTCATATCATTTTCATTCCATTCCATTTCATTTATCCATAATGAAAATCTAAAAATGAACCAACATGAAAATTTACCTATAGAGTTCATTTCTTTCATTGTTTCATCTACTCTTCTGAGCAGTTATGAAAATAGATTATCTATGAAGTACACATATTCATAGATTACTCATCAAAATCTATTGTATATGTTTGATTATTTTATAAAAAAAATTATACAAATTTAATCTACAAACATATCAAGTTAAACTTAAATTAATTGATTAAATCAAAGAATTGATTCATTTTTTGAATAAAATCATTCATACAACTCAAGTCTAATTTCCAAGCAAATCTTGTTATTAGTAAAAGCAATAAATGCAAGTTAAAAAATTGTTCACCAAAAAAAGATTTAAGAGTTTATATCTTTGTTTTAGCAAGAGTATAAGAAAAATTTACTGATATTAAAATTGATAAAATTCACTTTTTTGAATGAAATTTTGATAAAATCATTGATTGATCAAAGTATCTTATATATTTCAAGTCACACATGTGAAAAAAATTTGACAATGATGAAACTTCATGAGGTCTTTTTTTGGCTGATATAAGCAAATTTAAGATTTTAATTTTGATCTCATATCTTATTTTCATGCGTAAAATGTGTTTAATTCCAATCGTGAAGCAAAAGGATAATAATTTGTCAACATTTTACAATTCTACATCACTAATAGCATTTTTTGTTATCCTGAAAAATAAAATTGTCTCTCTGAAAAAAATTGACAGAGATATTTGATTCAATGCCAATTTTTCACTCATACATTTGAATATTTAAAGTTCAATGATATTTATGAAATACATTCATAACCTTTTCTTTGAATATTGCAAGCAGAATAAAATGAAGAAAAAACTATTAGCAAAGAGTAAAAAGGTCGATGAACAATAGTTTCAATTTTATTTTTATCAAGTAGCACTTGTATTTTCTGCAAAAAAATGAATTTCGACGCAAATGGAGATCTTTTTATAATGCAAAATGTTGATAGCATGAGACAATGATTATAAATCCAGCTGATCCAATTAAACCATCTTTGATTTTCAAATATCATTGCAGTAGTTTCAAAACACAAAAAATTCAAATTTCAAAGAGTGCAAATTTTATTCTTTATGATGTTATTAAATAAAATCAAAATAGATATCAAATGAAAAATAATTAAAATATTTTTTGGTGAAGTATTCAGAAAAATATATAACAAGTTCAATATGACCTAAAGCTTTCACTTAAAAGCTTTAATTTTTTTATCTAAACTATGATTTTGTTACTCATAGTTTGTTAAATATTGTTCAACAAGATAAATATGTATCAAATCATAATTTGAACATCTTGACTTTCGATTCTAGGAAATCAAACTTGAAAATAATCTCAATCAAATTGAACGCAATCCATAACATGTATATCATAAAAATATTTAGATGATGCAGACCAAAATCAGGATGAATCGAGCTATAGTAGGGCCGATCGAAGAAACATAATTCCGCCGCCGAAATACCAAAAAGTCCAAAAATCAAAGAGAGATTAGAAGTGATAATCACTCTCATCGAAAGACCTGACTGTTATTCGAATTTAACAAGATAGACAGCTCATTATCTAAAGTTTGAGTTAGATAGAACAAGCCCAACCTACAACTGAACTCTACTATCTAACACAGTAGATTAAGACCAAGGAGACTTGCAGTTCTGGAAATTATTTTTATAGAGCTTTACATGGTCCATGCGGTCTAATAACTTTGCATGAGATCGTTATAAATAGGCATAAAATTGTCTGACCACTTAGCACTACAATAGTTTCTTTGTAAAGCTTGTGTGAATTCTTTCCCTCTTCTTCACTTTTCATCCATTTTCATTCAGGTATTAAAAGAAATTCTAGCTCCAACATATGAAGATTTTCACGCCATTTAGCTGTAGATTCTATTCATTTTGCACATGATTTTCTAAATTTTTTTGACATTTTCTTTTATGGAGATATTTTCATCCATTCATTGTTCCACATGACAGTATACCAAAACTCTTGTAGACAATCAGTCACATTTTTCGAAGTTTTAATCAAATAATTTTCAAATTGTGCAAGATCATGTATTATTTGCAAATTTTCATGTTTTAAAATACAGGTTGACAATTTCATTGTGCCAATATACTGTTTACTACATAAAATCTGTGATAATAACTCCATTCCAATCTAAAAAATATATTTTAGTCATCATCTTGCATTCAAAACTCATCAAACTTATTCATAAGTTCAAAGAAAGACAAGTTTGGATTATAGCATTTTTCATGTTAAAAATAAAAAATTCCATAGATTTAAACATTTCAACTATGATATCATGATTCAATTTCAGTATCAGAGAATTACTGATCACAAAAAGTGTTTCTTTATACATTTTCTTCAATTTTTTTAATCTGATATATTACTTGTTTAATTTACTATTTAATCTTGTAATTTTTCCATAAATCTCTAGACATATTTTCAAAACTTCACAAAATATATAAAAAAATTAAACAAATCTTATTGAATCAAAAATTTAATAAAAAATTTTTCTAATATGCAAGCAAAAATTATTATTTTCTAAAAAATAGACGTTTGTTAAAATACAAGAGATGAAAATTCGTTTTGTGGATCATACTGAGGTGTTTTGAACTCCAGATTGATTTTCACTCAAATTTATCTCAAATGATTTTTCAATAATTCCTCACGAATCTAGGACATTGATACTTCACCTGAATGTCCATAGCAAAATAGAATATCACACAATTTTTTTAACACAACATTTGATGTAAACTTTTAAGATTACTAGATCATATTTTTGAAAATAAAACCTTCATGAACGAAAGCATTACTCACACAACAATATATGTTTAAATTTGCTTGAGTTTCTTGTTTAAACCTCTCTATTTATACCATTTCATAATTGTTATTCAAAACTTATTATCAATATCATATGATATAGTTTTCTAAGATTAATTTTGATTATTATCATTATTTACTCTTAAGATTCTAAATTATATCATATCATTTGACTCCTTAAATTTTTAACAAGAAATTTTATATTCATATAATTCATTTTTATAAGATTAAACTTGATCATTATCACAAATAACTATACAGATTTTACGTGTAGCATATAAATTTTTTACTTGTGTTTTAAAAAAACATTTTTTCATTTATATAATTAATTTTCTAAAATCAAATTTGGTAGATATCATCAATAAATAAAGAGTTTTATATTATTATTGCATTATATTATCTAGATTTTCAAGGAGTTTTCTTATACTTATGTTAAAATTACAGCATGCTATTGAGTACATTGAAATTTTTTGAATTGTATTTGCTAGTAAACCAAATCAAAACTAAGTCAATTGAAGCAAATTTTAACATGTTATTGAAGACTTTTATGAAAAAAACCTAATTTTTGATAAAAAAACAGAATAATGATACTTAATCATAAATTCTAGAAAAAATTAGTTATTTGACCAAGTTTATATATAATGGTTTAATTTAGAATAACTATCTAAAATTGATTATAACAAAGATTATCAACATCAACTCTTGTTTTTTTTTTTAAAATAAAAAACTTAGAAATGAATCAATCTTATGGTAAAATTAATTTTCTGTTGATGATTATTTGCAATAAGTTTTACACAAAAAAATTTTTATTTTTTTTATTTTCAAAAACTGAACAATACAAGTGGGGACTTACTTTTACAAGAAAGTAAAATGTTTGCAATAAAAAAACTATGAATAGTATAATTTTAGCAAATTTAAGATGTATAATGAACAAAAATAAATTACTTGTATCTCAGTACAAGATATATTTCACAATAAAACGATATTTTCTGAACGATTCGATCAAAATTCAAGCAAAACATAATGTTTTGAGCCACTCAAATTTATCAAACTTATTTCTAACAGGCGTTATGACCACAATAAATATCAATTACTTTCAATGGGATTAATTAAGACATTTGAGTTGAGATATAAATGTCACACTAGCTGGAGTTGTTTAATAATCTTAGTACGTATTGAAGAAATTTTCATTTGCAAAACAAGTAGATTCAAGCTAGAATTTACTCCAGGGTATGTGATTCTTGAATATCAAGCTAATGTGAAGAATTGCGGGAGATTCAATCATGTGTAAACTGATGATCACTTTATGTGAATTGTTGAATAAATCCCGATCATTGAGAGTAAAAAAGATAAGACTAATCATATTGAAAAGTTAAAATCTCTACTAAATGTATTTAAAAGAAGATTGATAATGATTTTCATGTTGAGTATCATGAAAATGATCTTCTAGAGGAGCAAATGAGTCAAATTAGTAAGTTCAAGAGAGTGAAAAAGATGACAAACCTCCACATCTGCTCAACACATTAAGATCAAGAGGAATCATGAAGAAAAATTTATCTTTTATTGATTTATTTGTCCTACTTGACAATTTGTAAATTGAGTTGATTCATTAATTTTGAAAGATGATGATTTTTTTTTGAAGAGGATGATATGAGTGCAATCTTACAAGAACATAAATAACCTTTATAAGATCAGATTCAGACTTTGTTGGAAAATTTGAATTTAATATAATAATGCAAAGATTGATAGAAAACAAAATCTGTAAGTTAGTAATGCTCTCAAAAGACGAACTACTAATGAACTCTAAGTTAATCTACAAATTAAAGAACAACTTCACTTATATAATTCAAAAGATCTAAAAGTGATTGATGATGAACAGATTTGCACAGGCAAAGATTACAATGATATTTATTTTTTAATTCTAAATATGTCATTATTTTCTTATATGTGTATATATGACTTTATTTGAGAGTATCTTGAACAAAATTAATATTTTATTTTTAAAAAATAAATTTAGATGAGGATGTTTTTATCAGACAATTTCATTAAAAAAATTTTCAAAAATCAATAACATATGATTTGCAGCTTGTTAAAAATTTTGTATATATTAACACAGGATCTTAAACAATACAAAAAATATTTGATTATTTCAAAAGATTGCAAAAATTCAAACAAAGTTTGTTTGATACTTTTTTTATACAAAAAAATAAAGGTTTTAGCTTCGTTATGTTGATATGAAATGTAAATGATATGGATATTGAAGCTATAAAAAAATCTGATAGGAAAAAATTAAGTCCAAAAACTAAAAGATCTATGTTAAAAAAATACATACAAGGTTCAACATAAAATTTAAAATTTTTGTAATTATTACTTTAGCTTCTTAGTCTAAATTTTCATTAGCTTTTTGATCAAAAAATTTGATAGGAAATAATGTCATGTTCAAGAAGTCTTACTACAAGATAGTAAAAAGTCATATATTTTTGATAATATGCACAAAATACATAATTATTTTTTCTGTGGACAAAATTTAAAGATATATGTCAACATTAGTAAGGTGTGGTGGATAATTAAAATAGAAAATATGCATTGAATTTTGATCTTATATTTGATTAAAAATTGTAAATCATCAAGTTTATCTACCATGTAGATGTTGAGTTTCAACAAGATTTAAATAAGATTACATTTACAATTGAAATGGATTTATAAATTGTATATCTACATGGCAACAAAGCAAAATTACTTGATTATAACATCAATTTGGTTGAATATGCTTGTCTTGTTAATCATCAACTCTAATTTTTACTATCTTCTTACTTGTTAGTGACACTTTAGTAACTTAGAAAAAGCGGTTGGATAGGTTTGTCATGAAGATGAAATAAACACATGATTTATGAATTTTCTAGCTATGGATCAAATGATGAAAGTAGAGAAAAGCACATTATCATCACTCATCATTTTTCCAAACAGTTTATGTTCAATAAATTGATTGAGATAGTAAAGATTGACAATGTATTCAAATCTCATGATTTTTTTATCAAAATTATTTTTAAAAAGAATTTTGTTAGACATTGTATCAGATTGCATGTTTTGCATATGGATTAAGTAGAATATATCAAAATTTAAGTTATTTGTGCATATGATTTTATTTTATCATGTTTTCATGACATTTGATGTTAATTAAAAATAATAAGAAGTTTATCTTAAAATTATTTAATTTATATTTTGAATATTTTTGTCTAAAATTTTCTTCAAAGAACTCACTCAAATTTTCAACTTGATAATCTGCTAAAAAATGAATTTAGAAAAAAAACCATAAAAATCAATTTAGGATTTAATAAACTCGAGTTTGTTCAAATATGATTAATTAGATGATTTAATTTGCTATTCAAGAGTTTCATGTAATTTTCGTACACACAACTGATTATTTCAGTATATATTTTGTGTTTTGATAATATACATAAACTTGTTCAAACTATGATTTTATCATGATGACTCCTTGGATTAATCTTCATGAAGATAAATTGTCATGCATGGATTATCTTGAAGACAACTTTCACAATGACACAAAGAAATTTTATTGGAAAGTATAAATATTTGTCAAAAAAATTACAATAAATGTTTTTATATAATTACAATGTAACTAGTTGTGATTATAATAATTTGAATCAATCAAAATTTCAGATTTATTCAAACATAATAATTAAGCTTAAATAATATATATATATATAATCAAATTAAACATATTTGAATTTAAATAAAATTTAAATTGAATAAATTTTTAAATTGAGAGCTTAATCAATAATGAATATAAATCAATTTTTTAAATAAACATGATTTCTTACTTTTTCTTGGTAAAAGAATTTATTTTTCTAATCTAATAATCATGACATAGATTAGATAATGAATGACTTTTTTAGTAATCTGACTTCAACAATAATTAATTAGGGTTTTCTATAAGTTATAGATGCTAGTATTTGACCTTACAAAAATTAAAAGTTTGAATATAGATTTAGAATTATTTTTAATCTTTAATATTATATTTTTATTAATAAAAATTCATAATTTCAAGTTTTTTTTATCAATTATACATTCTCTTCATTGTTGTTAAAAATCAAGATGTTTGAAAATAAAATAAAAAATAATTTTTTATAGATAATAATAAAGATAATTATTATTTGTTATGAAAATTTAAGAATTTTCAAAATCTGAAAAATATATTTTTGTCTGTTGTACATAATACATTCATGACATAAATTGAAAAATGCTACTATATAAAAAATTTAAATATCATTATCAAAAATAATAATATTTTTGTATAATGTTAAGAATGTATATCCAAAATTTGTATACATGATTTTGTTTTAAAAAACAATTTGCATTTGATTTAAAAGAAAGAATGTTGTTAGAAGATTGAAAGCCATAAAAAATCATATTTGAAGAATTAATCTTGTAAGATCATAATATTATATTCAACTTCTTGTATGCATGTTCGACAAATAAAATATTAACATTTACATTGGTTTTTCTGGATAACATTCATTTTATTGTCATATTTCATATGTCATACTTGTTTGTCATGATATTTGTTTCTAACAGTTTTAATGCAAACATGATTTGCAAAGTTAGGGATACAAAAATCCATGTTTTAGGTTATTGTGGTGATAGCATCTTACTGAACATTGAGTTCTTAATTTGCGTATTTTAAATTAAGTTGCTAACATGTTACAAACATTATTCTATGTTGATATATTTGTGTTACAATGAGCCCTATTTTTGTGTCATAAAAGATAGCGAGTATTAGTAATCATTGTGCATCAATTATTGCTATTGGTATTTGAAATTCTTGATACATTCAAAGTTAAAAACATGTGTACATTGAAAAAAATGAAATTGGTGTTATCTAGAATGATGTAAGATCAGGTGTTTTTAAACATCAAGAATCTCCAATCAGGTCATGGCATAGTTGGTAGTATTGAGGTGTTAAGTTCAACTTATTTAGTTTGTCTACTGTATGTATAGTCCAACATATTGAGACTTTGCCAAGGGTTGATAAACATAAATTTTGGCAAGAGTCTCAAGAGCTGAAGAAATCATACTGTCGATCAATGCAAACAATATCAAGTATTATTGTAATCCAACATATATAAAGTTAATCACTTTTGATTTTGAATTGTATGATAGAAACATTATATAATATAATGGGAGCCGCTAGGACTATATAGAACCCCTAGGCTCGTTTTCGAAGCTTGTGATTGGCTGGAACCATTCAATATTATCACGAAAAAATAATTTGCATTTTTGTATTAAATATTATTTGAGCTATTGTCTTCTTCAATATCATAGAGATGCGGGAGCGTGGACTTCAATCTCTTTGCAATGAACAACCTGAACAACTTGGAACTACTTGGAGAGCTTGTGTTTGCCACCCTGGACGAGGCTAGTGCGGCAGTAGACTCTCAACTGCAAGATATAGACAGGGTGAGTGCTGTTTAGCGGCTCCCTATATAATGTATTATGCAAAAGCATTATTGGATCTTAGATCAATCATGTATGGCGATTCTTTTATAACCAACATCTCCCTTCATAGAACTTAAAATCATTACATTCATATTTATAAAATCGGTAGACATAGGATGATTGCTGCTTGCTGCGGCATGAGAATATAGATACATCACAAATGAAAAATACTATGTTCTGCTATGACAAAATGATGACAAGAATCATGATCATATTAAGGTCTCCAAAGACACCTTCATATGAAGACGATACTCAACGTAAGGTTGTTCAAAACCTTGCAGATGTCAATATGTTCAGAAAGCTATGATTCAGGAGCTGCTTGGAGGTACTGAAGTATAAGTCGTCCTACAGCTTCTGCCAAGGTCACAGCCGATTCCTGAGTGGCAGCTTCTGCATAGACTCTCACAAGATTCTCTGTTCCAGAAGGCCTGACAAAAGATCTCCCTGCTTTGTATTTCGCTGCACAGCATATTACAATTCGGGCAAAAAATTGGTCACAAGTTTGGATGATTCAGAAATGTCAGGGTCCAGTTTGTTCAGATTTGCAGAACAACATTGATCAAGAAAGAACTTACCAACTTCGACGTCAATAGCATCTTGCAATTGAGGTATAGATTTCACTCTGGTTTCATCAGCTGTTGTAGTGATAAGCGACCGATCAACACCCTTAATCTGAAACAATGAATGCAAATGTTATTACCACCAGAACTAAGAGTTCTCCTATAGTACACGTGAAACTCATAACACTTGCTGCACAATACAGTTCCAATTTGTAACTCAGAATAATACCGTCAGTTGCTTGCTTGGCAGATCCGTATAAATAGAATCCCATTGCTGAATGGACCATTCTCGATATCGCAGGATGATCTCAACCATTAGAATTCCACTCAATGCATCTCCAACCCCGGAGTTAAAAAGTTCACTAACAGCTACAAGTCTCTTGACAGCTGTTCTTCCTTCAACTACAGTTAGAAAAAACACGAGCAAATGTCACTTAGTACAAGAAGAAAATTCTTATCGATTAGAGCCACCACGACCTCCAAGTCAACAAGCGATGCATAATTATTTCCTTCTTGAAGTTTCAACATTTATGGTTATTCTTGGAAGTAGGTGAAGGGGTAGAGATCTATACTTGTACCTGACGGAAGTGTATTGCCATGCTCCCTCAGCCAATCTACGAAACTTTCTTGCATCAAGATTGTGCCATGTCCATTGGCCTCAAAGTAAATTCCAATGTCATAGGCTTCTGCCCTTGCATGGAGATGCTTCACTCCTGTAGGAGTAAGAGCGACTTCCAACCCAAGCTTTTGCTGGAGATAATTCGTTGATGCTCCATTGGCGTAGGCTGTTTGTACCACACCCAATTTTACAGTACCGTACCCAGGTATTACTACATTTGGTGGACGAGAATCACTTTCACCGACAAAATTTGTGGATTTTTCCATCATACGAAGCTGGTCCAGGATGAAGGAAGAGAAAAGAGCCATGATTTTATCTCCATCTAAAAGATGCATAGCCAGTGACTTATCAGTTTGTGAGGGTCCAAAATAGAAGTAAACTAGCCTGTCTGCATCCCCGTCCACACTGACACACCTGCCATAACGACTATGAACTTTCATGAAAAGAACAATGTTCAGAAAGAATAGAAAATGAAAGAAACTTGCTTCGAATATCGATATTAAGATTTATGCTAGTAAGGTTCTCAGCCTGATGCCGTAAAGGACAGATGATTGATTTTTTCATTGTTTACTTCGATCATGCCGGGCAGAATACCTCTTGTAGGGTACCGAGGTTCAGATTTCTCATCATACATATTGTATCTTGCATCGTGAATGATTTTAATATTCATGGCGAAAAAAACTTCAAAAGCAAAAGCATCATGTACCTCTTATCTTGGTCGCTTGATGCATCAAAGTTAAGCGGAAAAACCTTTTCCTTTTGAACGAAATCAGCACCGACCAGATAATTCAATACGTTTCCTTTTCCACCTGTGTTTCTTATTTCCATGTCCAGTGCTTCAAGCTTTTGCCCTAGTTCCAGAATTTTACTAGCACCGACACCATTTGAGGCATCCACAATAAGAGTCTCTGGCTTGAACAAATTTGAAGGCCCAAGGTCCAGTAACAATCTGCAAAATATTCTTTGCAGTTATATTGTCTACAATGGAACCTACGAAGCTGTACTCCGAACCTAAATAAAAGATAAGTACAAATGCACAAATACGGGAGAGATTAGCAGCAAAGGGACGAATACTTCAAAGACTTCTTCTCAGTTCTTTCAAGCGAAGCAAAACAACATGAGTGAGAAAAGTTTTTACATTGAAAAACATGAACAATTTTTGCTACTTTAGGAAAAAGGTGGTGCAAACACTTTACTAAAGAGGTAAGCAAGGTCCGGTATGTTACAAGACTAAAGTAGACGAAGTTCAGAGCCAAATAATGGAGTAGATAACCTGAAAGCATTTGAGAGAGTCTGAAAATACTGCAATTCTGAGCCGATTTCATCCTTGTTAGTGGCGCGCACCATCCAATGCAGTTGCGGAGTTGTCAATATCCCTTTGTTCTCAGCAACAACGCCTTGCACGGCCTCAATACCCTTGCAATCGTAAACATGTCAACAAAGGCAGCCAATATTGAGAGATCCACTTTCAGCCCAAGAGCTACGTTGGCGATTTGGAATTCTCAGGTTTTGCAGAAATACCTTTCGAGCAGCTTCAATGAGAGCTGGGCCTGTGCTTCGTGTGTCTCTGGCCAGAAAAACTTTCCCAGATGGGCTTCCGCCCTGAATATCCTCTCTTTTTATGACATCTTCAACGACCTGCAGTTGGTGAAACAGGATGTAAATGAACATTTGTGATGAAATATGCTTTACGTGAAAGCTTCATAACCCACATTGTCGAAAACTCGAGCTCAAAAGCCAAGGATGTCTTTATACAACACCTCAGGCTTCGAAACATGTGGGAGAAGGTTAGAAGTAATTGTTTTGTAGAGAAAAGAGCACCATGTACTTCCTAGGAAGAGGCTCAAGCATACAAAGGTTTATCTTGCCAGAATGTGAAAGAGTAAACCACAGGACTTCAGACTGACCTTTAAAAGGAGATCCGAGTTACCAGCATTAGCCATCATCTCTGCATACTCCTCCCAATCCAAAGTTAACATACCTCCATCTGGATCTGCAATTTTAATTCCATTATGATGTTCGTGGTTGTGAGAGGCTGTTATCACAAGTCCGATAACCTTCTCTGTTTTCAACGATCGCAAGGCTGCCAGCACTCCTGTCCTGAACACAGTAGAGCCCAGTCGGCTTCCATCTGCTCGAAATCCCGCAGTCCCATAAGAATACTTTTCTCCTGCATATCGATCATATTCGGTCAAGTCAATAAGTAATAAGGATTGAAAATTAGGTAGGCAAAGACATTGGCAGAATACAAATGCCTGACGTGCTTGTACAATTCACTTGCATTCAAACGTCACGTGGGCATTATTCTGATACGTACACTGCAAGAATCAATGAAATCAAGCAGAGAGGGTAACTTTCAAAGAAGCAATATGCCTACATTGGCAATTGGTGCTGCGAGAGAGCACTGTTGGGCTGGAGCATTGTCGCACAAAAATATCAATCAAGAGCGCCTTAATCTAAGTTGCGATTGCATGCTAAAATGGAATGTTGGTGTAAATTCACTATCAGAATCTTTTACAGAAAAAGGCCGTCCACTTCAAAAGCGAAGATTTGAGAGAAAATTTAGAGAGGGGAATGGGCTCTCTTAAATAAATGATAGCTCAAACCCAGTGATGATGAAAATGTACTAGAAACTAGAACTAACAGTAAACTAACAGCACAATGCGGATGTAAAACTATGTCATTGCCGACTAGCATGAAATCATTCGAAATTAAGGTCCATGATGTATTGAACATGACAGAAACTTACCCGGAGGTGGTGGAAACTCATCGGCAGCTTCACGGAGACGGGATAGAAGATCGAGATCCATTTCCAAAACACCCACGGCAGCTGCAGCAGCAGCAGCGGGGGCGTCAAGCGAAGCGGACCGCCTGGAACAAGAACGAGAAGACGAAGAAACAATCGCTGGCACAAGACTTAATCGCCTTCCAAAATTCCCAGACGAGGGGAAGTGCATAGACGAGGGAGGAACCAGTGGAATGGCAAGTGCAACAGAAGCGACCCTTTTACACGCGCGGTTCCACAACCTCGAGCTCAGCATCACATCCAAGAATTCTCGGCGAAGCCCAAATTTCAGTGCCCGATTCGAAAACTGGACTTTCGAGCCGCGGCACATATCGCTGCCCAGAGCAGTCTCTCAACCTGCAGCCAGCACCTGCAGTACCAGTCGCACACACGCTCCGCTCGCCGGTGCTTTCATGTCTCCGCGGGTGACCTGTTGAAGCAGGTCACCCGCGGGACGTGCAAGTCTTTGACGAAGCAGTAGAACCTCACACCGTAATTCTGTGATACTCCCTACGCGCTAGTCGGAGCATAGCGTTTCTCAAAACATAATACTGATTTACTGAAATTTTTTGGACGTTGTGGAGGAGTAACTTTGTGGAGTAAAGTAGTAGATATTTTGCTGTTGCTAAAGCATGGTTAATATTGGCGCGGCTGACCTACGTCTGGTTGGTAGTAGAAAATGCAGATACGAAACTCCCTCCTTATACGTGTGTATACATGGAGGACAGAGAGTAAAATTGCGCTCGAGGGTGAAGGCGAGTGACCACACGTGAATTTACATGCGGCATCCATCAACAAGTTTTCGTCTGACGTCCAGATTCCACCTGCCTCCTCTGAGACGCGCTAGAAGCGTCGAATATTCTTGATTCCATAGATTGACTGGGTCACTTCCAGAGCATATTCACTTTTGAATCTATCAAGTTCGCTGTCAATTTCTGGTGGTCAAGATCGCTGTTGTGCGGTAAGATTGAGATGTACTTGTGCTGGATTGAACACAATGTTCGATTAAGCATGTTGCAACAATATATTATGACAAACTAATATTTGGAAAATTTGGAGGTTTAGAGATCTGATCATACTTTGATTTGCAATCTGGTACATTGTGGATGAATGGTGCACGCCATACCTGATATAAAGTGCATGAAGATTACTGGTTTGTAGGGGAGGGGAAGTTTTGCGCAGGATTTATGGTCATTTGTTTCAAGTGAAATTGGGTTTAAGATTCGGAGCCTGTTTGTTGTGTGTGCGACAGTGAGTGGTTAGAAGTATTGCCGTCGGGTGAAACGCAACCACGTGCCTGCAGAGTTGCCTTGATTCTTGGACTTGAGACAAACCTGAATCGAGATGTCGGTTATTGAGCTCAGTGAAGGGGGTTACATATAGGAGATATTGGGTGCAGCAGATTTTGGAATTTCTTCCAGGGGATTCCAGATTTCACAAGGATCTCTCGTAGAATGAATAAAATAAGATCAAACTTGTACTAGTGACGCTCCAATTGAGCTCATGGAGTTGGGTGTTGGAATCGGTGGATCTGGTATCCGTGCAACACAGTGTGCCGCTGATGTATCGCGGAATCTGCCTATCTATCCTTCAATATGCTGTGGAGGTTATCAGGGGCGATCAATTGACGCCGAAAGCTTGAGCAGTTCGAGTGGATTATTCAGTTTTCGTCTCTCGGCCCAGAATCAAAAACTGCACTCCGATGTTCCTCTTACTCGACGACCTCTATGCGTTTCTTGTTCGCAATTTTCGTTCCAGCCAGATGGCTCTGGAATGAGCACGAAATTCGAGCCTTTCAGTGAGCCCTTCGGAAAAAATCGATGTGTGGGCTCTGGAATCTCGCACAATAGGCGATTTGGATGGAAAGGATTTTTGTGTAGAGCCTACGAAGGTAGTACGGTCGGAGACCTCGAATGGATGTCAACGGCCAGTCCGCATGAAGTGTTGGGTATTTCAGAAGACTGCAGTGAAGAGGAGATCAAATCTGCTTTTCGAGCAAGGGTATGATAGTTGATTGCATTTCTGTTGGGCGAGTGGACAGTTCTGTTACTTCACATGTTCAGTCCCTCTATATTCGTCACAATTTTTGTACATTGAAATGTTGAATTTGACTTTCAGCTAAGAGTTCTAGCAGCTGACTTGGCAGCCGTTTATTGATTTGAGTCCTGCAGGTCGTAGGGTCCAACTCTGACGCTTGTGTGCTTTGCCTCATGAACTTCTTGTTTTGTAGATCAAGGAGTATCATCCCGATGTTTACCAGGGCTTTGGAGATGCAGATGCCATCACACAGCGCTTACTTAGAGCATATGAGGTAGATGAAGTAGCTGCAGATTAAATCATTGATGTGTGTTGCCAGTGTATGGTTCAGCTTATCAATCATATTGGTAAATTGTTGCTGTCAGAGCTCAGCTTGATGTCCAGTTTATGACATTAAAATCACCATCAAGCAGTGCACATCTGAAATCACTTACCTCTGCAGATTTTGACAACTGATGTAGGACGACAAACATATAAGAGGTATGAGAGTTCTACAACCAATTTGTACCTTGCATCCTCAAAATTTGTGAAAAATGGAAACAGTGAGTTAAGTTTCGTCATGTTCCATGATTACTTCCGTTCAAGAGTGTGTCATCTGCATTTCTTTCATACTATAAAGCCCTTTTTGCACAAATACACCTGTATTTACTTGTCTTGATGACCAAGATTCAATTTTGAGCAGAAAAAGTCTCGATCCATTTGAAGAGCCAGAGTGTTTCGCCGAAGATCTGTTTGTTAACGAGGTGGCTTGCATAGGAAGAGGTGAGTTTCTTCGCTTTATTAACTTAGAAGAAGAGAACGCAGTACCGACGATAAAGTATAGAACAAAGTCCGCAGAATTTCCATTTTCATGATATACTCATTGCGCATTCTGTTTACGGAGCAGGGCATGCCTAGATCTACAAATCTGCTGAAATTAGGACACAAGCCAAAGAGTCGTCTTTTCCCCTAAGTAATAATGTTCAAATGCTGATTTGTGGCTACAATATAGGTTGTCCCTATTCCTGCGTGGAGCGTGCCCCTGATGTATTTCAATATGCACCTGACACGGGTTGTGCTCGTGCTGTAAAACAAGGTACGTGCAAGTTGTTCTGTTAGTTGTAGTTTTTCATCTTCAAAAGGCTCAGACCCTTTGTTGGTTCTCAAAAGATGTGAATGTGCACGGTTGGTGTTGATGCGATAGATCTACTTAGAGGGCGAAGACACACTCTGTTGAGTCGTGCTTGAGGTCTGTAAAAACTTTCTCTGAATTTTCGTTTGAGAAGTTCAAGAGTTTCTTGACAGAGACACAAAGATCTCACACATCCTGTTTTGTTTTCTCTAACTGTACCTTATACGTGTCGATGTGTGTAGGTAAAGGAGATGAGTATCATGTGCAACTGGCTGTGGGACAATGCCCAAGAAATTGTATACATTACCTAACACCTGAACAAAGAATTATAGTGGAAGAGCTTCTACGAAGGTTTGTCGCTCAAGCTGTAACTGTGAAATTTCTTTCGTGTGTGCATCATAATATTCAGCTATTATTTTAATTAATATGCATTTTAATAGTACTCATTTCATGTGTAGAATGTTCTTTCGAACTGCTGGCCTTCAGTGTGCCCCATAATTCTAGCACTTTTGAAGGGAATTGTGAACGTGAGTTCAAACTGAAAACGGCAGTTCTTCTTTGCAATAGAATTGGCAAACCTGACTTTTTTCCTTGACATGATGTCCATCCTACAGTGCAATTGAAGGCACAGTCTACTCCTATGACACCGTAACTATGGAGGGACTTATAGCAAAAGCTAATTATGAAAATGGGAGATATCAACCTCCAAAGCGCACGGCGAAACGTACTGAACAGTGGGTAGACTGGTTCTGAAGTTTTATCTCTCACTTATCTGCAGCTGTTCCAAATTCTTGATTGCATGTCTGTTAGCAATGCAAACGGGGAACTTACGGCAGTTGTCACTTGGACCATAAAATTACTTTGTGGCCTGTGCAATATTGGCCACAAAGAGCACGTTAGGATTTCTGAATTCTTGCCACATATTTGCCTTCATACCTGTTTATACCTACCCCGTGTAACTTTACAATCACATGTGAATATACGAAAATGTTCAAAAGGCGAAGCTCTTGCTCGCCCAAGTTCAACTTTTGTCTTTCACTTCTGATATGGATCATGAGAGGTTTTTAGGTAACTGTATATTTCGCTTACTTCAGTGTTGATAAGTTTTTATTTCACCGGGACTGTCCCCAGTCCTCTGATCATTTGAGTTTGTGGGATGTCTATATGTTGATGCTTATAATACTAGGATATGCAAAGTTGCCGATCCAGTTATGTGACATACCAACTGCATTCTTACAAGGAGTCTTGCTTGGTCTTGCTAGGTTTGTGTATATGTCACAGGATTGGTTGGACACCTAACTATTGATTTGTTCGTAATGTTGTTTTCCATTATTGCTCACTGAGATCAGTCTAAATCAAAGAAACTCAGTTAGAGGAATACCCAATATTTAGTAAGATACAATTAGTTTGAAGAAATTTTTTTATTCCATCGTCTATATTATCTTGGTAGGAAGATGACAGAAGTTAAAAAATAGAAAGTCAGTGGAGCCAAACAGTCATGCTTAGGCGTAGTTGCTGTAGACAGGTTGCTCTATGATCTCATCCCAGGAAAACAAATGAAAAGCAATGTCTTGTAATTTTAAAATAGCAAGCTACCAAATCACTTCAATTTGCTGACAGAATATGGGGTAAGACAAGGAAAAGCACATCACACCATCACCTGAAGCTACTGTACCATACTACCCCCTGCACACGGGATGCTGTTGCTCTCCAAAACGGTTAATTGTCCACCTGCTTCCGCCTCATAGGTTCTCAGAGTCGCATTACTGAACACTGCAGTCGCCTCCGGCGTTTCTGAAAACCATGAGCTTAAGTAAACTTCACTCTGGCGGGATTATGGCCACTTGAATAACTATAGTAAGTAGAACATGATTCGAAATGGGTTGGTTGGTACATCCTTTCCGCAAGTTGTGACTTGCGCTGCAATCAACAAGTCCAAAGGATCTGTGGTGTAAAGTGTCCTCGACAAAAAAAATTCTCCCCATAAACGTCAATAAACCGTTTGCGTTTATTAGTTTGGTCCATTCTAATTGGACGAAGTACAATCTAAGACACTCCTCTTAATTATTTCTACACTGATGGTATTTCCACACACCTGGAAACAACAAATTATATCCCACAAATTATGTCATGATTTCTCACCTTTTGAGGGTTGTTATGCCTTGTTTTCATCACAACTGAACATTAAACTTTATTGCCACATCAAGGACAATAAAACATTACTGAGTAAGTTTTATGTATGTTAAATTAGGTATGCAGATGTCACCTTAAATGCAGTTTTAATCAGATTCATACTGGTTGCGTTAGTTGAAGTCGGCATAAAAATTTCCTCATAATTTTCTTTTTCTATTTATATGTAAATTGATCATTATGTGAACCCGGGATCTCATCAAGTCATATATTATATGTCACATGCAAGTTTTGTATTCTTTTTAGTGGATCCAAACATTATTCCTCACGTTACTCCGTTTGGTTTTGGTTTTGCTCATGAATCTTGGCTTCACTGCACTTCAGGGTTTTATATAATTCTAACCAGTTTTCTACTTTCCAACTATAAGATTTTGGCTTGACATCCATCTAAATCTTCATTAATACTCTTACGAATGTAGTATTACCTTAAAAGAGATAAATATATATACGACTTGTTGTACAATTTGAAAAGTATAAAGTCTGATTTCTTAGGATTGAGGCATTGTTATGGCTAGAATAGTACGGATGTAATGTATTTTTGTTATGAGAAGGTACATATATCACATGGATGGAACGTTGGTATGTCATGGATCCTACTACCTATATTTGGTTTGATACTGGTTGCATATAGAGTGTCTTACACTTGCCTCAATATTGGAAGAGTTATGATCCATTCTCATGTATAGGTGGTATGACAATAACAAGTCGATTTTGTGATACTTAACTACGGACACCCAAATTGATACGTTTGTGAAATAACACAATAAAATCTATCACACTATATGACAAAGTTGTTTTATTTTATAAATAATTGATTCATATATCATGGACAACATAATTCAGTTGTTTTGTAACTAGCATCCCCATCCATAAGAAAAAAAATCATCATCAGTGATCATTCTTAAGTATATTGTTGTGTTATAAAGTATTTAACATAGTTAGACCATGTATTTTAATTATAATGTGCGCATTATCCCTTTTATGTTATTGAGGGTACGTGACACCTTTGGGTTCATATATAAGTTATCGAATATTTCAATATTTTTGTATCATTATTGAATCATGTGAGAAATGAAATTCCAAACACTGCACTCTTGTCCAAATTTAATTCAGTTTGTTCAGTTTACAAAACTTGAGATATTAAGTTCCGACTTTACAAAAACTTAAGAGCCCCTCAAGATGGCATTAGTCAAGCTGTAGTAAATTCAAAGATTTTACCTTTTCTTCTGAGTCTTTAGAACATTCTCAAATGTTTGTATGTTCCAACGATGATCCAACAATTTCAATATCTGGACTTCAAAAACTCTCTGAATAGATTATTTCTTACTTTTGTGATCGAATGACAAACATGGCTGCCGCGAGTCTTGGAGCTAAGATCGAGAGAGAATCTTCATTCCAAACGGGGCTTACTTTACAACTTGCAATAGCGGAAAGACGTCCGTCTAGAGTCCAGCCGTCCAGCGTCTTGCGGACTTGGGATGCGGAAGGGAGGTGATGAGCACCGACGCCGTAACGCAGAAGGCAACACAGTTCGTCCGCAGAACACTGTCCAGTGTGAGGCAGCAGCAACGGCGTTGCTGGCTTTCGCGTTTGGTGGACAGTGCTATCCTCTCCATCTCGCCCGCTCTCGTGTCCCGCTCCAGCTCCAGCTTTGGCCTGTCGCACGAGGAGAGAGGGGAGCGCACGAGAATCATATCGTTGGTGAAGAGGTAAAGGAAGGCTCGAGGCTTGAGGCTTGGTAGCGGTAGACATGGCGACCGCTCGGTGCTTGGACACGAGCCTTTTCGCATGCAGTTCGTCGCAGCCGCAACGGAGCATTGCTTCTCGTCGAGGGCGCGGGGGAGTCACAGCTGCCGCGTTTTCTTCTCAGAAGAAGAATAGAACGGTTTTGGATTCAAGCTTTGTTTCTCATCATGCAGCTGGAAGTTTGCACGGGTCGTCGCTTTTCGGGGGTTCGGGACTTTTTTCTTTGTCCAAATCCGTGAATCAACATGAATTCAACCCCCAACGTGGTGCTCGCCGCGGTGTTGTGACAATGGTAGGCAATTCTGGACATTCTTGTTCTTTGTTTTTATGAAGAAAACATGGGGCTGTCATTATCGACCCTTGTGGTTGTGTAGTATCCATGAAGATTTTGATAGTGGCCGCTTCCAGATTGGTATATCCAATTTCAAACGAATACACTGAAAATATCTCATCCACATATATTTACAGTGAAGGGAACTGCCATTAAATAAAAAATTCGGAGCACTGCCTACCGCGGGTTTTTTTCAGTGTTTTTTCTGTATGCTTCTAATTAAGAAGGCAACTTCTGTTTCCCCAAGTCAAGTTATTTTCATCCATGGTGAGGAAGATGTACTTTCGAGCTGCAGTGAAATCAATGAATTCAGTGTTGTACAATGGAGTCCTAATACAGACTTACATGTTTACTGGATCCTTTTCAAAGTACAAGCGTCATGACTTTCTCAAATCACTAGGGATGAACAATTGTGGTTTGTCCTCTACTGCTTACTTACTCTGTCAGGTTCCAATCAATCTAATTTAAGAGATGAAATCAAACGGATACAAACTCATCTGTACCGTCTTGCCAGTATGAATGTTGTCCCAGGGGGGCTTTAGTCACATGAAACAGACATCGAGAGATTTTTAAAACATTTGTCGCCAGGTTCCGGTCTCATGTTCTCAGCAGAGTATGTGTACGAAAAATCACTTTATTTTGTCTGTGCCTTATCAGAAAACCAAGCTTGAAGTTTCCACTCCCATAAATTTCTGAATCGATTGTCCCTACCACATGGTTTTATTTCAACCTCTGATATTAGATTAAATCTATCGTAAGATTTTGCAAGTTCTCGTGGTTTAAATTTTATCATTCTTTGTCAATTTTTCAGGTTATTCCGTTTCAAAGAGGTGACGCGACCCAGCAACCACCTCCCGATCTGCCCTCTTATCTATTCAAGAATCGGATAGTGTTCCTGGGCATGTCCCTGGTTCCATCTGTGACGGAACTGATCATGGCTGAGCTTCTCTATCTTCAGTATGAAGACCCAGACAAGCCTATCTACATGTACATCAATTCCACGGGAACAACGAAGGTGGGTACTTGAATTATCATACGATGTGCTTGTAGGTTGTAGGAGATGTGTAAGTCTCCGTAGGGTGGTGGGGAGATTTATGTTCGATTCTAGCTAGGGTTCTCATGCGGGAAAGTGGATTGATAGTCAATCTAGTCTGTCTGAAAGAGAAAGATGCTTATCAGGAATGAACCGGGATATGAAGTTGCACTTTCTGCAGGGTTCATGCTCAGGTGTTTATCTGCAGTACCACAGGCAACCTTATTGGAGAGTAGAGTAGTAGAAACCTTATGAATGAAACGAATATGCAAGTTGATGATGTTGGGTGCTTTTCAGGATGGAGAGAAGCTTGGATATGAGACGGAAGCCTTTGCCATATATGATACGATGAGGTAGATTGAGTTTGAAGCTTTTCCTCTCTTCTCATTCTACAGGAGGGTTATCGCAAAGCCGTGTTTGAAGTTCCTCTGTTTTTCAATGTATATATTTGTGTGCTTGCCGATTTGTATGAACTGAAAGTTGAGTGATTGCAGGTATGTGAAGCCACCTATTTTCACTTTGTGCGTCGGGAATGCTTGGGGAGAAGCTGCCTTGCTTTTGGCAGCTGGATCTAAAGGAAATAGAGCCGCCCTCCCATCGGCAACTATTATGATAAAGCAGGTATTATTTTCTTTCGAATTTCAGCCCCGAGGATTTTTTTAGAAAGTACAGCAGTTAACAAGGTTATAAATTGACATAAAAGTTTTCTTCCTGTGGTCTTTGAATCCGGCAGCCAATTGCACAATTTCGAGGACAAGCTACAGATATCGATATAGCACGCAAGGAAGTTCGGAATATTAAAACTGAGCTGGTATGATTTCTTCACCCCGATCCTCCTTTTGTCATTTCAATAAACATTTGCCTTCGAACTGATTTGCATATTTTCTCCTTTGAATATCCCGGAATCTATGTCCAGGGTTCTAGCGTCACAAATATCACTAGTTTCATTGAAGATACAAAGCGCAAGTACTTTTCTCGTACTTTGCAATAAGGTGTCTGGAACGTTTGCAACCTCCAGCTGTCTAGAAATATTCTTAACATGCAACTTTATCAAATTATTTGTGATATTCACTCAAAATGCCAGGCAAACTCAAATTTAGTGTTCATACACTCGCTTGGTAATTGAAGAAGCTCGTGTTTAGGCCTCGGAATCGTTCATAACTTAAAAACGTCGTTGTATTCTTCACAAAGTCAAAAGTTAGGATTATATCAAAGAAGAACGTCCAGAGTTCCATATGGGCTTGGAGCTACTGGTTCTTCACACATTTTCGTAGAAGCTGAAGCAGCTTGGACCGAAACTTGAAATACCTTCATAGACGCCCTAGTGCAAATTTTCTGCCTGTGTGACCTACCAGTGCCAGTTCTTACATGTTATGTCTCGTCCCCTTGATGTTCTCGATTCTGTAGGCCGGGGCGTAAACATTTCCTCTTGAACGCCTTTAAGCAGTGAAACATGGCGTAGACGAACAATCGCCGAGGCAGCTGAATTGCTCTCAGATCGCTTCATGAATTTTTTTTCGTTATCAGTGTAATCTGACGATCTTGAACTAACCTCATCACAGATATTTACGTGATTATTCCGCACATTTCATGTTCATCTAGGAGGCTTTTGGATGATTCGTTCACATCTTATGTTTTGTACTTGTACAGAAAGGTTATATATCTATAATCGTCATGAAGGTATGACATTTATAGATATACATATGTATATATATTTACAGGCATACTTGGGCAGCTCGTCCTTCAATGACGTGAACCCTTAACAGTGCCGTTTACCACCATAATGACTTCAGTCGTATGGCAATAGATGACGAAAGCTTGAGTGACCAGTACACTAGTAACATTCTATGCCATTTGTTGGAGGTTGAAGTCGACCGGTTTCAGTTTGACTGCTAGAAGTTTTAACGGATAAAGCACCATGTCTAATATCTTTGTGCAAGTTTTGTGAAGCCTACTTCGATATTAAGGATGGGTATCTTATGAAATCTGCAAGATCCTCGCTCACAAACAGAAGAGTTTGGTACAGGATCGGATAAGAAGAAAATGGGAAATCTAGAGGTTAATGGAAAGACGAATCCATGAGTACAGCTTGTCTTTCGCTGTGAATTTAACTTCAGTCAATGTTGATGTTTGGCGCAATTTGTGTCTCTGCAGGTTAACCTTTATGCGAGGCATCTAGGGCACAATGCCGAACAAATCGAGGAAGATATCAGACGACCCAAGTATTTTAGTCCCGAGGAAGCGGTAGAGTACGGCATTATTGATAAGGTACGGTTAGGACACCTTTAAAGTTCTCGTGCGCCACCTCTCCACTGTGCTTTTCCACCTTCCTGCCGCCATTGTTAGCTTTTTCAAGCACTTCAAGATTGGAAGATGAAATTTGTCAAACAAAACAAGCGCAGACCTGTCATTTCGGAGCTTGGAAGTCAATTGATCGTCAAGTTCCGTACGGTAGACTCAGACAGGCACCAAATTTATTTTATTTTTTGTTTTACTCCACGCAAGCCGTGGACTTGTTTGTCAGTCACGAGTTGACATTGCACGCGTTGATGTTCGAGTCCATCTTTTCAAGTCTATAGTGCAGATAAAACGGAACGTGTGATGTTTCTTTCTACTGGATTTCATCGTTCCTGTGGTTTACTCAGGTGTTATATGGAGACAAGGGACAGGACAAGGGCGTTGTTGCAGATTTGAAAAGAGCGCAACTCATCTAATTCAGGTAAACGCCTTGGTCCGCAGAGTTGAAGACCATCTGCTGAGGACCTTGTAGTATGTTTAGAAAATTCAATATGGACATTTGAAGTGGAGCTAAGCATGCCATGGTGGAAGAACTCTTGAATAAGTTAGTTGTCTCGCCTTCGGATTCTTATGAACGAAATGTCTGGGGCCAATGTACGATCAGGAGAAAGGTCTAGTTTTTTGTACAAAGACAAGCGACTGAAGTCTTCGAAACGCCAGCTAGAATTTCTATAAGGATACCTGGTCAGATTAGTACCCTGTTTAAAAGGAGATTTCAAGCCATACAGATTGTTTCAAAGGTTTCTACTTCACCTTGTAATACAATTACTGTTCCTGGAAGGCTGTTAGCCCCAGGCAACAAAAGTTCATTTTTCCTTGTTTGTAGCTCGAATGGCAGGGAAGGGACCAAATGTGTTGAAAATCTGTTCTTTTCTGCTTCAAAAGACATGCTGCTCCGAGCAATTCTTGCCCACCTCTGAGATAGGCTTTCGCGACGTAGGGTAGGGTCAGTCAGCTGGTAGCTTACCCTACAGGCATCATGATGGGTTCTTACAAAGCGTGTCGATGGAACCGAAGAACTAGGTTATGGCTTGTGGCTTGAGTCTGTTTTGTCATTGGCAGTCCGAGCATATCCACACATATTCCCGACGGCGATTGCTCGTTGCTTCTCTCGCTTCGAACACTAAATTATTGTGCTTTGAAAGTTGGGCCTACCTACAATATCTTAACGGTGCACGGTCTCTACACCCGGAGACGCTAGGTTTGCTCGCTTTTTCCTGGCAGATAAGCCCTGCATGGCTCTCAGGCAGTCAGTCATTCCATTCCCGAGGTGTCGAACTACACTTGTACAGCTGCTTATGCCCTGCAGGAAAGCCGTCCAATAGATAGGACTGATTCAGACTGAGCATTCGAGCAGACCGTCCCAGCTCGGTTGAATCTTGCCACCATGCCAATCAGTGCATCAAGTACATCAGCGGGCCCCAATAAGCAGTGACATAAGCAGTGTTCATGACATCATATCTTGTCCATGTAGTCTAAACCTTCGTATCCACGAAATCTCACCAGACGGGTCAATGTGATCACCAATACCGTGCTCTTGCTTTACACTGTGGCACTGCCTCAGGGTTACAACTTACCATCACTCGTGATCTCTAGCCTTGGCGACGACACTGCTCTCCTCTTATACGCCCTATAAGGCCGTCTACGTCCACATGGGTTCTCGGCCCCCCACTCCGTTCACGTCCAATCAAGCTTTTCTACTGCCGATCTCATAACTCACGCAAACTTCCCTCCTCCATGACTTGCATGGATGCCGGAATTGTATTCAAACCAGAATAACTTTATATCTCGTAAGCGTTCAAACCAGAATAACATGCCGAACCCAATGCCACTTCATAGAATATCCCAGACGTCCTCGTAGTCGGCACTGTCGAGCATTCGGACCCCAAAAGTCACCCCTGGAAGTCAAAAGTCCCATTTTCACCATAGACTAAGCGAAGTCCACCTTTGGCTCACATGTTCATCGGGTGCGGGGAGTAAGTCGGGAGCATAGAATTTCTTTACCCTCACACAACGGAGTGGAACGCCCTCCCCAATCTTGGGCCACATCCAAAGCCTCCTCAAATGGTGCGCCTTCCCCTCGACCTCGTGCAACCGTTGACAGCCAAACCAACTGAAAGTGAGCCCTTGCGCCACCAGGCGGACGAGCGAGCTACTTTACTGATTTGTGTTGTATCTCCCGACACCAGCCCAAACACTATCTCACGCACCTCACTTTCTTCCGCAGGTACTAGCAGATGTGAATACTGTTCTGCCATTCACCATTAAGGGAAACAGTTAATAGCACCGAGAAGACCATCATCAAGCCAGATCTCCCCGCACCTCACTGTAGAGATTTAGAGCAAAATTCATTCATTCAGATCATTCAGATCAATCAGATCGATCTGTTTTTTACTCCCCTGGCAACATCTGACAGCCATCATACGGACTCTTCTTCCCTGCACCACCACGCGAACTTATTCCGCCCTCGCCAACCATCAAACCCACTCGAGCAATCGTGCCCGTCGCCCCTTACTGCTCTCCCCAACACCACTCCCGTCCCTCCTCGAAACCACTCGTGCCCCTCCGAAACCCCCTCCTCCCTCCCCGCAAAACCGCTGAACAATACCTCCTCCCCACCTGCCCAGGCCACGCAAGTTGACCAGATGCGCATGACCAGGACGGGGTACGATTACTTCCTCTGACCATGCCCCGGCTCTCGGATCCTTGCAAATCTTCAGGACCACTGCAGCAGTGCGCGCTCCGCTCCTCCAGTAGACCCCGAGAGAGAGAGAGAGAGAGAGAGAACGAGAACGTTGGTCTGGAAGAAATAAAACAGAAGGCATCTGAAACAACTCTCGCTCTCGGGTACTGCTGCGCCCTCGGCAGATGTGGCCGAACCGGACGAGCGACGTTTGGCCCGTAGTGGCGAAAGCCGTTGGTTTTATCCGCTGAGGAGCGGCGAATGCGTTCTGTTTCTCTCTCTGCGGTATTCGCGGCTTCTGGTTTAAAATTCATCTGGTATTTTTATGATTATTTGGCATTTTCTCGTTTATTCCGTTCGGGATATTTTTTGATATCTCTCGCGACTAAGAACTACCGGTCTTGCCCGCTCTGGGCTCGAATCCCTCTGTCCTTGACCGACACGTGGAGGGCTGGTCGAGTTTCCTCTTCTTGTGCGATCGATTGTCGATAATGCGGAGGATTAATGCCATAAAGGCCCGAGCGCGAAGGTTGATAAGGACCTTTACGTTGCTCTCAGTGGCCATCTATTATAAGAAGATTTCATCAGATAAAGCTCGATATAATTAGCACCGGAGGAACCTTTAGATTCTGTTATGTTTATGCAACAGAACATCCCATCCTTTGGTGCTATATCGCTCGGCTTGGCCCCACTTAACGTTGTGTTAATGCAGTTGCCCGTAGTTCATCGCAACGATAAACAACAGATTTGTATACTTTAGGCTTTTTATAGTACTCATGGATTCAGTTCCGCAATGCATGATACAGTACGAGATTGAGATATTTCGCTCCTCCTGTGAGTGGCCTCGATGATGACGTCACTCAACTCTTCCAACTCAACCATCTGCAGCGAATCTTCCTCCGCTCTAGAATTTCTTCGGAGCTCAATGAAAGTTCCAGTTTTGCTGGAGTTGCGAATTTATGATTTTTTAATTTTTTATTTGGAAAACTGGTCAATTTCCAAAGGATATTTCATTTTCTTTTCCCGATTGCTCGAAGACTTAAAAGTCAAATTGTTCCAACTTTTTCAAGTTGACCTTTCGGTGTTATTCGCGTGTTTTTTATCTACTTGGATTTTGAGGCGGTTCGACATCCGTAGAAAAACGTCATCCACGACTGCTTTTTCCTCACTACAAGAACACAAAAGTCCGGTGTTACGCAAGGAATCACCATGTTGCGTTTTCTTTGAAGACTTCTCATTATCAAATTAAATAAGTGCCATGCGTACAGAGTGAGAATTACGTACCATGTGGTTTGATTGAATTAAGCGGAGCGGTCAGTTTATTTTTAAGGATGTAATTAAAATTATTCTTTTCCAACGGAAATTGAAATTGAGCCAACGAGGATTCAATGTCGTTACTTATTCGAAACACCAAAATTATTTTATGCTCAAGGAAAAATAACCGCTCACGAAGAAAATAGAAAAGTAAACAGATGTACCAAGTGTCTATTATCTAGAAAACCAGCTTTTTTAACCTTTCAAAACCCAACTTATCAAACAAGGTATCGGAGAATCTTTGGTACCAGTATTGGCCAACCTTTTGTTGAATGAAGACTAAGAGGGCAGAGAGCATTATGATTGTCCAGCTCTCAATGTCATGGGCCGGATAAGACCGACCATTCAAGTTTGTCACGTAGATTAAATTTACGCTGCAAATCGTTTCGAAAGTTCACATTTTCCTAATGCCCTCAGGAAGCTCACAAATGTTTAGACTACGCTCGATCCTTCTCTAAATTTTGATTGAACAATACAGAGAACGGAAGACTTGTGTATAGACAAGATTTGGTTCAAGCGAGCCCGACAGCGAATTTCGGACTCTTTAAGTTCACGAACATTGTTTCCTCGCCGATGTGTATAATAATAAAAGAAAGAGGAATTTGGGCTCATGAGCATCTGCTGAGATTTTCCGTTATAATTAGTCCGGCATTTTGGTCTAGTACAGCAAGTAAACATTCATTCTACAGATTTGGAATTATTCTCTCCACGGTTCACCTAAGAAACAAATGAAACGAGCAAGCGATGGAAATCGACTGATACAATTCGAGAAAGCAGGAAATAAATTCCGAAGTATATCGTACATGAGTAATAGAACAAAGGCGTCGCCCGAGTCGTGCGGTATTGGAACTACCGAGGGACACACGCATGCAACTCTGTCCGTCGTCCGTTAAGTCCGTCATAAAGTCGATGGCGGGGGGCCGGAGGCTTCTGCACTGAGTGGCGACCTCATGATAAAGGCTCGTTCGGACAGGACAGGGAGGGCAGCGAAGGAGACGAAACTTCACGAAAGGAAAGCGAAAGGAAGCTCGAGGCATCGACTTATCTGTTCGCTCTTTACTCGAAGTCATGGAGTGGATAGACGTAGTTCATGTCTCTTGCGACGTACTTACTTAGAAACGCCGCGTCATTTCCTCCGGTGCACGCGTGACGCGCCTATGCCAGCGCCAGCTCAGTACGTCCATTCAGTTCGGTTGGGTTTATTGCTGACCTGACCTGACCTGACTCGACTCGACTCGACCTGACCTGACCTGACCTGACCCGAGTCCCCCGACCCGTGCATGGACTCTCTTTTGGCAAAAAAGGCTCGTCAGATCTCGCATGCAAAGAAGACTGCGTTGCGTTTGCTTGTTCCTCTTCCTCTTGGACGGCCAGTTTCAGTACCGATTCGGTCTTCGCTACAAGAGCGCGGTGCGGCAGATTCGACGTGTACAGCGCCGTATCCGGTCCCCGCTCGATCCGTTATATCTGGAGCCAGGGCGGGTTGAAGGGTTGAAGGGCGGAACCATGGTTGGGGCCGTGACCCGGAGAAGCAGGTCATGCTGTTCGACAGCGTCTGCGTATCGCCCATGCGCCCTTACCTGCTGAAGACACCTCGGCTTCCGTGTTTTCACAACCTCTGAACCGCAACCCAGACGACGGGCGACAAGCGACCGGCTACCGGGTGCACCACGATAGAGGGTGCTGGGGGAACAATGTCGGCGCTGAAAAACCGCTCATGTATCCGGGAGATTACAGGGACCCGGTATTACGTCCTGTCCGTCGGACAAACGTGAACCACTGGACAGTAACAAAAGTAGATTGCATGAGAATGCGATTTGATGACTTCCTTTGCCTGGGGTCTTCTCATCCCTTTTGCTATTTATTGGCCATTCGACACCTTGCGTTGCCAAGCATTATGAACAAGAATAATGAGAACTACTCCCTTAATAAATTCTCGCCGGTCTTATCTCTTTCCCTTGTGGTCTTGACACAAATGCAAATGTCCTCAAAAGTAAGTACGTAGAATTTTTGACACAAGATTGAAGTAACACATCACAGTCTAGAACTCCACATCACAACTGAATATAAAAAGTCACGAGATACTAGCGGAGAAATATCTAGGGTCGCTAGAGATTATCGAAATTGTGGAAAATATCACCTAAAGCCAAAAGAGGCTTCAAACAAAGAGTCCGTGAGGGAACTATAAAGATTAAGGTACGGCCTTTGCACTGTTCAATAGCTTATTCCTATTATTATTTATATCCTGAAGATTAGACATCAAGCGTAAGAATTTCCTACGAAATCGGAAAAGGAGAGGCCTAGCAGTTGTGCGATAAGAAAACACATACAACTGCAAAAGCTTAAGAAAGAACTAGATAATCGAACGCATAAGATAAACAGGATGGCCAAAACCATCTTATTGCACGTGATTTTCTAGAGATTGCATACTATTTAATTCCTGCTTCAAATGACGATCTACTCTTTTGAAGTTGTATCAACCTATATATCATTATTAAATTTTTTTCAGTCTATAATTCCACTCTGGAGTTTTGGAAATGTAAGTGATTTGATCATATACAGCGTCGGTGCAATCTTGAAAAAACTGATACTAAGACTTACAAGTAGTGAGGAAAAACTCTGTACAATTAATATGGGGATTTCTCGCCGAAAATCTCTTACAGCCGACTTATCCGTCTGCCAAGTTTGAGAGCAAGGAGGTGTTGAATGAACGAGTGAGAGATTAACTGAGGTTGCTCCAAAAGCTGATTATTATTGCAGTGTGCACCATCAGTTTTTGCCTTGAGGTTGAGCCTTGTAGATGTAAAGTGGTTATTTTCAATTGGGCTGGTCAAGGCCAGTAAGGTGAGATATTTGTTTCTTCATTTTGAACTCAATTTTAATGTCGTCTGCTCGGTTTCATCTGACTTACACTCTTTTGAAGGATTTACTGCTCGGCGATTTGATAGGTAAAAAAAAGTCGGAATATATAAAAGAATGACGTGATACGTTCATTTGATCATGTTGGGATTTTGTTAGATACACTTTCATGTCATGAGGTAAGGGGTCCTCAACTCCTCCTTCATTGGCCCACACAAGTTGTAGGTGAGAGGAAAAGATACGCTTATCTAGTTAAGACTTGAAAATGAGGCCGCTTAGAGATTCTGTCAGAATTTAGAGGACCCATAAAGTCCATATACTTTTGCTTCTGCGGTCTCTAGTTGCATCATCCGCGGATAAAGCAACAAAGTCGATTATTTGACCCAACTTTGTTTCCTCTCATAGGATGAACGAGGTAGAGTTCGATGGAGATTTCTTGAGGCAAAGTTGGTAGCTCCCGATTCCCAATCTGACGAACAGATGCAATGCACTTGGGGTGACTGACTGGGTACCCTACCGAAATCCGACCACGGCGATTGGCGTGGTGCCAAGTGCCACGAGTTGAAAAATATAGACAACATAAAGGCCAATTATTCGACCTCCGTCGAGAAATTGGGTGTGACAAGAGCATGTAGAAAATGCCTCGAAGTGTTGAGGTGTGGGGTATTAACTGCTAAGGTGACGGAGAGCCTACCTTTTCATTTAACGGCAGTACGTCCAACACGTGGTCCGAAGACTTCCGTCAGTCCGGCGGATGTGGATGGAGAGCAGCTGGGCTGTACTGGGTGAACACATCGGTCAAAGACCACGACCAATAACCTGCGACTTTCTGCTACACTTTTGGAAGGTCCTTCGGAAGCGTCTTGGAAGGCAAGGGGAGGGGATTCAAGGGACCGCGACCGAGGACATGGTCGCCGGTCGCTCCGAGAGCGGGCACCCGCGATCAAGAAGCCGGGCGAATCCGATTCGGAGAGGTCGAAGGAAGCATACGGAACGCGAGCGCACCAGCAGGCAGAGCGAGAGGGTACCGCAACCAATTAATTAGAGCGCGTTAAATTCCGTTTACAATAACTGTTCCATTTATCGAGCGGGCCCCCCGACACTGTGGCTGGCACCACCGGCTCGGCCCGTCGCCCGGTCCCCGGTTCTCGGCTACCGGATATGCTCGCCCGTCAGCCGCCAAAGCTCTCACTCCGTAACCGTCGGATGAGACAGAGAGAGTTCCCCGAGCGTTAGATAGCGCTTGTCGTGGGATCTGACAGCATAGAGCCGACTGCGCCCACCCGCGCACCACCCCGAAGACGGGCGCAATCCAGTCCTGGAGTGCCCATTGAAGCGTCCGCACCGGCGCCCGGGCAGAGATCTCTGCGAGAGCCACCTGGTCCTGATCGATGCCGGGCCGTTCTGACGTCGCCCCGCCCCCTGGCGATCACTGGCGATCATTTGGAGCTTTATGAACGCCCAATGGAGCACGAGTTGCTCTTCTCCGCGTAGACTGGGATTCGGGCCAGTCAGTCAGTCAGAGTCCCATTCCAGTCGGGGCCGATGTTTTCTTCGATTCGCTCCCGCAGGTCTTAGTGTGCGGCCCAAGGGCCAGTCCCCGCTCCTCCGATAGTGCTACGCTCCCGAATAGTGCCAGGGAACGCTACGAGCTGGCCGGACGTAGAATCACCCGCGGCCGGCATCTCCCTCAGCGCTTCGTCGCCCGGCGAGGCGACGGGGAGGAGGAGCTCTGCGTTCTCGCCACTAGTTTAGCGGTGGGCTATTAAAGGACGTCGAGAAGAGTGGGTTCCATTAATTGCTGCATCGTCCGTCGCCAAACGAGGGGACGGGGACGAGGACGTGGACGAAGACGAGGGTGCGGAATGTTGAGAGCGAATCTGGAATCTGTCTCCGCGCCGCGTCGAGTGGGGTTGACCGTGGAACCCACGGGGGCGCGGAGGTCTTGACAGACTTCCTCGGTACCTCGCTCGCCCGCTCCTCGTCCGTTGGATCGCCCGTTGGGCATTCCGTCTGGATGTACCGTACAGTCGCAGTACGTAGTCTCAACTACTCCCACCTACAGAAGTGAGTGAGTGAGACGGAATCGTTCTTCCGCGAAGGAGCGGAGCGGAGGAGAGGACGGGACGGGACGCGAGCACCGCTCCGTCCGCTGGACACGCGGCGGAAGAACGAGCAAAGCTGGAACGGAACAGGAGATGGAAAGGTCAGACCTTGACGGTATTCAACGGAGAGGACACGGAAGCGAACTAGAGCCCGCCGCGCGAATCAAAGCATCGGGTTCTGGTGATTCGGGAGAGGGCTGACCCACCGTGCGGTGACCACTGCGGTCAGAGCAGAACGGAGCGGCCTTCCCACGAGCTTCGCCTGTCGCGCCGGGTTCAACCCCGGTCCGGCGTCCGGCGCTTCCGGGCTGCTTCCTGGCGCCCTGGCGCTGGCCGGGCGATCTGGGATACGAGGCCGCCCGCCGGGCCGGCGATTCTTGGCGAGGCGAGGCTGGAGCGAGCGGTCAGTCGGTCGGTCAGAGCGGCGTGAAAGGAAGAGCGGCTCGTTCCGTTGTGCGCAGCAGGCGCAGACTCGGAGGAGTAAAGAAAGCCGTGGACAAAATCGCCTTTTCTCCTCCGCCTTAAGACTCAAAAGCTGGAAACTCTATCCAGCTGCTTTTGGCTCCGCATCCTTCGTCGCAACCCAGGCCGGAAGAAGGAACTCTCGTCGTCGTCGTCAGGGACGGCCCGGCCCGCCCGCCCGCCTTCTTCTCTCGGCGTTCTTCGTGAGTGCGCCCGCTGCCAGTGCCCTGCCAGTGCCACTGCACTGACTGCACTCACTGCCTTGCCCTGCCTCGCCTCTCGCGATCGTCGTGCCAAACCCTCGCTGCTGCTTCCTGCTGCATCCTTCTTTCCCTGCCTGGGGCGAGTTTTTGCCGTGCTGCGTCTCGTGCGTCTTCCGGACTTCCGAGCTTCCATACCTTTTTCACGGATCCTTAGGCCCACCCATAGCCTTCAACTCTGCATGTGCTTCTCGACCTTGTGTGCCCTACGCTCCGACATGCTCGGTTCCTTGACCTCCCTCTGCCGCGAGTGTCGCATATCCTCAGTGCCATCAGTGTAGTTCTTTCTCGTGCCGTATCGCTGCCCCCCCTTCCTCTCCCGGACCCCATTCGTTCATTCGTCCGCTTCTCTCCTCCGTGACGGATTTGCTTCTTCACGCGGTGTGCCATAGCTCATGTAGATTACAACCCGCTTCTCTTGCAGCGGATTTTTCCTCCCCACTCCTTGGCGAGAAAGCGCGGTATCTGAGCCTCGATGCTTTTTCCTCGAGTAGCCGCAACAAAGTAGTTCGCGTTTATTTTCCAGGTGACGATATTCTTTTTTCGCGAGTCCGCTTCATACCCCTCTACGAAGACTCTGAGCCTTGGCCTCTCTCCGCGAGTGCAAGAAGGAAATCTTCATCCGTTATCTGCCGCCTCTGCTACGACGCTGGCTGGAGTTTGTCCAGGTCATTCTCGCACCCGTGTAGCACCTTGCGTTCCCATTGGAAGCTATTTTCTACGAACGGCTTGGGGCTGATGGAAGGATAGGTAACAAGGCTATGAGAAAGCGACGGCGACCTGTCAACGACCAAAATTTCTGCAGCGAGTGTGGTGAATTAGTTGTGTTTATGTGTGCTGAGTAATGGCATCGATGACTGCTGGGCGACCCCGTAATCTCCCTCCGCAACCTGGTACGTGTTTTTACTGCTCCTTCATCCAATCTGTGATATGAACATTCGTGTTCCTGATGTTAGTTGCGAATCACTCTGTAGCCTTCATTCAGGTCTTGGGCACCTGATGTACCTCCGTCTCCAGCTGCTCCAGTTCTCCGTATTCTTAAGGGCCGTGGGAATCTGTTACTCTTGCATTTTTTGCTTCGGAGGGGCATTGCAAGTTGGAAGTTACGTTTAACAAATTACGTATTCGTTCGTGAACGGAGAGGAAAACGCACCTTGTTGAGGTTAGTTCATTGGGTACCTGTAAAGCCTTGGGAGGACCTGTGAACGCAACGTCGCCTTGAAGGTCCTTCGAGCTGAGAGTTCGGAGACGGCTAGGCTTACGTTGTTTGTCCTGAACATGATGATTTAACCAAACCCCTTCGACTAAACGTGGTCTGGCTAAGGCCAGAATGGGATGGAAAGATGCTAGTACAGTTCAAACGTAGTGTTGCTCGTCGGCCATGTAATTTGTGCCTTCGAGTTAAAGAGTGGGTATGGTTGATAGTTTACTCTCAGGTGATCGTTGTTCCATCGAGGTCCTTCGCAGGTGTTTGCCAGTAGAGGGTGGAGAAAAGTCTAACCACCCATCAGTCCTTGGCTCGGTCCCACGGGACGATTAATCGATCCTACTCAAGTTGGAGGTCTTAAGGTTCCCAGCGTTAACATTGGTATTCAACTTGTAATTGGTTCATTTTGTGGGATGTGATCAGAAGTAGATGTGAGGCAAATTATACACGAAGCTCAAACTCGTTGGCTTAGGCCAGTAGAGGTGTGCGAGATCTTGCGCAACTACAGGATACACAATTTCAAGCTCAACCCTGTTCCTCCAACACAACCGCAAAGTGAGTTTTTCCTTGTGCCCTCGTTCCCGCTTTCCGAGTTTTGCTGTATGGGAGGTTTGAGGAGTCTGTTCTAAGTGAGGATTGTTTATGTCGAAGCCCTGTCCAGATAGCAAGGCAAGTTAAATATGTGACATGAAAGCGTGAGAAAACTCTTGGGGAATGAAGTTCTGAATTCCATAGACATTCCCGTTCAACAGCATGTGACAAGTGTGATAAGCTAGCTCAATTTTACAGCTGCGCGTTGACTACGCATCCACGGCACGCTAGTCTTGAGTTATAGTTCTTGGGGAGACACCCTCAAGAGGAGGAAATTCTCACAAGCTATTTGTTGCAGGTGGCTCGCTCTTCCTTTTTGATCGGAAAGCGTTACGATACTTCCGAAAAGATGGTCACAATTGGCGTAAGAAGAAAGATGGGAAAACTGTCAGGGAGGCCCATGAGCGACTGAAGGTAAGTCCTTACGCTGTAACTGGATTTTCTGTCATTACTTTATGGATAATCTTCTAGTATACGTCTGTTTCCTCTCCACTTACACTTTCAAAGACAGAACATGTTTTGGATGCAACTTAGCTCGTGTAGTGTCGAGTGTCTTGTCTGGAGTTAAGTGATGTGTGTGTGTTTGTCTGAATCGTACTTCCCGAGTACTTCTCGTGACTCGTATTTTTCAAACGACACGAAATTGACTATGCTCCTTTTTGCCTGTTGCTGGTATCAGGCAGGAAGTGTGGATGTCCTCCACTGTTACTATGCTCATGGGGAGGACAATGTTAATTTCCAGCGTCGGTGCTACTGGATGCTCGATCCGTAAGTTTGTCATATTGCCTTGTTCATATCAGTGTTGTCTCTTCTCTTCCACCTTGTGTTCTTTGTAGGGGCAAAGGATTATCTAGTGAGGATATTGACTTAGCCTTTTTATGTAATGTTTTGCAGATCTTACGAGCACATCGTACTTGTTCACTATCGGGAAGTTACCGAGGTGAGGATAACACTGATGTGAACGACTTTCGTAGATTTCTTGTTTTCCTTCTCTTGGGACCCTCATTGTATCTGAATGACCATTTTCTTTAATGTTCTCCGTCTTCGTTGTCCACTGTGATGACCTGAATGTTCTTCTTTGTCGTGTCCCTGTGTTGGGAGTAGTGACTTATTCAGTCCAATCCTTTCTCACTAGTTTCTGAAGATTGACTGTACACAAGCTCTTCAACGACTTCTCGTTCGATGATATGGCAAAGTAAAGCAGCCCAACATGGCCGACTAATTTTCTTAATGTTTTACTGCGGTCTTTGTGCAGAACAATCGATCATGCATCATTCGGACCATGCATGATTACAACTCGACATATCATCCGCCGTTGGCCTCTCAGCATCAGCATGTGTCGCCCACTGTCTCCGTCTTGACCAACGCTAGCTTACCATCCTCCGTTGCAAGCCCAGAAACCGTGGAGGCTGCGGGCGCTTCCCTTTCTCCTGAATTAGATGAGGCGGAGTCAGCAGAGCCAGATGAATTCGAGGATCCAAGCCTCGAGATCGAAGGAGATCAATCGGGCTTACAACCTTCGTTATTAGAACAATTGGGGAATCAGCCGTTACCAGGTGCTCATAGTGCTTCGAGTTCCAATCAGTGGCCCAGTCTCGGAAGGACTGCAAAGAACCTGGGTGTTACAGATGGGCAGTTCGCTCCTCTTTTCTCTCATCAGGACAACAGAGACTTCAAGCCGTCGTTTGCTGACTTGCAGCAGCAGCGTCCGCAGAGGATGTCCAGTACATCTCAAAGCGTCAACTATCCGTTGCTACAAAATTACCCTCGTGATGTGGGTAGCATAAGACAGCAATTCGCAGACATGTTGGATAGTCCAGGTAACTTTCTTGCTGTCATGAGCGTAAGTCAGTTTTTTTTACTACAAGTGGTATGCGTTTTTATTCGGTCTTAACGAGCGTTATTCTGAAAATTTTTGTCATGTAAAGGAACCATTCGACTTCCAGTCGACAATTGAAGGATGTTGAACGTGTAACTTATTTGCCTTGTGTACAGGTCCATACCCAAGTTCTTCTCAGCGAAGCACTTCTTCTATCAATCATTCTCTTGATTTGTCCGTTTTGACATCCATGATTCAAGATGGCAACAGTGGTCATGCTGGCAACGGTGCTGAGAGGTTTGCAAGACCAGAGGTTAATTCCCCACCGGACTGGGCCGGAATGTTACGGCAGGTTACCACCCCGTCAACGAGAAGAGCTCTTCTAGAGGGCCAGGGCCTGAATCCTGGTTTAGGCCAGTCTCCACACGGAAAAGATACGCCACCTGTTCTTGGTACTCCTATTTCCCCTAAAGGCATAGTCGATGCCTTGTCTCCACGGAATCTGGGCCGTGCACCTCAGACGACCCTTGAAGCGAATTTACGTGCTGTGACTGAGAAAGAAGTCCTGAAGGAAGCAGAGGAGAAAGCCCAGGTGGGAGGCTTATCTCTGACAATCATATGCTTGAGACAGAAACTGACTGTATGAAGCAGTTTTTTGTCCATTTTTTGTTCCTTTCGCAAATTTGAATCGTTTTTTGTATCAAATTCCTGTCACTATCATTGATGCCCTCACGGTTTCTGACAGGCCCAACGCACTAGGTGGCAAACAACACAGTTAACCGAACCCTCTCCAGTGGACTCAGTCATCCATCGCAATGTGGACCTGGTAAGCGTGCTGTACGCACTGCTGTGTAATCTGGTGGGTTAATCCTAGGCGAGAATGAAATTAATTCTGACTCATATGATCGTACCTCTCTTGCAGTCCGGTGGTGCCCAGCAGATGAGTGCAAATCATTTCATCGAGCCAGATACACTGGAACATTTGGTCCGGAGTGGACATTCTAATCCAGATTCGTTCTCCACGTCTGGTTCCAACGAGAAGGGTTCATGGATGCAGCAGGCTCCTCAGCAGAATGAGCAGCCAGTGCATGCCAGCCAGCTCTATCAAAATGGAAATCTTTATGATCATCAATCGCAGCCTAATCAAGAGCGCGTTCAGCATGAAAATTTACAGCCAATAGTTCCGCCGCCGCACTCGACCGGCTTCTCATTTATGGATCACAGTGGTTTGGGTAACGGTGACCTGTTTTCTCCAACTGAACACTATCTCAAAGATGTTCAGTCTGAAGAAGGAGCACACCGAGAAGTTATAGAAAGCTACAAAAAGTTGGACAGTTTTGGGAGGTGGATGACCGCCGAAATTGCGTCTGACATAGCCCCTTATCTTATGGTTGAGCCAGGCGCGTGGGACAACATGCAGCAAATGCAGATGGGCGGAAATCTTGACCCCAGTCCTACAGAGCAGTGTTTCAACATTAGCGATTTCTCCCCGGAATGGGGCTCGTCTACCGAAGAAACCAAGGTATATTTCTGTAGTTTGCCAGCTATTCAAACTTGCAGAATTGTTGATTATTTTCGCTAGAGGACGATTGATATATGATTGATATACTGTTTTGAAGTTACTTTTCGGTTCCGGCGATTGGAACATGTCACTGACTTCACGGCTCAAATATCATATTCAGTGCTTGCAGCGCACTCGATTAAGTTGGCTAGCTGTCCTGGCTGAATCTTTACTTCGTTTCTTAGGGATGGAAAATTATTTTAACCCTGAAAGGCCTGAATGAGGAAATATGGGTTCTTTTTTGTTTCTGTGGTTGTGGTAAGACACCAAGACTTCCAGCTTGGGAGTTACGTGTTTTTGTATCTTGGTTAGTGTTTCCTGGAGATGCTCTTGGACTGGACTTGCCAAAGTTGGGGAAAGAGAACGTCTCTACCATGTAATTGATGTCGTAGGGTGCCTCCATCATAATGCGGTCATTGTTTTCTTTTTTCCAGGTGTTAATCACGGGGACTTTTGTTGGAAGCATAACTCCTACGGACCATACGTGGGCTTGCATGTTCGGTGAGATTGAGGTGCCTGCGGAGCTAGTGGAAGGAGGCGCGCTTCGTTGTAAAGCACCCAAGCATGAACCTGGAAGGGTTTCTTTTTACATTACCCGTAGTGATAGGTTTGCTTGCAGTCAGGTGCGTGAGTTCGAGTATCGCTCTGCGGGTACCACTAATGAATCAACACCAACACTCTTGACTGGAGAATCTAGTAAGATCGAAGAAACTGCGGAGGAACTGCGATACAAAGTAAGATTCGCACGCATGCTCATGGCAACTACTACATTGAGCAATTGCCGTATGAACTCCCGAACGCAGACTTTCAAGGAGAGCGAAGATGACGACTGGAGGCAGCTGGAAAGCATGCTGGAGGCAAAGAGACCTTTAGCTGAGGTCAAAGAGCAATTGATTCAGCTCATGTTCAAGCGGAAATTGCAAGAGTGGCTCAAAGAGAAGTCGCTCTTGAAAGATGGAAAGCGGGCGTCAGTCCATGACGATCAGGGTTGGGGAGTTTCACATTTTTCAGCCGCCCTTGGTTATGTATGGTCCATTAGACCTACTTTGAACGCTGAGATACCGATTAACTTCCGGGACGAAAAGGGATGGACAGCTCTGCACTGGGCAGCTTATTGTGGAAGGTATAGTAATATACGTCCAGCGCCCATTTTTGAGACAACTCATGATATTCTCAAACTGCCATTAATCTCCAAATTGTTTGACCATATTGCGATGATTTGTCAATAAAGGAATTCAATGTTTCTTTGATACTGATGTGGTTCCAACCCCGGGCTGACTGTCGTCATGGCATGGTGCAGGGAAGAAGTGGTTTGTGCTCTTCTTGAAGCCGGCGCTTCACCGAATTGTGCAACTTACTGCAATAAAAAGTATCCTCAAGGTCAATATCCTGCCGATCTAGCCTCGGAAAGAGGCCATAACGGCATAGCTGCCTTTTTGTCAGAGAAGGCGCTCACGGCGAGATTGTGTGGGTTGAACTTGGAGGATGGTACTCAAGTGGATGAAAATGCTGCGTTGCTGGCTGCTGATAAAGCGGTTGCCCAACTGGCTAGAAGGTCTAGTATTCGGTCTAGTGTCCACGTAGAGAAAGATCATGAGGTTCTGCAAACGTCCCTACTGGCAGTGCGCAATGCAACACAAGCGGCTGCGTTGATCCAAGATGCAAACCGACAAGCTTCTTTTAGAAGAAGAATGCTGCATCTCGCAGATGATGTGGTGGACGAATATGGTCTATCTCAAGCAGAAGTGCGCTCCATGTTGGCTGCCCAGAAAATTCAAAAGGCCTACCGTGGCCATCAAAAGAACAAAAAGCTCCACCTTGCTGCTACAGCAATACAACGCAAATTCCGAGGCTGGAAGGGAAGAAAAGATTTCCAGACTTTCCGGCAGCGTATCATCAAACTACAGGTGTCCGCCAGTCCCGACCTGAGAGCTGACTACTTCTTTTCTGAATCTTCCGTTCTCTGCATATTGTTTTTATACTCAAATAATGTCATTTGTGTTTATGCAGGCTCATGTACGAGGCAGATTGGTACGTAAGCAGTTTCGGAAGATCCTGTGGTCAGTCAGTATCGTTGAAAAGGTAGTTTTGAGGTGGCTCCGCAGGCGCAATGGTCTAAGAGGCTTCCGATCCGAGTTCATCGAATTACCGACTAACAGTGATGATGACGACGACCTGATGAGAGAAGGGAGACATAGGAGCACGGCGGCCGTGGAGAAAGACGTGAGGAGGGTCCAAGAGATGGCCCGAGAGAAGAAAGCGCGAGAGCAGTACAACAGATTGCACGAGAGGATTTCCAAGGTATGTATATATACGGAAGGTGTACCTGTTTGTAGTACTACCCAGTGTGACATCCGAATTTTCACCTTGTGAGAATGCTTACATATTTGATTGATGTCAAAGAAGTGCTCTCTGTTACTGCCCATGAAATCCGTACAAATTCTAGAGCCACCTTCATCCTTTTGAGATGCACCTCTGCGCGAAGTAAATCGCAATAGATTGCTGTGTTCTTGTCCTTGAAGTCGTGGAGACCATGAATCGTTCTTCCGTAGAGTCCCCGAACTTTATATGCATAGAACATGTAGATTTTTCAGTACGAGACTGACGTTTGCCGTGCAATGACTTCTCGCTTACAAACCTTCATTGTTGTTTTTTGAATGTCCAGGGTGAGCCTTACAATAGCTCGTATCCTGACCACGGGCAAGTCTCTAGAGATTACATGGTGGGTCAAGACTCTGTGATGACAACAGTGGAGTGATGACGTCACGTAAAAATCAATGAGTCCGTCAGTGATAAAGTTGTTTATTCACATCGCTTCATGAAAGCTACAATTCTGCTGGCCCAGAGACCGGTATAATCTAGAAAAATTCATTGTATAGCAGTAGAGACCTTCTGTAACTAAGTCCTTCACATTGCCCTTGATTGGAGTAGTTAGTCATGCTCCTGATCTTTGGAAGCTTAGAAATTGTAACTCACATGTTTATGAGGTCAAGCCTGTTTGGCAGTACAAATGTAGATTTTATAAGGATCATATCTTCCTCTTCATCCAACCATCTTATCATCTCGAGTCTATGTCATGCAACCATCTTCTTGAACTGGACATCAGTGTGGTTACTGGTGAAGATGGGCCTACTACAGAAGAGGTAATTCACTGCCAAGCTCCTCAATGAGTGGTCCTCAAGACCTTCAGATATCTTATAGCAATATGCGTACTTATCTACTAGTCATACAGTTTTTTTGAGTAACGATTGTGTTTTGGACTTCTTGAATGTACATCTTCTCGTGTTAAGTCTGCTCAGGTGGCATGATTAGTCAGTAGGTTCAGGACACTGAAATACAGGTTGCAGACGCTTCAAGTAATTTTCCTGCCTGGGTCAGCTGTCACGAATTGTGTTCTGCAAACCGTGTATATTTCCTAACGTGGGTCAGAATTTGAAGTCGGCATTCTGAAAAAGTTTTATTTGGTGTTTGAAGCCGATTGTAGAACGCAGTCTACTAGCTGTCCCAGTTTTGTGTGTGCAGTCTTTAAATAGTACTAGCATTTTGATTTTTGGCCGTTTAGTGAACAATCCGTCTGGGCAGAAGACGTACCAGGGAACGATTGAGTAGTTTTGATTTTGCCAAAGTTATATTCCTTTCTAAATCTTCCCTTCTTGCATGTCGCCAATTTCTTGTTGCTTCTGTTAGCCGCCACTCGATATGCATATCACAGTAGGGTTCTTACATATCAAAATGTTATTCTAGAATATTCTTTCTCTGACCTAAGAGAAGTTTGTGCATCTGTTAGGTCTTAGGGTTTTCTTAGTATACATAACAAGTTCGTACAGCTGGAAATGGATTTGAAGTCTTCTTTGGCTACTACCATTTCGCTTTGTACGCAGACATGTCGCATTGTATCAGATCTCGTCTATTTCTCGAGATTAATCCACGAGGCTTATCGCATGGATGGTTCAAATTACGTACATCGTATTGAGTCCAGAACAGTTGTATAGTTTTGACGTTCAGTTTTACAGCTTACGGGCAGCCATGATCGCTTTAGAAACTAAACGGCAATGTTGAACGATCATTTATATTCAAGCAGTCCAGAAGGATTAATACGAGATATTGGAGGTTGACTTCTGTCTCATCCAAAACTTGGTGGATGTGAGCTTGAATGTTACCCTTTAAGATAGGTACTAGAACCGGTGGTTGTATCACCACTGGGTGTAGCAATGTTCAGGCCCATCCAGTAGTGAAATTGTAATGTGAACTTCTTCAACATCGGTTCTACGTTGGTGGTAGTTTGACCGCAGCAGCCTGGCTGAAAACGAAGACTAGTCAATCATCAAGCAAAAGTTTAGTTTTTCTCCGTTGGTATCCTCGAAACATGTGGATGTGGCCTTCATGAATGTGCCCATGGATCAGTGTTGTGACGATTGATGTAACTTGTACTGACTTGCCGTAAATGATCTTAACATCCAGCAAGAAATCATGACCAGTTTTTAAAACTATAGTATTGCTACATTAGCTTCTTTTCAGAGGACGTGCGAGGGAAATCTAGCTGTAACGACGTAAGCGGCCGCAAACTCATCACGTAAACATCAAATTGAGCTACGGACGTAGAAGGCTAGAGGTAGAACTGTGGTACATCGAGCCAAAAGTTAGGAATTATACAAGTGCCTTTTGTCTCTCATCTAGACTCAACAGTAGCAGAATGTGAGTACGCTGATAGAAAGGGACGAAACCACAACGTGAATGTAACTTGTCACGGATAATTTCGAGCTAATAACTTTCAGAACATTTTAAGCTTTCAAAGTTTGGTAGTAAGCACGCTGAAGTCTGTGACGATGGTATATGCACGATGTGTCGATCAAGTGCATCATAACCCACAGAAGCACGCTTAGTCTTAGGAATCCATATTCTTCACTGCTAGCGAAGTAAACGTATGTTGAACCGATCCCAAGGCATTGATGGATTGTACACAAAATTAAGATGTCGGTTCGGTCCCATGTCAACCAGATCGAGTGGCATGAAAACTCACAAATGTAAGCAGTAGGGGAAACATGATATCTGAATTTTGAAAACGGAGAGTTTCAGTGAATCCTTATGATTTATAGTGAGCTCTGAAATCTCTGTAGGGTCTATGAGAGACGTTGGACACAAGCATAGGAGGGATTATATCAGTGGGGGATGTGGATTTCATCTCGGAGTGTGTTGTCATACATATAATGATACCTGTAGTAACACACAAGAAGAGCGTAGCGCAAGTCTTATTGAGTACTCCCGACATTTGATGAGGATGAGCATTTTGATTCTCATGGTAAGCACATTCTAGATATGACTATTATTCCAGTGACTTTTTGTCATCTGCACATCAGAAAACTACCTATGATATATTTTAAACTTATCTGGTTTGAAGGCAAACGAAGGCCATATGGACAACGATTGTGTTTGAAACTTTCGAAAACCTCCCGTTATTATGGAGATTTAACATGGAGGAGTTTGCAACTTTATTATGGCAGTAAATTTATCGCAGGATTGACACAGTTTAAATGTAAATGGTAAAGGTAATACTTGAAGTCATAACAAACACGAAGAGTACAGGGCAAATCTAACATCAACAATACCCAGTTGTAAAGAACAACACATATTCTCATAGTAAAACATATTCTTGATATAGCCATATGTAAAATGAATGGCCGAGGATAAATATAAATAAATAAATTTCCAAGGTAGCCATTGGAGGCTAGAATGAGTGACTCAACAGAGGCAGTAAGTACAACGGATGTTCTAATAAATTCTACACTTGTGAGAAAGATCCTATGTCCACATAAATGAATGGGAGGCGATACACTAGGGACATGTTGGATGGAACGTCTCGTAGTTATAAATTGAGCCAAAGCAATCAGCAAGTTCCAGAGTAAGATATCTCGTTTTGATATTATATATAGCTTATAATGGTAAATGGTTTAGTCCAGTGTAGTAGTGTGATTACTGTATATCAGCAAGATATCCATCTTTAAACAGATGTTGAACAAAGATGTACCAGAAAAGGGAGAATAGAATACCCTTAAAGCTTGAAAGTAATGCTTCGGAGTCAATGTATTGAGACATTCATATATCTCTGCCCATGGAGCATACATAATGCTATAAAACTTGTCTGATTTAACATGAGAAACTGACGTAAGCAATTTCTTCCGTATGATATGAGATTTTCTCAGTACAATTTGAGTTATGTAATATGATATCGCTCACACAGAATTTCACCAAGTTGGATTTGATATGGAAACTCAGCTGTTATGATAGGAGTCAAATCATTCGAACCTGGTTGTTAATATTTATACCTTGTTGTATTTGTTTTCATAACTAATGCTCAAACTTTCACCAACAAATCCTTCTTAACTAGAACTAATTCAATGAAGAATAGATATTGCAAACTTTTCTCTTGAATTTTGTACATCTTTATTCATATGGCTCACTTTATCTATTATGTGTTATAGTACACTGGTAGAGTAGATTTTTTTTTAGTAATTTCAGAGGTAATTTATCCATAACTGCCATCTACAATAACATCAAATATACGATGTTCTCTGCAGGAGTGACGTAATGTTTATAAGCTATATTTTTTTCAAAAATTCCTCAATTTTAAATTTATATCTTCAGTTGCAACATTATTTTGTAGTTAAAAGTGTGAGAAAGAATGTTCTAAAGATTATTTCTACTTTTACAATGAGTTTCATAATGGGTTTAAGGTTTTAAGTGCTCATACTGTAGTTTCGACATAAAAAAAAATCAAGTTCTAATGTCATAATAATTATCCGAAAATTTTTTTTTTTTACAATTGAAATCATAAAAAAAACTCCAATATTTTTTATTCAATTAAAATATTTGAGATAATAAAAATACTAAAATAGGGGCCGAGCAAGTTTTTTTGTCACCTTAGTAGTGAAGATATCAACCGATCATATCCTTACTTGTCAACAGATTGAACCCTAACCTGTCAGCCGACCTTGAGTTACAACCTAACACATTTATGAATCTTTATATTAATTGTTCAAAATGTTCAAGCTATCGTGGCTTGAAATTTATTGGACTACCACAATCATCAATAAAATTATTATTGTTTAAATTTATTATTGTTATCATGAGTTAAAATAATTTAATAAATTGATTACCCTACATATTTTCAAAATCAATGTAATTAATCAAGTTTCATCATTTTCAAATATGAATAAAATCTTAATTAGAAACTTTGGCTAATTTGGATAAAATTTGACAATCACTTTATCTTAAAAAATTGGATCATACAGTTATCGAGATAAATAATTAGATGATCATTAATTATGAATATAATGTTTTTAGGATTTATCTCAAATTAGTTCAATTATAGTTGGCTTGTTAGGCAATCACTATATGAGTTCTGGTGCCAACTTTTCAACTTTTGAGACGATGAATATTTCTAACTTAGGAGTTATTCAATAACGTCCTAGCAAGATAAATAAAGAGTTTCAGGAAATTTTCTCTAATTATTTGTACTACTTTTCTAATTATCAATACTAGTTTTAGTATTATAGTTTCAAATGCTACTATGTTTAGTTTTTTACTTCGTGTACCATTCCAAGTCTTGTATGAAATGACATACCTAATAATCTATTTCAATATATCTTTATATTTAAATTATTTCTTTTAATACTATGTTTTGATAATCTGGAAAAATAAATTTCTGCTTTGTCAATTATAACTTGTCATGAAATTTTTATAATTTTTATTTTTCATATGCAAAAAATATGTTTAGAAATTTTAAATCCACGATGTTTTTATTATATGTGAATGTATAAGTAATAAATGTATATCCCTAATAAAAATAAAGAAATTTTTTTTATTAATTTTATTTATCTAAGTACAAAAAAAATCAAATAATCATAAAAGTTTTGTAAAGTTTTTTTTTGATTAGTTTTATGTCTCAAAAATGTCAACATGCATTTTTAACATGACTATCATTTGAAAATAATTTATCAATATGATGAATATAGAAAATATTTACAGATTTCAAAACTTCACAGCGGAATATGATGTTTTCTTAGGAGGCGCAAATTTCTTGGATGTTTTAGAGGAAAAATTTTGCATTGTTATCTTCTGCAAGAAGCTGGTGCTCCTCTACCAGCTTCTTGCCGAGAGTACACTTGTTGAACAAAGAACTCCTTGAGTCTTAGCATGATCAGTAGCAGTGCAATCATGATTAACGTCACTCGTATTTTTAATTTGTGAAAAAAGCTTCTTTCCACCAGCAAGATACGGGGCATTCTCTTGAGCATCAAGACCTTCTTGCGTCACTCAGATGTTCAGTTCGTGAAAAAAACTTCTTTTCTGCAGCAAGAGCCGGGACATTCTCTTGAACATCAACAGAAACCAAAGCATTTGCAGAAGATTTTTTTGGCTTTAGCTCTTTGCATTGAATCCAAGGTTACAAGAGTAGATTTCCTCTTGGAACCAACCAAGGAACCCACTCCAACCAGTTTGCTATCTTTCTTTTTTCTCAAAACCAACTTTTTTGGCGAAGAATGTGGAGTAGACAAGGAGTAAAAAGTCAGTCCACAGTCGTATCCACTCCCTCTTTTGCTTTCAAAGGCTGTGCAGTCATGACAAGCATTTATCCAACGTTCAAGGGATTCCAGCAAAAGTACAGAGGAGTGCGATCATCTTCACAGTATACTCTTGGCGTGGTTCGTTGGAATGAAAACGTTCGCAGCATGTAAGTCTGAACCAAGTCAAAGCGGAGTAGGTTCTCGCTGCTGGATGGGTTGCAAGCATCCTGTCTGTACTCTTGATAGAGCATATTTCCTCTGCTAACTTTTGGTCGGATTATCGACCAAAAGTTAGCAGAGAAGCCATATGCTCTATCAAGAGTACAGACAGGATCTACGGCGGATTATCGACGTAGATTCGCGATGTCTGCAGCATTATTGTTGTCATACATTAATTGCAGAGTGTAGATTTGAGGTTTATTGCAAACACTGCTGCGTGAGGTTGAACTTGATAACACCAGCTGACTTTCCGCTTGCTCTTGATCGTTGAATTGGAGCAAAAGAAGGTTTTGTGTTCCTCCGATCGACTCATGATCGCTGTCTTGATTTTTTTGTTTCAGAACCATGCTCGCAGAAAGCTCACGGAGCCAACCTCCATTCGAGAAGCGGCTCGATGACTACCTATACGCCCTCAATGAGAGAGATGACTTCGCCATGTCCATCATCTTCTTCCACGGGCCCTGTAATGATGGAGAGGAAACAGCTAATTTGTATTTCCGCGATTGGGTTTCGATCTGTCAAAATGCTAGCGGTGTCGAAGTTCTGTGGCCAACGGCTTGGCTGGCGGAAGACGTGCCAGGTGCCAGGATATTTTCTGCCACTTACGATCTTAGCCTGAAGGTTACATCGAGAGAAGGGAGACAAGATTACTACCTAATAGGAGAAAACTTGTTAGGCAGCATATTCCTGCATGCACAGGATTACGAGATGTGGTCAAAACCCGTGGTCTTGGTGGGTCATTCTCTTGGAGGAATCGTTATCAAGGAACTTCTGCTGCAAGCTCACCGAAATGTGGCCGGCAGTGGCGGATACGACAAAGGAAGGGTCAAGCAGTTCCTGGACAACATCATCCTGATATACTACTACTCAACGCCTCATTCTGGTATGAGCCTTCGCGTGGAAGGAGAATCGGGTGGACCCCTCAGCCTTACTTGCACGCCGAGTCGAATATGGAAAAATGCCAGATTTCTGAACGTGTACCTCTCACGCCTACAGCAGGAGTTCAGGCAGATGTCTAGCTTGTACAGGATCGATGACAAGAGATGGCGGAAGGCTACAATTGGAGAAACTTCTATGACTAAATGGGTATGTTCTTTTCGGTATCGAAATTGTTTTCGGATGACATGGATGGGCATTTTCAATTAAATGCACGTCAAATGCAAAAATTTCTCTACTGCCAGGAGTTGACTTAAAACATCCCTTTCTTCTTTCCCTCGCTATGTCTCTATGCGTTTCTGGTGCTTCCCTCCCTATGAAACATAAGTTTTGTTTTGTAGAGGCTCGTATGCTAATCAGGGCTCCGAAAGGTTAAGAGTAAAGTTGGATCCTGCAAGCATTGCTGTCTTCAATGCTGGGAACTATGAGGACCATATTCTCCGTTTATCTCGAGTCTCTACTGTTTAAATCCCGCGCATAAGAGCATAGGGCAATGATCGCAATAGATTAAACATTCAGACCTCCTTGGTCGGCCCCGATCACGTAAGTAAATCTATGTGGATTCTGCAAAGTTGGTCGACGCTGGGAAGGAGGATTCATCGCCCTTGGCTCATGTATTCACTTCGTTCGTTGCCTTTATTGCTCAGAAAGTGTTTTAACTTTGAACTGGTCGCTCTATCAATGTCATTCTGTTCGTGTTCTGATGGCTTTCGAATCTAGAATATGATGGTGGGCCTCTCATTGTCGCACACGATTCTCCTTGATGCAGGACCTAGAGGGAATACACAAGGTCCTGGTGCCGGAAGGATCTTGGAGAGGCGAAGATTGCGACAGTTACATGACAGCGGACGCCGACCACTTCTCAGTGTGCAAACCGACTAGCAAAACCAGCAACAATTACATCGATCTCCTGAGCCAGATTGAGGCTTGCCATTATCAGCTTCGAATCACCCAGCACGTTCGGGAAGCAATCACAAGTGTGATAGTCTCTAGAGAAACCTCCTTGAAGAAATTGCCCAGTTTAGACCTGGCCTCGCTCGTAGATCTAAAGGAACAGCTTCCTTGTTATCCAGCTACAGCTCTCCATTCTCAAGTCATTACACAACATAGCCGATCTAGACTACCACCTATTGAGGGAAATATCAATTGGTACAGATTCCATAGAACTCTTGCTAGGCTTAATGCTAGAGCGGGATTATGACGACATCAAGTATTATGCATCTTCTTTACGCGTAGCTTTACTTCGCCACTGGACGTCGACAACAATAAAGCAGCATTTGAGACACAATGCAACAGGGCTGCGCTGGGTTTCCGCGTTCCGAAGTTCCAGTCGTTGGAGTTGATTGTTTGATTCTCGAATCGAACAATCAACTCCAAGCCCAATATTCAACCTTAGAGTTTACTAGTAGTGTACTAACAGTAAAAATAGGCCGTCTCGGAAGATGGTCATCTGGGAACTTTTGTAACCAACCATTGTGATTACTATCTGATATCAATTTCATATTTACTTCTTCAAGTGTTATTATTTCTAGCTTTCTCGTTTTGAATGTTATTACTTTCAATTTTGGAACTTATAGTGTTATTCGGAGTATTGTGTGAGATGATGTGAGCAAGACAATAGTACACTACCAAGATGAAAGATGCTTCTAACATCCATATGTATGACGTGTTTGATATATTAGAACAGCAACAACAAGACAATAGTCCACTACCAAGATGAAAGACACTTCTAACATCCAGATGTATGATGTGTTTGATATGTTAGAACAGCTACAACAAGACAATAGTCCACTACCAAGATGAAAGACGCTTCTAACATCAAGATGTATGACGTGGTAGTTATGTTACAACAACTACAACAAGAGTATAATAGCTTACAAAACGCCATGGAACAATTTCAAGGTACTTGTGCTTCATCCCATGTTTTAGCATCCGCATCAAATCTCATTTCCCAATTCTTGAAAGAAATTCTAGTAAGCTCGCCGTAGAAGCTTGAGGAAGATCGGATGAAAATTCAAGATCTTGTCAATCAAGTTAAATTTTTCTTCCATCTCCAACCACACAAATAGCCAACTCAAGAATCAAAAGTTGAATGTATCAGTACTCGTTGAAATTGTGTTATCTTGGTTTTTGTCACTATTGGAGAAGTATTCTCCACTTCTGATATTTCTTGAGAAAATTGAGTAGAACATTTGGATAGAGATATTGAACCTTTATAGCAACTGTCATCATCATGTTTTGAAGTAAACTTTGCAATGATATCAAAACCTTGTTGATGAACTTGCCCCAACCAACTTCTCTATCAGAAGCCATTATTCAAGCAATCAATTGCGACAACCAACTATTTGAGCAACAAGATCACATCAAATGGATTACATTACTAAGTCCGCCAAAAATCTTTAAGTATCTTTCACCTTAAAATCCATAAATTGATACTTCAAGACTTAGAAACCTAACCGCAATAATGAACAAAACAACTTTGCATGAAGCACTTGTATTTTTATTGTGTATGCAAGGATCACAAAATAAATAACTGTCTTTTGAAACATCGAGAGCCAAATGCACAGAATTTTTGGTACACCTCAAGCACTTCTGAGCAACACATGAGCAAATCAAGCTGAAAAGAAACAATAGTCAGACATATTATGAATTGTGCGGTGTACAAGTATTGCCATGTCATCAAATTTTATACTATGCTCTGATATTTTTTGTTGCTTTAATTTTCTCTTAATATAGTTTGTCATAGCATAAATGTTAGAAACTTGTTAGATTCTTGGACTCGCTACTAGTTTTATTTATAAAATTCTTATAAAAAATCATATTCTTTCTATAAATTTTGAGTAATATCTTATAGCAATAGAGATTATGAATGTTAAGCCATTGATCTTAGGAGATGCCATTCACAAAACTAATTTTTTAGACTTTATCCTAGAATGAAAGTACTATTGTATTCAATATCATTAGTTCTTCCTCCAATCTTTTTGTCTTAGATCTCTCTTAGTTAGTTAGAGATGATAAGTTTGGATATAGATTAGAACAAACAAAAACGAAAATATCAAATCATAGTTTCTCATATTTTGTTTGGATTTTTTAGAAATATTGAAAAATTTGTATTTTGATCAAGTCTAACTGTTTGAGATCAAAGTTGCCGTGATGATAGCTTCCCGAAACTTTATGAGGGCAGTAAAGAATGGAGTTGTTTGCAATTGTAACAATTTCAACGTGTTCAAAATACAACGAAGTTACTAGCAAATAATGAGTAATATTGATACGTGTTTGACAAGATGAACGCAAATACACTTTCTTAGCTTACATCTTATGATAGTGGCATCAATCTCCAAAAAAATGCCCAACCTGATCTTATTACTATCTACAGTCTTTCCTAGCATAAGAAACTTGATGAAAATCTTGCACAAAATTTTAATTGACATTTTAAGTCATCAAATAAAGCTCTTAAACTATTTGTCAAGAAGTAAAATCGCTATTTTCAAATGTGTGTGAACTATTGTGTATTAAAGAAGATCACAATCAATAATATATATGCATTGTTGCTTATTTCATGTCTTTTTGATCAACTCGGTCAAGCAAAGATCCATATCAAGATATTTGCTGCACGTACAAACTCATACATATCAAGAAAAAGTATGAATTGAAGATCACATTCAAGCGAGGTATGTACACTTTGAATTTAATGTCATGCATTTTGGTTTTACCAATGCAACCGCCATCTTTGAACACTTGATGAACAACAAAGCTACGCATTGCTAGACTATATGCCAAGTTAAAAAAAATGCATTTTTCACCAACTTCAAGTCAAATTTCTGGATTACATCAATTTTAAAGAGGATCTATTCATGAATCCAAAGAAGATTTGGACAGTCAACACGTGAAGAAAACCGGTTAATGTTGGAAACATACAATGCTTCCTTGGTAAAACAAACTTCTATTGAATCTTTATTTAGAACTATTCCAAAATTTCTCCTTTGTTGATTGAATTGACTTGTAAAAAAAAGCTCAAGTGGAATGCAATAGCAAAGCAAGCATTTGAAACTCTAAAAAAGATGTTTACAACAACGCGTATTATGATGCATTTGGAATTCGGATGCTTTAAACTTTTTCCTTAGAGTGATACTTTCACAACTCGACAAAGACGTAGTTGTTTTACCAATCGTATTTTACTCAAACAAATTTGATGCTGCCATGTTCATTTGTGAAATTTATAACAAGAAGCTCCTAGCCATTGTTAATGTGTTCATAGAGTGATGTCATTTTCTTGAAGGAGCTCAATATCCGACTATAGTGCATTTTGATCATAAAAACATTAAATATTTTTTGTTTTCCAATGTACTTAATCACAATAAGCTCATTGGATTAATTTTTTGCATAAATCTTTCAAACATCTATACAAAGATGAATTTTTTTCTCCATCATCCAATTCATTTTCAATGGATTGATAACATGGCGGATATATTTAATGGGAACAATGATTGCTAACATGTTGCTCTCAACTAACACACTAACTAGCACATTTAATCATTACCTACCAAACAAAAAGATTGCTAACATGAAAAATATAAATATTATATTATAATTTAATCATAATTTTATCTTGATTAACTTGTACTTTAGTCCTAACTAACTAAAAATAGTTACGAACATCTTTTACTTTAAGATTCAACATATTTTTTGAACATACGTTCAAATTTCTGAACTATCAAAGGTATATTTGCTAATTCTTGTTTTCAATTTGCTTTATTTTATAGATTTATTATACACTTAATCATATATTCTATTTTGAGATATTTATGATCTTAAATATATTTCTTGAGTATCTTGTCTACCTCAAATTCCTCATGATAATTTATGAAGGTTGAAAGAGGAGATGATGCTACTTAGTTTATGAATTGGTTTGATCGTGATACATGTTTCTACAATCGTGATACCTAACATACTGCTTGTAGTTTCATATGTAACATAAGTTTCAACTTGTATGACATTTCAACATCATGTTTCAAACTCAAAATAAAATAAAATGAACATACGATTAAACTTTGATGTTCCTTCAAACTTTGAAGTTCCTACCCTAAAACATATTCATACTCCATTGAAATGTTGTTCAAGTATTCCATGATGTAAATTTTACTTTTGATTCCAATATATCTTACATATCTCAAAAAAGATACATGATATTCCAAGCATGACATTTAATGAAGCTAAGCAAATTATTTTTCATTCAATGCTCTCCTTGTATCTTGGATAATTTTACATTCGATGGTAGTGGCTTCATCATTTCAATTTGCCCATTTAACAATTCCACTTTTTCACTCAACCATCATGACAACACTTTGTGACAGAAATTCTTTAGTTGCTCCGAGATCAATCTAAATTTTTACCTTGTATACTTCCATCATCTAATCCTTAACAATAAATTGGATTTGTATTTTGCTCTTTTCATTAGTTTTCAATCATTTCATTTTTTCAATATCAGTTTTTGTTTGTGGGATGAATAAAACTACAAGGCAAATTTACAGGCTATCTTTATTTTCAAAACTAATACATCAGCTTCTTCAAACTCTATGCTGTAAAATTGGATGTTATATGTGTGAAATAGTATATGTAGTGAAAATAGCCAAAGTGTTTAACATGGTTAGCTTAGTCACACTAAATTTAGCTAATTATGATTAAGTTTTGCCATGATGTTTATATTTAACGGAATAATTAGGGTAATTCTAAAATATTTCAATGAGCAATGCTATTTTATTTAAATTTTTTTAAATTCTAGATTTAAAATAGAGAAGACTTTGATTACATGTTAGTTTTGACTTATTTGACTAAATAATGGAAATTTTATAGGTTGGATTAATTTTAAGTTGACCAGTGACAAGTGCACAATCTATTTGAACTTCTCAAATGACATGTTGTCACCTCAACCTAGGTAAAAGTATGCTTCTAGAAGGTTCGGAGAGGCCAATGTCATGTTGTCACGTAATGAAAATAAGTAAAACCTACCATGTTCTATCTCTGTAGAATTAGTTAGATGAAAATTACCATGTGTTACTATGGATATTTTTTAAAATAGTATAAATAGAGAATTACAAAAAAACCTCACAAGCAAGTTTGAAAAGTTCATTAATCAATATAAGTTTGAGTTACACTATTTATTCTATATTTGAACATTAATCTCTCGGATAAGTACCCATAATTTTCCTTAAAAACAAGAATCAAGATTAATTTAACTCAAAACGACATAAATGATTATGTTGTGCAAATTTTGAAGAATCTTGTGTTTTGTGTTGTGAAGAATTTTTTGTTGATGTTTTTGGCATCAAAAGATGCATTTTGATAGTAATACAAAACAAGTAGCTAGTATAGATACTATTGTATACATGTTCACATGATATTGGAAAATAAATACACAAACTTTGTCTAAAGCTTTCAGTTATACACAATAGTATTTTGACTTGAA